TATTAATATAATTTATTTCGCTTCCCCGGAATCTTTGGCGGCCTTTATAGTACTTTAAAACCCTAATTATAAGGCTTTCCTAAAATAATTATAAAAGATTATCGGTATAGTTATAATTAATTATATAATAATTAATAGTAGAATTTTAATTAATAATAGGATTTTTATTCCCCTTTACTTTAAGATTAAACTCTAGATCCTATAGTGTATTTATAGTTTAGCCCCGGACAGTTACCCCAAACGGTTTAAAATTTACGATTTTATTCGGCGGATTTATATTTGGTTAAACTTTTCTTATAACATAATTATTTTTATTTAGAGCTATTACTTTTACATTAGAATTAAGAATTCCCGTTTTATACTATTTGGCTTCCTCGAACTATTATTAATCCCCTTTCGTAATTAGTCTAATATTTCCATTGATTTTATTAGCCCCCTCCCAAAAATAAAATTAGGTAGCCGTACTTATACTTATATTATAGTTATTATTAATAGATTAATGAAGATATATTACTATATTACTATTTATAATTTATTAATTAGGGAAATTGCGGCTACTTTCCTTTATAAAGTCTATTGCCTTTATAGTACGCTAGACTCTATTATTTCTAATTATAGTATTTAATTTATTACTACTTTTTAGTAGGAGTTTTATTATTTATTTAACGTTAAGTAAAGGCTATTTTCCTTTACCTACCTTAAAATAGATAGTTAGATGGAGATTATTAATATTTATATTAAATAGTACTTTTGTACCTTTTGTTCCTACTATTAGGATGATTGGTTGTAGTGGTTCCTTTTCGCTGAATTTATAGTTAATAACTATATTTCTAAAATTACTAGCTTTTTACTATTCTTTATTAATTATAAATAATACCCGAAAATAAATATTAAATTTTTTAATTACCGGACCGGCCCTATATTAGTAGTATAATATTAGGAGCTCCTTAATATACGTAGTATTAAAGAGTAGGTCGATAGGGTTACTTTTAGAGTTCGGCTGTTTATAGAGGAGGTTTAGGAATATTATTATTATTATACCGATTTGTATTAATCCGATACCCCCTATTATATTATAAGTAATAAGGTTTGGGTAAGTATATAGTATTGGAATTAGGGCCGCCTAGCCCCTAAATTCTTTAATAAATAAATAAGTCCTTTTATTATTAAGAAGGTATACTACCAGGTTATTATTGTTACTATAGATCCTTCGTATAAAGTCTTTCCAATTTTCTATATTTCCCTCGTCCGTTTTTATTAAAAAGGCTTCCTAGGTTAGGCTGTATTTAATGAAGCTTTAGACTAATAGGCCCGTAGTGTTATTACTTTACTAATTAATTTTAGGAAGGAAGAATAGTATTTTAAGTGTATTCTAAATTTATAATAGGACGAGGATAGTAATTTTAAGTATTGGATTAAATAGCCGAAGCCTTACTGTCCTAATTAGCAACCTATTAAAGACTTTTAGACGAATATTAGCGATATTAAAGATTTTTATATTAAGAATTTAAGGAAGCCCGGCTCCTAATTATATAAGGATAGTACCGAAATATTTATTCGTTATAGGAGCGTTAGGTTAATAGTTAGTATATTACTAGAATAATTATTATTATAAACTACCCCTTCCCACTCCTAACCAAACTAGGTAGTTAGGGTAATTATATTTAACTTTAAGTATCTAATAAAATTTTAACGGTTTTTTCTTTACGGTTATTCTATAACGGTTTTATAGTTTTTACAATTTTAAAAATATAAAACTACTTTGTTTAGTATATTTAATAGCGAGTTGCTGTGGCTATACCGCTTTTTTTATTACATTATTTAAATATTCTACTATAGTTACCTTAATCGATTATACTTCTAGAATACTAATGAAGAATTTAATTTCTAATTTCGGTAATATAGTACCTTCAATGCGGGGACGTTAATATATTGTAAGTAAGGTGGTTATTTTATATTTCGGTCTAATTCGGATAGTTGGATATAGTTTAATTAATGAATTTTTTAATATTTTTAGGAATTATATCTTTAGCGCCGGCAGCTACGCAAAATACCTTAATTTCAATACCGGAGTAGAATTGGAATTTCGTTAGGGTTTACTATATATAATTAGTATTTCCTTTTATAAGACGGGGTTTGATATCTTCAGTCTAAATATAGTACTTAATTATAAGTATATTAAAGGTGGGGCGAGGATTGCCGGTGGTTGCGAGTATGTTGCAATGTAAATTAGCGGTAGTGTGGATGTTAGTACGTTAATATAATATTAGTAATTCGTTTAAATACCCTTATTAATACTCTACTAGTATAGTATTACTTACGATTTTTTTAATAGTCTTTTTAGTACTAATAAGTCCTTAATCGCTACGGACGTTCTTTTTAATTATTACGAAGTTTTCGAGAAATTTTTATATTTCGGTAATAATATTTATACGAATAGTTTTATCCTAAATAAATTTACTATTTTCCTTTTTTTAAAAAGAAGTAGCCTAGGCGGTTAGGGTAGCGGTATTAGAAATGTTTTTAATTATTAGCGGAATAGCTTTATTTTATTAGTAAAGTTTTAGATTTAGGATTTTTAGGAATATTTATAAGATTGTAATTATCCTTAAATGTGCAATAACGGTAGTACTTCTTCTTCTTCCCTATAGGAAGAAAGTAGGGGATTTTTAATAGGGTAGTATTATCGATTTTAATATTTAGATTATAATAACGAAAGTAGGGTATATAATTAAATTTAAGTATAAGGATTAATATTACAATTTTATAGGAGGCGGTATATTCTTTAGTTATTTTAGTAGTATAGTATATATTTCCTTTTAAGATTTTCTTTACCTATAACAATAGCAGGAAAGTGATAGTGAAATAAAAATGAGGTATAAGTGTTTTGTTAGTGATGCGTTGTTGTAGAGGGAAGTAATAATGTGTTATTATTAAGAAAAGAAAGGAAGGAGTAAGAGTGGGAGGAAGGAATGAGAGAAGTGAGGGAAATACGCGATGTACGGTATTTATATTGTTAAGACTGAATTGGGATTAGTACGGCGCTATTTTTATTACCGAAGGTAACGGCTTTTCGGTAAGTAATATATAGCCGGTAATGCGTTTTAACGAGCGTAAACGTATAGCGATATTATTGCAGTAGGGGAATAGAAAGTTTATAATATTTTTATTTTATTTATAATTGAGGTTAATTGCGTTTTAAGGCCGGGGGTATTGTTACGGCACTATATAATATGGTCCCGTCCCTCTCGGCGTTCCGCCATTGCAACCCAACCGTCCTTTAATTAGCTCTATTAAATCTCTATTTGGTTTATATATATAGTTTGGGAGTAGAGTTTTCGTTGCTCTCTTCTAATCTTCTCCTCTTCGTACAATATTACATCTTCTCTAAGTTCTTCCTAGTCGGCATTGTGACATTTGGGCGCTAAGGCTTTCTTTCCCTCCTATATTCTATATAGGGGGAGCCGAAAAGTTGGGACAGTATTTTAAGATGGGACATTAGGAATCTTAGCGTTTCCTATAGAAAAGTGTTAGCGAAGATTTCAGTTAGCTATTCCATTACGAAACCTAATTCTAAAATTCCGAAAAAAAAATCCAGAAGCAATAAGAAGTATTCCAAAGAGCCTCTATAAAGTTGTATCAATTTTGGTCAAAGAGTTGGGGAGATAAAAGCGATGAGAGTGTCTTTTGCTATAAAATCATTACCTTCGTTCGGCGGTTAGTACATACTAAAAGTAATTATATTTAGTATATAAAATATAATTAGACCTTACTACGTACTTATTTTTAAAGTTGATTTTTTTCAAGTCTCTATAATGGTTCTTCTAAGTAAGAATTCTATACTTGAATTTTTCCAGAATTTTAGAAAAAGGTTTCGTAGTAGAATAGCTGACTGAAATCTTCGCTAACACTTTTCTATGGGAAACGCTAAGATTCCTAATGTCCTATCTTAAAATACTATCCCAACTTTTCGGCTCCCCCTACATAGAATGTAGGGGGGAAAGAAAGCCTTGGCGCCCAGAACCCCCCAAGTAATAGGGATAATAATAGGGATATTTGAATGGGGGCACTAGATTGTATATAATTGGGGTAAAAGAGCTTGAAAAACTGGGCCGGATTCCCTAGTAAAGTAAAAAGAATCCCCCTAGCAAAAAGTACAGTAAAAAAGGCATAGTTAACAAGCCCCCGACTAGAAACATTGCCCTCCACCTTAACACACATACATTTCTATGTAGGAAGCCGGGCGTGAGCCTTACAGGACTGTGCTTATTCTGCCCAAATAACCTGGTTTTCTTGCAGTAGAGGTTTGCCAATCTGGCGAGTTTATACGGTAGACTGGAGCTTCGTAGGTGAGTTGGAAGGAGCGGAACGGCTGAGATAAGCAATAAGTCTAGAGCATATGTCGTTATAGCTGTTCATCTACCCATTAACGTACCTTGGTCAATGTAAACTTCCTTCATAGTATTTAAAGGGTGACATACAATTGTTCATTATCATCTACCTATAAGACTTCCTCAAGGCGGGCTACGTTCGTCACCTATAGGTTGATAATATGTGATACAGTAGCAGTCCGCATAACTGCCAGGATGTTCCACAGAAACAGACATTGAATTGTAATACTTTCCTCGATTTACTTACTCTTACCGGTTAATGCTTTCGTAACAGCACAAGCAAGGTTTGTGCGACCTTTGGACTTTTATTTTTGCTGTATCGGGTTATAGTATCCCGTTCGAACGAAGAATGACTCGGGAAGATTTACCTGCTCTGACTCAGGTTGAGCTTAACAGTCTCGTCTCAAACGATTTTGTCAATCCGAACCTGCTTACATCTACGCAACTGCAGAGGTGAGCTTCGCTCGTGTAGGCAATGTTGCCACCTTCCATCTCAAATCGATCACTGACAAGGCAGTAATTAACCGTCCACCCAATTACCTACAAACGGCCATTGCTATTCCCTGAAAAGGAACCCTAAAGCATGTTATTCATCCTGCCTAGCAAACGGTAAGCATCAAACTTGGCAACCGTAACCTCGGACCTCCGAACCTACCTCTAGGTACATACGCAGTTGCAGAAGTGAGCTTCACTTGTACAGCAAGGGTAACTGGTCATAAGGATGAAAGCAAACAGATAGGAACCCCAACATGGGCCCCCTCAGCAGATATTTAAACTTCCCTATCCCCCCCTCTCAAATCCTTCTCCCTCCCACCAAACAACATTCTTTCCACCAACTTCTCCCCACTCTCGTTTTGTAAGCAATATAATTGTACAAACATTGTCAAGGCTCGAAAAGAAACCACTTGCGTCACCAAGAGTTTGGCTTGAACCAAGCCCACCCGCCAGGTATGTTTCTTACTTACTATTCTACTTTCTATTTTCCTGTTTCTCCAACTCCTTTCTAACATGGTAGTAAATGTCGCAGAATGAACAACACCACCTTGCCCGTACCAGTCCCCATTTCGTGCGATGGCAACCCCAGCGTGCAATGGTATGTTTGGCTCGTCGCAAGTATTGCATGGTGTGTAGTGGGCTGTATATGGTTTTGGCATCGGTCCGAAACCGTTTGGACCTGGCTGAATGGTCCTATCGAGACATTCCACACCGAGCAGCCGATGACCAGACGCTCGCGAATCACCACAGCCTGTTTCGTCTCAGTCTTGGTCGTTGCCCTGTGGCCATTGGAGATTTTAATCTCCAACATTTGGTCAAGGGTCACGCACGCGACAAACAACCAAGGAACACCAAAAGACCAACCGAGAACGCAACCAGCAGAAGAACCCCAAGCGGCACCCCCGCCGCCATATGATGTCGCAGTGGCCGCCGCATAGGCTCTTGGGGAGACGTGGTTGGTTTCGACAGGAACCGTCTGGTTTGGAGGCTGGTGATACTGATCGATGAGCGAATTTTGGCACTACCTCGTCAACCTCGAGGCGGCTCTCCGACAAGTCTTCAGGTCCCTTCGGCCGGGCGGCTTGTTTGTCTTTTCCGTCGAACACCCCATCTTCACGGCTCCTCAACGGCCGGGGTTCCAAAAGTCTGGAGCTGTCCAGGACTGGCCTTTGAGTAGTTACTTTGCCGAGGGAGAGCGGGAGGTCGACTAGCTGGGTGCACCGGTGAGGAAGCAGCATCGAACCATTTCTAGGTCAGTAGGTAGCTCCGCGCTCCGAGCGAGGCTTGTGTGCTAACATGAGTTTCGTGCTCAAACTATTTGAAAACACTCCGTACAGTAGGCTTTGAAGTCGTTGTAGTGGACGAATGGGGTGTTAGTGACGACGATAGCCGCAAACATCCCGACTGGCCCAATGATGGGGGGATTCCACGGTTTTTGCTCATCTCTGCGATAAAGAGAGTCGATGGAGCGGATACTCTTAAAACAACATTGACTTGAGATTTTGTCGGTGTGACCGGACAAGTGGGCTCTAACAGGTACCGTAGACACGGCCTCCTCAGGTGGTTGACATTCGGCATGTAACTTTTCAGGCGAAGAGGCAAGCGAAAAGAAAAAACAATGATACTTGTTGAACGTGAGAAAGTTCTTTTTAGGAAGTGAAGTAATGGGCCATTTCTTATCTAGACTGCTTTGCAGAGTAGGGAGAGCTCAATATGGGGGGTTGAGGTAAGAGACCTTTCTGGTCCTAGCATTACTATAAGTGTTTTCCCCTAAAGACGGAGAGATGCACTGTTTCAAATGACCTCGCGCTTGAGACTTCAGCAGCATGCGCTTCGCATATACAGCATACAGCATACCTAGGCACTGCACAGGACGACAGAAATGACACCATTCATTTGGAACACTCACTTGCGTAAAGAGACATGTCGACATATGAGGGCTGCAGAACGATGAGGTTATAATGTCCTCTGGTTCTATGAGTTCATGGGGAGAGAGGGGCTCATCCCACTTTTTCCACAAGCCGAACCCAACCTTCTTTCTGCGCGACCACCCAACTTACACTACAAACGACATGTCCGCACCAACACAATGGAAGGCAGGGGTCATGCTGCCCGCATCCCGGCCATCTCCAAACTGCCTAGATAGTGTACTGTACACTACTACAGTACGAAGGCGCCAACTGGAACCGGTGGTGGGCGGCCAACAAGCGCCCAGGGGCAGGGCAGGGCACCATCATGGCAATGGTCAACGGTTACGGGGGGGTCCACGGGAGTCGGCGGGTCGGAAGTGGAAGGGAACTGAAGCCTTTCCCAACATGTCCATCTTCCTCTCTGTTGACCGTTTCTCTTGCCGAACACTCAACTTCTCGTGAACGTTGTTGCCATTACCTGACACAACGAACCCCCCTCCGTCACTGCGTGCTTCTTTGTAGGTTAGTTGATCAGCCCTCGTGAACCACCAAACTTCAAATTGTGCAATGTTTTCATTTATCGCATTGCCTTCCCGTTCCACTTTAAAGTCATATCCATCCCGCCACTGGCTGGGTGTTATCATTCGAGTGGAATCAATCAACCAACAACAAGCAACAACGACCAAGTCTAACCACTCATCCACACGACAGCCTGAGCCCGACAATACCGTATCGGCCTAACATCTACATACACAACACCGACCTAGGTACTCGACTCTCGTCTGTCAACAGCCTTTCGACGAGCCCAAAGCGCAGCTACTTAGCGACTCGGACCACCCGTCGTCGTCTTCGATCGAGACTCGTCCAAGAGGCCAAACCATCATTTAGCCCTCCCGAAGCGCGATACAGACCGCAATCGGCCCTTGGCAGCGAATGGTCTCACTACGGCGTACCACACCACTACGATTACTGTTGCCGCTCTTCGACGACCCAGGACCGATCACCACGACCGCCGCCGCCGCGAGCACCACGGCTTCCACTTGTTCCATCCCATAACATTCGAGTTGCTGTAGAGGATAAGGTAGATATCCCTACCTAGAGGTACACACTCTGCCAGGGTATCCGATCCATCATATCTGTTACAAATCCGTCTTGTATCCCATCCCGGCCTCCGACCCGCCTGCCTCATGGCGTAATCCATGGCAGACCGAAGCCTTGCAAACCCGCGCTCCAGATCGGCTATCGACCACGATCACGCAGTGCGCCTGCCTTCTTCGCCATTGCCCGCACCACGCTCGCCCAACTCGACCATCTCCGACCCGTCCACGCCTTCCCCAAATCCCAAACGCATTCGAACCCTCGGCCCTCATACTACCCCGTCCTCTGCTCTCGCCGCCTTTAGTGTGAGCTCTCCTGCAAGGTAAGTCCAGAAGAGAGAAAGAGAGAGAGAGAGAGTTGGAAGCGAAGGAATCCATCCACAACACCACACCTGCACAACACAGAACACACAACGAACCCCAACACAACGAAACAACCCCCCATCCAGACACACAATCCATCTAGACACATTTCCTTCCGTCCCTTCTGTACCATTTGTCCTCGCTGCTGCCCCTGCCTGCCCTTTCTGATTGCCTGCCCTCTGCACCGAGTACTCGGTTGGCAGAAAGAGGAGTGGGTATCAAATCTCGAACCCTCCACTTCCATCCCGAGTCGGGTTCATTGTCGCCAAACAAACTGCATCCTCCCCGTGCCTACTCCAGCCTTGGCCAGCCTGCTCTGCTCCGTCTTCGATCAATGGAAGCAAAGTCCCGAACCGAAACAACGAGGCTGCTGCCGCCTTGCCTGCCTTCTTGCCTGCCGTATTCAGGCCCTCCTCTGCCTGCCACTTCGGCCCAGTACGTGCATATACCTCCAGCTGTACTCCCATCTAGCTGGAACGACTCGAACAATCCATGAGCCAACCCTCATCAAAACAATCAGCTTTCAGTATATCGCTTCTGCCGGTCGCGTCCTGGTGAAAGAAGCACGCGAACGCAAGCATCATCCAGCAACTGCAGTACAGCACGCAGGTTCTGTTCCTACCCAAGAATAAAAAAACAAAAAAAAAACAGGAGCGAGGGCAGTTCTCGATCACATCAAAACCATCCCACCAACGAACAACCTTGATAAATCTCGAGCTTCTCAATTTGGTTCGGTTACGGCTGTCAAACCTTTTGTCAGCTACGTCCAGACACCACTGGAAAAAGACATCTGGGCACTGGCCATCAGGACCTCCTCTTTGCTGGAACCTGCACCGGCGAGGACCAAGTCCAGACCTGAAAGGGCGATCGACTGTCGATACATCCCAAGTCACCCCGCCATTTTCGCGATACACTCCTTCCGATCTAACCAACGGAGCATGTGTTTGGCTGGCCTCCAATATCTCGATTGTCCAGGCACCTTCATCTTCACTCTTCCCCCACTCCATCACCATTTCCTTCTCGTCCCCTGTCCCTAGCCTTTCATATTAATAAGCCTGGCTTTTTTTGTCACTCTGCCCCCCCAAAACAAAATCCGATCCATCCCCATCACATCCCATGATACCGTTTGGCTCAATATTTACCCATGTCTACTAGACTTACGAGGTCCGCCGCCCGTCAAGCTGCGAGCCAGGCAGCCAACTTGAACAACTCGACTTCGACTGCTTCTGCTGCTGCTGCTGCTGCTCAACCCGCCACTGGTGGAACGACTTCCCTCGCCGCGGAAGCTTCCTCTGCTCCACCTGCCGCCGCTCAGACCCTGGCTCGGTCCTCAAGTGCTAAGAAACGCAAGACCACCGCGGCTGCAGAAGCTAACAGCCATCCCGAGACCGCTGCGGAGTTCCCATCCTCGGCCAGACGCTCGAAGCGACAGCGAGTGACGCAACCCGCTTCTCAATCTTCATCTTCCATTACCCATCCAGCCCAGCCTGCCGCCGCCCCAAGTTCCGCCGCATCCTCAACGACCAAGAAGACAGCCACCACACGCCGTAAGAAAGGCAAGGCGCTAGCTACCTCTACAATGTCGAGCCCAGAGTATGTCATTATCAGCTCTCCCTATTTTTTTTGGCAATCTCTATCTGGACTACAATGCTAATCTAACTCGTCTGTACTAGGAATTCGGCCGTTCCTCCTAACCCCCCGACAAACCCTTCTTCGGCATCAACAAGCCGTAGGTCGAGCCGTCACAAAAAGGATGCACAAGGTGAGCAAGGTGTGTCTGATATGTCCGATGTTACCCTTCCGCCCATGCACATTCACTCAACCAATCCAGCATCAGCATCAGCCTCGAGCCGAAAATCAAAACGAAATGCCAAATCTTCATCTGCAGACCAAGATGTGGTCATGACCGGGACCGATGAGCACGAAAAGGACCCTACGCCACCTCCTCCGCCACCCCCCCCTCCAAAGGAGAGTCCTCCCACCGATAGTGACGAGCACGACGAGGATGATGAAGACGACGATGACCACCATCGTTACGACGACGATGATGACGATGAAGATGACGATCCCTTCACTGGTTTTGGTGGTCACGGGCGTCATCCCCACAGTCTTCAGGATACGCTGAGACATCTGAGTGGGATTATGTCGGGAGTCTCGGCTCAGGTGCGGAAAATAATGGCAGATCTGAAGCGGAAGGACGACCCGTCATTGCAACTTATGGCCCTGCATGAACTATCCACCCTTCTGCTCATGACAAACGAAGACCAACTGAGCGGGCATCTCCAACCCGACCAGGTTGTGCCCGAACTGGTAGCGCTGATGAGACCTAACGAATTAACTGGAGAGGAGAACCCTGAAATCCAACTTGTCGCCTGTCGTTGCCTCGCAAACCTGATGGAGGCCCTGCCGGGAAGCACGTCGGCCTTGGTGTATGGGGGCGCCGTCCATATTCTGTGCGAGAAACTGCTACAGATCTCCTTCATCGACCTAGCCGAGCAAGCACTTAGCACTTTGGAAAAAATTTCTGTGGAATATCCCACAAGCGTCATGCGCGAAGGCGGCTTGACTGCCTGCCTGACTTATTTGGACTTTTTCGCAACCAGCACGCAACGCTCCGCTGTTACCACGGCTGCGAACTGCTGCCGCAACATACCGGAAGATTCCTTTCCGGAAATTTTGGGTGTCATGCCCATCCTGTTGAACGTGCTTGGGAGTAGCGATCAGCGCATCGTTGAGCAGGCCTCGTTATGTGTCTCGCGCATTGCCGAGAGTTTTAAATACCACCCGACAAAGTTGGAAGAGCTTATGAGTGTGGATTTGCTCAAGGCCATTCTCCGTTTGCTACTTCCAGGCTCCACTAACCTGATCAGCCCGCACATTCACACTCAGTTCCTACGGGTTCTTGCGCTCACGGCAATGGCGAGTCCCCGTCTGTCGGCTGAACTCTTCAAGCTCAATGTAGTGGAGACGCTTTATCAGATCCTTACGGGCGTGTCCCCGCCGAGTGGGAACGACGACCTTGCTTCCAAGCTTGATAGTGTGCTTATAATGCAGGCTCTGATTCATAGACCTCGCGACCAGATCATTGAGACACTCAACGTCATTTGCGAACTTCTGCCTAGTGTGCCATTGCGCGACCCTTCGTCGATCAATTACACCGTGGAATTGGGCACATTTGCAGGTCCTATGGGTGGATCTGGGGAGAGCACGAGGAGAAGGACTGCGAACGAAAAACGTATCGAACACATGGAGGGCTGCAAGGAGGAGGTTCGGAGATTCGCCCTGATTTTATTCCCAACCCTCACGGATGCCTTTTCAAGCACCGTCAATCTCACTGTCCGTCAAAAGGTCTTGGCCGCTCAGCTCAAAATGCTCTCCAACTTGGACCAGGACATCTTGTCTGAGGCACTCAGATCAGTCCCATATGCTTCCTTTCTGGCCTCCATTTTGTCCCAGCAAGACCATCCTCTGTTGGTTGGGCTGGCATTACAGGCCACTGAGTTGCTCATGAGTCGCTTGGATACAGTCTATCGCTACCAGCTTTACCGTGAAGGCGTGATTGGCGAAATCACCAAGCTGGCAGCTGATGCGCCTGAGCCAAAGAGAAAACACTCTCTTACCGAGCAAGAGGTCAAGGAGGAAACCAGTGTCTCTGGTCGTCCCTCTGCACCTAACCAAGGTGTCGCCGACAAAGAACACCCAAAAACCTTGGAAGAGGACGAAGCAGATGACGAGGATGTTGAACACTCCGAACATGAATCTGGGGCTGAAGAGGGCGGTGAAGAACTCGATGAAGATGAGCCGGAAGATACAGAGAACGATGAGAACGACGAGAACGATGATGGAAATGAGAACGAGGTCAAGGACGACGATCAATCACCCGTCAGCTCCGAAGGAGAGACCATGTCACTGGACGGACCCCCGCGATACCTTTCGGATTTCCCCACAAACACGTACAAGTCGAGCATCCGGCAGGCTGCAAAGAAGTTCTTGGAGCTGTATGAGACCGAAAAGCAGGGCAAAGCCATGAAGAAAAAGGCCAGCAAGATTCTAGCCAGCCTATCAGATCTTGCAACCGAGATCGAAGAGTTTTATCTCTGCCGTAAACCGGGTGGCCCGGTCATGGAGCACGGAACATCTCTTTTTCAAAAGCTGGTCTCGTATTTCGATACAGACGTCCTGGAGAGCGTAACCAGTGCGGAACTCCTTGGCTCTGGTGTTGTTCGTGTCTTGGAACAGGTTTTCAGCAACCCCGACGAGGAGATGGCAGCTGCAGCACAAAATGCGTTCTTGCAGGTGTTCATGGGATACAGTGTCAAGTCGAAGCCCAAGACAGCCACCGCAGACTCACCCGCAACACCTTTCAGTGTCTTGATCCACAAGTTGCAAGATTTACTGAGCAGGTCTGAGCATTTTGAGGTTATCACAGCTCACCACAACTCATTCGACGGGAGCCGTAGCACGGCAGCGTCAATGTTGGCTAAGCAGATACGCCTCAAGCTTGTGGCCGATGAAGATTCAGATATCCCCCGGTCTTACCGTAACATCATGGTGTCAATTCATGCTATCACGACCTTCAAGTCACTGGACGATTATTTGCGCCCCAGGATTAGCTTGTCGGATCGTCCTCATGGAGCCTCTAGGCGAGATGCTGTGACTAGAGCTTTGGCTGCCATGGGTGCCTCGGGCTTTATGGGGGCGGCAGCAGCGGCAGCCCGTCTCGCGGAGAGAGGATTGCCACCCTCCAGCCGATCAACCCCTGCACCGCCGCCGGCGGCTGCCCCTGCTCAAGCATCTGGTTCGCGGTCTTCACGCAAGCACAAATCCAAGTCCCAACCTACTACCGAAACTCCGACGACGCCAGACGCCTCTACATCCAAGGAAAAGGGTGGCTTGCGACGCTCCGCTCGTAAGCAAGCTGCATCTGATAGCTCTCTCCCACGTCAACCTCCGGAGGAGGACGACCTTGAAAATGCGCTTGAATGTGCCGACGAAAGGCAGTTGTCGGATGATGAAGACGAGGCAGCCGATAGTAGCGATCTCAACGTACTGCGTGATTTAGATGAAGGCATGGACGATGCTCCCACCCCCGACCCGACAGCTGTGAACATGGAAGTGGCCGCCGGCGGCAGGATTACCGCGCGCAAGGAGGACGGGACCAGAGTTGCCACTCCGGGCCAAGGCAAGCCTGCACCGCCCCCACAGAACCGAACAAGCGCCCTGACGGCGGGATTGCAAAACACTCCCACGCCTCAGGCCGCGTCGAGGCCTATGTCATATTCTGGAGCTCTTCAAGCTGTTCCTCAGGATTGGCACATAGAGTTCAGCGTCGACGGCAAGGTCATTCCTAATGAGACTACGATCTACCGAGCCGTCCATAGCTCTAGCCTCACCGCCGATGAGCACGTTACCAGAAGTATATGGTCCGCCGTCCATCCGATCAAGTTTAGACGTGTTCCTGGCCCGCCTCCCCCCGAACCCGTTGGCTTTAGCCCATCCTCTGACGTCGGGGTTGAGGCGGATGAGAACGGCACTCCCGGGTCCTTGGCAAAGCATCCCATCACTCTGTCAATTCTTCGTTTGCTAAAGCGACTCCATGATCTGAACGCCAATATCGACGAAGTCCTAGTCGAGAATAGGGAAACCCTAAAATTGAATGTTGAGCCTTTGTCTCAGTTCGTCAACACTAAACTGACCGCAAAGCTGAACCGTCAGCTGGAGGAGCCTCTCATTGTAGCGAGCAACTGCTTGCCCAGCTGGAGCGAGGATCTAGCAAGGCTCTACCCCTTCCTGTTCCCCTTTGAAACTCGCCACCTCTTCCTTCAATCTACCTCATTTGGTTACGCCCGATCAATGGCACGCTGGAACGCGCAGTCTCAGGAGGAGCGCCGAAACGGCCGAGATGATCGGCCGTACTTGGGACGGCTGCAGCGCCAAAAGGTCAGGATTTCTCGGTCTAAAATTCTTGAATCGGCAGTCAAGGTCATGGAGTTGTACGGCGCTTCGCAAAGCATCCTGGAGGTCGAATATTTTGAAGAGGTGGGAACCGGATTAGGTCCCACTCTTGAGTTCTACTCGACCGTTTCCAAGGAGTTCTCCAAGAGGAAGCTCAAGCTTTGGCGGGATAACGAGCTCAATGGGGATGATGATTTCGTCTCTGGACCTACTGGGCTGTTCCCCCGGCCGCTGAGCGATGAATTTGCTAGCTCGGAAGAAGGAGAAAAGATCCTGCAGCTCTTCAAGGTGCTGGGCAAGTTTGTCGCCCGATCAATGATTGATTCGCGCATTATTGATATCAACTTCAATCCCCTGTTTTTCCGCGTGGGCGACTCGACTGCCACACGGCCTACGCTTGCAACCATCAAATCGGTAGACCCGGTCGTGGCTAGGTCGCTGATGACGATCAAGAAGTTTTCGCTGGCCAAGAAGGAGATTGACGAAGATCCAAACCGGAGTGCCGTTCAGAAGGTGGCGGACACGGAAAACATCACGGTTGATAACTTCAAGATTGATGACCTTTACCTCGATTTCACCCTTCCCGGCTACCCGGAAGTTGAACTTGTTTCAAACGGATCCCAGACGCGGCTCACCATTGAGAATGTGGATCTTTACTTGGAGAAGGTGATTGATATGACGTTGGGTAGTGGTGTCCGTCGCCAGATCGAAGCTTTCCGCAGTGGATTTTCCCAGGTGTTCCCCTATTCGGCCCTGAGTTCTTTCACGCCTGATGAGTTGTGCACCCTTTTCGGACGGGTAGATGAGGATTGGTCGCTGGAGAGTAAGTTGACTAGGCATCCGAGATTGCATTTGACAGCCCTGCTAACCGTTGTTTTAGCCCTCAACGACTCAATCAAGGCGGATCACGGATACAACATGGATAGCAAGAGCGTTAGGAATCTCTTGCAGATCATGAGTGAGCTCACGCTAGCAGAGCGCCGTGATTTCCTTCAGTTCACAACCGGAAGCCCGAAGCTTCCTATCGGAGGTAAGCAGCACGTCTATCTTGTATCGCTGAGCAGAGTGATGGCTAACTCGGACATGACAGGCTTCAAGAGCTTGAACCCCATGTTCACGGTTGTGTGCAAGCCCAGCGAGGCACCTTATACCTCGGACGACTACCTGCCAAGCGTGATGACGTGCGTCAACTACCTCAAACTTCCCGACTACTCGGACATTGGCGTTTTGAAGAAGCAGCTCTTCACTGCCATGAAGGAAGGACAAGGAGCATTCCATTTGTCGTAAAAGGGGAAAACAATGAGAGCAGGTGGACATTCGCCTTTAGCTTGGATGAGCAGTAGGTATTTGGCCCGCTGCTAGTTTCACCTAACATGTGCCTGTGAAGATATACGGTTTTGGGAAGTGTTTTACTCTCGTACCACTCCCCTCTGCTGTACCTGCCTTTGTTCTTTTTCACTCAATTAACGCGGGTCAGGGAAAGACATAGCATGAACGGTGTGCGGATTATTGGTGGAAATGTCAGATTCTATAGCTGAAGCCTCAAGTGTTTTTATGCAGTTAGTTCATGCTTATTAGTTTGCATTCTGGACGGTGTGCAGGAAACAGGAAGACGTTGATGGAGGGATGATTTGTTATTTTGCCTTTTTTCTTATCATGTCGTGTTGAGTTTCTTCACCAGATAGACTCGATCCAGGTGCCTTTCTTTAGAACAGGTGTTGAAGGGCAACAGAAGAAACAAGCAACTTGTGAGCGAAATTCGGGGGGTGTTTTCTGAGCGTTACAGCAGACGATGGCGAAAATGGTCATGAGCGATAAAACAAAAGCGCAACAAGGAATGGAGATGGAGCAGCGATGAAAATCCGAAGAGTGGCTGACGGCAGGACGCAGAGGGGTGATGGTGGTGACGGGTGAGGAGAGGGCAATAAGACTCGCGGGGAGCAAGCTTAGACCATCAAGGTACTCAAAACTGGATCGGACTGGCAACATGGAAGTGGTTATTAGCATTGCTGGTTAATAGTGTAGTGTGATGTTTAGACTGATAGGCAATCAAAGAAGCAACATGAAGGCCACGGCCATTGTGCTTTGAAAAGAGATTCATAGACGTACTTGGAGTGGCAATACTGCTGTTCAAAAGTACTATGTACGATGTTGGTGTTAAGAGAGGGATCACCAAACCTGGGTGATGATGTCAGCTGTAGTCGGTGATATTGGTGCACTAACACAAGGTTATAGTGAGGACCCACTTTGTAACATGTGCGAACGCGTGCTCTGCGCGCCTGCTGACCTCCACCACCACCACCACCACCACCACCACCACTACTATTATCCGATGCCGCGTCGTGTACCTGGACTCCTTGGACACATACCTCTACTTTTACATCCAGCCAGACCTTAGCTATTCGAATTTGTCCCGGATTACGCTTGAACATTTATATTTCACATTCAAGTTGGCACGCCACTATTAACCACCATCACCGGCCGAGGACAACCAATCGCCAGATAGGGCACGGCGCCCAAACTATCCAGACCAGTCACAATACCTGACTCTTCAATACGACGACCGACATTCCCGGTTAAAACATATTGATCATTTCAACTGGCAAAAAGGGTCCCTCCGAACAAGGAGGCGGCCAACCAGACCGCCATGGCGCCCCAAACGAGAGCTCGAGATCGCCTTCGCCAGACGACATCACGCGAATACCACTCGTCACCCATCCCGCAACAAGTCCACTTTCCTGCCCGAAGCCGAGTTGTCAAGACATATGGCAAAAGAACCCCTTCACGAACCGCTTTGCGACAGCAGACTTTGACCCAGATTGGCTTCCCTCTGACCATGCAACCAGACACCGACGGCTCCGAGCTGTTGGAAACGCTCGAAACACCCGTTCCGGCCAAGAAGAAAGGACGAGACTCCAAGCGAAGGAAGACCATGGGCGACACTCCCAATCCGACTTCATCTTTCCACACCCAAACACTTACCCAGTTTCTGTCTGGCAAGGAGGACGACGAGGACGACAAGGAGGACTTGTTGATTAAGGACTCGCAGGACGAAGGAGATGATGAAGACGAACAAGATAATCTGGACGACGGGTATAATCTGCCCAAAGAGGAATCACCGAAACGTGAATCGCAAAAGAAGCCAGTGGCCAAGAAACCAAAGAGTGTCAAGGGGAAGAAGGCCAAGGCCAAAGGGAAAGCGAAAGCCAAGGAAGAAGCATCGGTAGTACCGCACACACCCAGTACCAAGAGGATCAAGGTCAACATAGATGAGGTCCCGTCTTCGCAACCAACACCGTTCACACCCATGCTGGGAAACAGTGAATACAGTCCTATTGGACCCTACAGGTCACCTCTAAAGAACAAGTCGACTAATACCGGCGCGCCCGCCTCCACACTCGAAACCATCTCTAAACTACCCAGAAATCTGGAAATCCAGGACTCCTATAGTACAGGGGGCAGTAGTCCCTTCTCCATACATCAATCGCCCTCTCCGCTCAAGAAGACTCCCATGTCGATCAGGAGTAAGCCCAAGCGTCAGCCACTAGCCGAACTTCCTGTTCCTGAAGAGGGAGACGACAATGAATCGGGCTTGTCAGAAGGCGAGGACCAGGCTACGCCAACAAAACCGAGAGCTGGGTCATCGGCAGTGAAGGGAAGTAGCGGGAAGAAACGGACATTTGTTGAGATTCCAGATTCGGATGATGACCTTGAGAGTTTTGGTTCATCACCTGCTATGAGCAGGATCGCGAAGACGCCCACGAACCAGAGAGTTATAGTGCCCCCGCCGGACTCGGCAAAGGAGAACCGTACTCCTAAAGAGCAGCCACATGCGGAGGAAAATGAAGAGGAGAAAGCAGATGAGGAGATGGAGGAACAGGGTACACCAACGCCCACGGCTAGGCGCAGTGAGCGGTCTCGGGAGATACCATCATCCAGCGCCGAAGACATGGACTACGATAGCGACGAGAGTTCCCTATCGCCAGTGCTGAGTAGTTCACCGCAAGCGAGCCGCGAGCTTGGAAATTCTAGCCAGCATGCTGCTGTCAATCAGCCCATTCCGGACACAACACATAGCAATGACCAGTCGCACATCACCCGCACCCCGACTGCGAAACGAAAGGTGCAAATTCAGCTGCCTTCCATGAGCGACGACGGCAATGCCACCGGCGAAGAGGTGCTGAAAGAGACACCCCATCGCAAGTCGGCTACCACTAAGAAGCCATCCCCGCCCTCCGCCGCCGGCCGACGCAAGGTACAAATCGAGCTCCCACCCCAAAGCACCGGAAAGGCAGCAGAGAAGGATCAAGACCAACAGGCCGAAGAAGAAGAAGAAGAAGAAGAAGAAGAAGTCCTCAAAGAAACCCCGCACCGCAAGACCACCCGCTTTTCGAAAATCTCCCCTCGCCAAAAGGCATCACCATCTGGACCCATCATCCGCTCCCAGCGTTCCCAACGTCACACCCAGCGGCAAACCCAACGTTCCCAGCTCTACAGCCAGGGTCTTGAATCCCAGCGAGTCCCCATGGAGGTCATTCGCGCCATGGGCCCGCCCACCGATACCTCTGACGTCATCATCGTCGTGCCGGCTCACCATCTCGAGGAGATTGTAGCGGGCACGCGAGACCACGAGTTCCGCCCGCATGTGCTGCCTGCCGTTAGGGCGTGGTTTTATGCCACAGAGCCGGTGAACGAGGTGAGGTATATGGCTACGCTAGGAGAGGCAAGGAAGCCGGGGGAAATTGAGGGGGCGAGTGGGGTGGGAAATGAGGAGTTCAATAGGGGTGAGAGTGTAAGTGTTGTCCTTGGCATGAGTGGGAGTGGGAGTGGTCGTGTTGTTAGCAGTGGAAGAAGTAGTAGTGAGGCTGCGGCGACTACCACGCCCAACAAGTTTGCGCACAAGCTCTTGCAGGTGTATCAGCTCAATGATCCGGTCAAGAAGGATGAGTTGGAGGAGCATGGGTTTGGGAAAGGCCTACCGACGAGGTATCGGCTGTTGCCACCGGCGGCAGTGGGCGATTTGTTGGCAAATTTGAGATGTGCGCTTTTTGCGGAGGAGGGTGAGGAAGACGGAAATGATGGGGAAGATGAGGGAGGCAGGCTTGAGGCTATTGAAGAAGGAGATGAAGAGGGTGAGGACATGGGTGGGACGGTGGAGGGGGCAGGAGAGACGACAAACAGTCAACCCGACCATGGGGAATCTGTCTCCCAGCAGCTGGAGCAGCAGTTGAGAAGCGATATCATGCGCTCGACGCAGATGATGCTCTCGGATGACGCGAGACCCCCCGGCCAAGGAGGAGCACTGTTACGACACGATTCAAGGATAACTTCCAGCCCACAAAGACCTCCTCCTGCACAGGTGACTTCGAGTCAAGGTCGGACAACGAGGTCTAGTCAACCTCGGATGACGGTGACCAAGGTTACGAAGAAACAAGTACAGGTCACAAAGAAGTTCCACTTCGCGGCACTAGAGATGGAGGAAGATGACGATGACCTTGACCTCGATCTCGGCAAGGAAGGGATGAAAACCCCTCCTCCTGCCCTGCCTCCTCGCTCACGGTCAACAGTAGCTTCAGCTTCAACTTCGACTTCAGCCTCAAAAACCAGCACCGGCCGCAAAAGCAGCGATAGTCGCAGTAGCCAAGCGATTCAAAGCCAATTTCAAACTGAGACACGCCAAACCCGTCGCCAGAGCCAACGTTTAACGAGTAGTCAGCTTCAGCAGGAATTCGACGAAAGGCAGATTACAAAGACAAAAACAACAACAAAGGCTTTACAAGAAAAGGCCTCCATGCCACCACCTCCCTCACCTGCTAAACCCCATGGCGGTAGTAAAGTCACTACGAGCGCCCTTGCTAAACTCAACAAAGCCACCACTGCCCGCGCTTCGACTTTTGGTTTCGGTGCCGGCCATAACAACCCCAATTACAACACCGCCCGCCCCTCGCAAGCGACGACCGCCAGCGGGCCGTCTAGTCCTATTATTCCGACCAGGCCGGAGGAGGACGAACAGGAAGAGTCTTCGCTGCCCCAACTTAGTCGGGGCAGAAGCGAAGTAGGTACGAGTAGGAGGGGCACGGGTAGAGGAAGGGGTCAAGGTAGCGTCAGAAGTCAAGCCCTCTCCGAATCCGTCACCGCCTCCGAGTCCTCAGTTATTAGACCAGCGATACCTGATGACGTTGATGATTCCCATATCCTGTTGTCTTCTTCTTCGATACCGGAGCCTCTGGATTTTCATCATGGAGAAAGTAGTAATAGCACCACACCTACTGGTACGAATCGTAGCAGAGGGGAGAGGAGAACTCCCGGCAGTGGCAGTGGCAGAGGGGGCACGGAACGGCTACCAATGAGTTCCCAAGCTCTTGCGTCTTTGGCCCCGGATAGCTTGTTGGTGGATGTCGAGGGGGTTAGGCCGCCGCCTGAGTTGGTGGTTTGGGATTCTGAGGAGGATGTGGATGAAGATGAGACGGCTAGTGAGGATGACGGGGACTTGAACTGAACCATTACCTAAGAGTTCTGAGGGGGTGGGTCGGTGTAGGTAATCTGTACACTTAATGAATTGAGTTGGAACTGGTTACGAACAGGTCATCAATCGGTTACGAACTCGGTGCAAACAGGTTATGTTGGGATATTGTACATGTTGGAAACAGGTTGGGAAAGGGTTGACAAAGGGTTAGCGAAGGGTTATAATGAATACCGGGTGCCTTTGTGATGGCTTGGGTCTCTGGTTTGAGAACCTGTATATGATGTCGTCTGTGCATGAGGACGGCTAGTACACGTACGGTATGTAGGTTCACACGCCAAGTATTGTGAATATCATCCAAAAGAAGCAGAATGCTTCCAGCTGTGTATACAAGTCATGTACTTTTTATATTATTATTTCAATCATACTGTTTCGATCGATCAATCGCATTAGTGAAGCCCAAGCCCCAAACCATGTCTCAAAGGCATCACCACAAGAACATCCTTCCCATCTTGCTTTCCCTCTTTCTTCCCATCTTTCTCTTTCCATCTTCATCAACCCCCCCTTCTTCCCTTTCTTTCCCCCACATTCATTTACAAACCCCCCACCAATCCCACAACCAAAACCCCCACCGCTCCCAGTCCTCCCAGTCCTCCCATCACCCCCGTAACCCTCGCAGCCCCAGCAGTACTTGTCGATGTCGTCGTCGTCATCGTCTTCGTGGCCGTCACCGTAGCTGTATTCACTGCACCAGCAGCAGTAGTACTAGGCACCGTGTGCCAAGTTGATTCAGTAGTCGTAGTGGTGGTGATGGGCACCAAGCCATTGTTGGCGTCGGTGTTGGTTTGGATCGTAAATACGTCTTGAGGTTGGCGGGGGTTTATTATGTTCATGTTGTTGTTGATGTTTGGGAGGTTGCCAGAGGCGAGGGTGGTTGTGGGTGCTGCTGTTGCGGCGAGGAGGAGGGGAAGGAGGTGGGAGCGCATTGTGTTTTCTTTTCTTTTTTTCCTTTCTTTTATTCAAAGAGATTCAGCGGAGTGAAGTTTTGGTTTGGTGGTTTGGTGAGGTGTGTAGGTATGTCCAAGATCTTTCTTGTGGTTGTTGGTTGTCGGTTGTTGTGTTGAAGTCCGTCCAAGAGGAGGGAGGGAGGGAGGGAGGGGGAAGTAGAGACGTTGAGGCGTTTTTGAGTGATTCTATCTATCAATGACTGACTGGACTGGGTATTCTCGTGCTTTGAGGTAGTTAAAAGAAACAATAAAAAAAAAAAAAAAAGTGCTTTGTGTACTGAATTAGGGGTGGGCTCATGGAATCGTTATATACACCTTCCCCTTCCTCTCTTTTTTCTTCCTTCCCTTTCCAGGCGTCATCATCATCAGCCCACGGCCAATCCCTCTGGAGTCTGTCACCGACAATGAAAGAATCTCAAACCCTGCTACACTACCTTGCCCTGCCGCTCTTCTGTGTTACAGTTAGATCTAGCTGCCTATTTGGGAATAGGTGCCTAAAACAGCTGAGTTGTAAGTGTAAGATCCCAATGTAACGCAACGAAGCAATGGGAAATCACGAGCGACTGATATCTGTTTGATAGGATGACAAAAAAGTTGCTGTTTGGTGCATTCGGTTTGTCATTGGATTGGCTGGACTGCACTGTTCAACGCTTTTTTCTTCTGACCAGTGAAATATCATAGGACAAGGCATCTTTGAAACGTCCATGCCTATTGTAACATCGTGAGCAGCCCCACTCCTTGAACAGATGCTTCGCTAGATCTCATGGGGCTGAACATCAAAAGCTTCCTGTCAGGCCAAGGAGGGGGTACTGGATATTCGCAGGGGCAGCGAGGTCAGCCACTGAGCAGGGAAAGAATTGAAGCGAAACCGCCGATGAGCTCTCCATCTTCTCCATGCTATGTGAACGGCAGGGTAGTCTAATGTGAGTTGGGTGCTGACAAAAGGTGTTGGAGAAGACTGGGGAACGATCTTCTGATACCAAACCGTAAGGAGCGGTTGACGAAAGAAGCGGCGCGGTGATAAATAATGTATAGATAGTAATAAGCTCACCGAACAGAAACTCGTTACCTTACCTACTCAAACCACATCCGTCTCACTACTTCTTCAACAACCATGATTACAAGTTACCTACATTATCTCTATTTCTTCCTTTGCTGCGACTCCATGATCAATTATTGTCTACAAAGTCACACTAGAGTGTTTTGAATCCACCTCATGGTCTCCTATAATGCCCCCTCGAGTACCCTCTTAAGACACCAAAGCCGGGCAACACGCCAAATAATAATAATAATATATATGATATGCATTCCAAAACCCCGAGATGATTCGTCGGGTAACTACGACAACATTTCCTCTCTCCTCCTGACCATCTCAACTAACTCACCCACTCACCTTCCCGCTTGACTGAACGCACTCTTCACCTCCGCTCTCGGCCACTCCCACAACACCTCACCACCATATACCTCGGTCGTAATCTTTGCCACCCTTATGTCCACCTCGCCGTAGAACCTCTCGCACTCCTTCAACACCCTCATCACCAGACCTCTGTTACCCCCACCCACCACCCTAGATCCGTTGCTACCAGTAGTAATCGCGCTCGCGCCGTCGCCACCGGGGGCGTCATCATCGCCGCCAAAGTGCTTCTCCACTCTCTTCCTCAGCGTTTCAATACCCTTGCGGACTTCCTTCCCATCATACCCGCTCAAGACTTTGTTGAACGCGGACTTGGAGGTATTCGTCTGCGCGGCCACAGCGCCGGGGTTCTTGCCGGCCGCCAGCTGAGCCTCGACATTCTCGAGGTACTCGAGCAGCTTACCCAACGGTCTACGCATGACAGTGTTGGTGTAGAGGTTCAAGTGCTCTGCAAGCTCCTGCTGGGCAGCCTCGCGCCAGTCGTCGAGCACCTCGAGGCCCTTGGCGTTGTCGACCTCCTCGATGAAGTGGTTCATGTTTTCAATGAGCAGGATGTGGAAGTTGAGGGCTTCCTTGTCCTCTTCCGTGTCGGCGCCCGAGGAGCCGCGCAAGCTGCTAATGTTGACGCTGCTGATCATGGAGGCAGCGCTGCTTCCGGGGAAGGATGGGAAGCTGGAGTTGCCGCCGCCACCGCCGCCGGTGGCGGGGAGAGCCACGGCTGGGTTCTCGCGCGCAATGACCTTGAGCGAATCGAACATGGTCTTGATGATGCGGTCGTACTCGCGGTCGATCATGCGGCGGACGGTAAGGTTGCTGGCAGAGACGGGCGATTCCATGGTGTTGCCGACGGCAGCAGCGCTAGAGGAGAGCATGTTCTCGACAGCCGCAGAGAACTGGGGGAAGATGCGCATGAAGTGGATGACGCCCTTGCGCTTCTTGATCTTGACCTTGGTCTCCTCGATGGCGCGCACCTGCTCGTCGACAAACTTCTTGAACTTGCCTTCGAGGTTACCATGAAGCTTTTGTAGAACGGTGTTGAGGTAGTCTTGGTTGGATTGGCTGATATCGGCCATCTTGCGCTCCAGCGTGGCCAAAACACCAACTCCTTGTCTATGAAACAGTCAGCAAGAAACATCACATAAAAGACGTAAGCAGACTTACAAAGGATCCATCATCAACACCCAGTCCATCAGGTTCTGCAAGTTCTTATCAAAGAACATAAAGATGACCTCCATGGCACGGGTGATCCTGCGGGCCAGATCACGATCCGGTTCCATCATGCGATGGCGTTTGAGATCGTTTCCGCGACGGTCCTGAGGCCTGGACGCAACCACGAGATCGGGGAAATCGACCTGCTCCAGAGTCGAGGCGTGGAAAAAGTCAATGACAAAGTTTTGCTCCATCTCCACCAGGGGAAGAAGATCGTCCAGAACGCCAGCAAACGCTTCGTAAGGGAGAGCCCTGCTATCCAGAGTCTTGTCCACAGCAGTGCCGGCTTTTCCTTCACCGACCTGTGAGCGGAGGGTTCTCGCCAGTGTCTGACTTCGCTTGACGGTAAGCTTTCTTGCCGTGTTAGCAAGGCCTTCGTCCTTCTTATCTTGTCCTGAAGTGAATAGCAGTTCGGCCGTCTCTTCGCCCGTCATCTTCCTCGCGTTCTTCTTCCATGAATCCATCGCATCCTTGAACTCGGCCTTGTAAATCGGATGGCTGATGTCTTGGTATATCTGCATAATGCGGTCCCAGTTGGCAACATCGACTTCCTTGGCGTAAAGAATAAGCGGACTGTACATCCAGAGGATATCCCTGCCAGCTTCATGGTTACGAGGGTCGACCTTCTTCGAGAGCGCGTTATCCAACGCCATCTTGGTGGCCCGGAATGCATCCTCGAATCGTCGTGCCATGAACTCGGTCAGTCTGCGCATGAACATGGTGCTCTCTGCCATGTACATCTCCCTCTTCTCCTGAACGATGCGCATGTTTCCATAGTCGCTGTTGAGGCCCATGGCTTGGCCACCGCTTCCATCCTCGCTCCTGCGTCCTTCAATAGCACCCATTGCGGGATCAATCTTCGTCATGGCCTTGAACAATGCGACAAGGGCTGATTCAATCTCCTCCACGCCGGTTGCAGTCTCAAGTGGCGCAACCTTCAGAGCGGCGAGATCCGACTCGCTAATGGCGCATGTAGCCAACAAAGACTCCAATTCCTTCTTGAGTAGCTTCTGGTTTGCAGCCTGGACCTGGAGACCTTGGCCTTGGGCTTCGATATAGGCAATATCGTCCGAGAGTGTCTGCGACATGTTAGCAACCAAACCACGCTGATATGAGCGTAGTAACTTACAGATAGCTCGACGCTGTATAGTGTAAGCAAGTTATCAAGCTCGTCACACTCGGCAAGCGCCACGTCGATGCCCTTCTTGATAGCATCCACCCTCTCATCCTCCTCCTGGAAGCGCGCCAACCAGCCGCCCGCCTGGGCCTTGCTAAGCTCGCGGTCGACATCGATCCTCATCTCGTCAAAGTTGCGAGACCGCATCTGCTTACCGGGCACCCAGCCAAAGTAGTCCAGCCATTTGGCAAACTCGGTCGTTTTGGTATCGAGGATAGAAGGGTCAATGCCGAGTGAGGTGAGGTACTTGATATCGTTGCCAGCAACAATCGCCCGCCGCGGTTCCTCGGGCTCAAGCGGTTCGTCCTTCTTCTTGTCCTTGGGCGCATCCTCCGCCTTGCCCTTGGAATCTGTCACCTTCACCTCGGGAACTCCAGCCTTCCCATCAGCTGGCTTTGCCTGACCACCAGGGGCCGCTTGTTCCTGTTTTTGCGGGGGAGTTGGCTTGGGAGGTGCCGGGACGACACTAGTGATGCCGTCTGGCCCTTCGGGATTTTTGGTCAAGTTTCGTAGACGGTCAGCTGCACCGCCAGGCCTCGGCTTAAAGGCAGACGCTGCCGTTGCCGCCTTCCAGATAGCGCCCGCAATCTGTCCCCTGGACTTTTTGGATTTGATCATGGGTCCGAGACCCGGTCGGCTCTCCTCGTCCGTTCGCGGGGAGTCGGTCACGGCGTCAGAGATGGGTGACTTGATCGAAGCGCTAGGCGTGCTCACAGTGGGACTAGGAGCCACGCTCACGGGGAGCTCAATTTTCCTGGGTTCAATGGGTGTAACTACTTGGTCGGCCACAGGTGGGGCAGGGGATGGCGCCCGCTGCGGCTCGTTTTGGGTGAGTATGGAGTTCTTGCGAGGCATCATACGGTCCACACTTCGCGGAGGAGGCAGGACCGGGTCTCCCCGTCCACGTAAACCAGGACTACGTAGAGCAGGACTCATCAACGGTGCTGGAACCAGACCGCTGTCAAGCTGCAATGGGCGTAGAGGATCCATGGGTGGTCGCTTCCTCGCCGGAGCCTCAGCCGGTACAGAAGGTGTCGGGGCCGTGGCGGGTTCAGGAGTGGTAACTTTGGAGTCTCCAGTACCAGCTCTAGATCCGGGACGGAGACTAGAGCTATCCTCGGTTCTTGTCGCCAACGAAGGTGCCCTTGAATCCTGACTCTGGTTGGAGTTCATCCTCCGCAGCGGTAGTTGCTCCTGCGACCTCACATTGCTTGACTCAATGCTCCTGGATGGCGACGGTCCCCTGTCTTTGCTGTTGGGAGCCAAGTTGGTGCGGGAAGGCATTCTTTCGGGAACCGGGCGGCTGGGAGGAGGTCCAGGGGGAGGCGCGGAGGGCGGTGGTCCGGCGAGTGGAGGTGGGAAGGAGCCATATCCAGATGTCGCGGAGACATTGCCGCTACTAAGAGCAGGGTCCAAGATGCCGGATCGCGAAGGAGGAAGATCAAAGGTAGCGGATCTCGAGGGAGGGTTGTCCAAGGGCCCCGATCGCGAGGGTGGTTTATCGAACGTGGCCGACCTCGAAAGAGGAGGGGTAGCCCCTTGCTGGTCGATCTGGGTGCCGGATCTCGAAGGCGGGCCCCTATCTGCTGGTCGCCTCGGCGCCTGGGCACCACCCAACACTTGGTCAAGTTCGCGCTGGTCGAAGCCTATCAGTCTCGGCACGCGGCCGCCAGTATACTTGCCGAAGATCTTGATCAGACTGGCAATGAAGAACTTCTTCTCCTTGTCGGTCTGGGCCTGCCAGTAGTAGGGCTTCCCCAGGGTGACGATGAAGCCCACATCGCCGGCCCACTCACGGAAGTTGGGGCTGGCGGTCGGGCTGGTGAAGGACTCGATGTCGGAGAGGTCGTCGAGGAACCATGTCTTGCCGATGGAAAAGGTGCCATTGGGGTTCTCCTTGGACTTGTGTAGGCGCACGCGGCCGGACTTGCGCACGGCGACGATGATGATGCGAGGCTTTTCGGTATTAGGGGTTCGTGCCTGGGGCGGCGGGGGCGAGGTCGGGTGTGTCGAGAACTCGGTGATGCGGATATGGGTGATGTAGGTTTCGATAGCTAGTTCATCATTGTCAATTCCTTCCGTCGTCTTGTTCTTGTTATTTCTTCGTCTTGTGGCGTGCCTACTGGAGCCGTCCTCATCTCTCTTGTTGAAGCAACTCTCGATGATTCTCCGCTTCTCGTCCTCGAATCGTTCGGCCCTGGTCATTTGGCCGCTCATTGTGCAGATAGTAAACGGGAGTGTAGTCGGGAGGAACGCGGCTTGTCAAATGATCGGACGTGGTCGCTAAGGTAGTAGGGTCGGTCGGGAATGGCGCTACGTATCGCAAAGTCGAAGGCGTCGTGACATCTTTTAGGGGAAATAGCACTTGTAGCAGTTGCCTGTTTCGATCGTGAACCGGGAATTGCTCTTCCGCCCGGTGCCACAATCGAATAGTCGGGTTCGGGACCGAGATCCAGGGTTGTATTATTATAGGTATAAGTGAAGAAAAAAAAAAAAAAAAAAAAAAAAAAAGAGGTGGATAGGTAGAGTAGAGCAACTCTCAAGCAACAAAAGGACGAGCTGTGAGGTCAATCGGTGGTCGGCAACATCAAGCTGTCGATGCCGTTGTCAACCTTCAAAAGCGGATGTCTGTAAGTGGAACGGAGCCAAGCACTGGAAGGACGTCCAGGAGCTTCAGTGCTGAGTGCTGTTCAGATGCCAGGCGACGAAGCGGTGGTCGACACGGCAGGCATGGGCGGGTGGGGACCTGGATGGAATGGGGTGGCCCCGCGGCGCCCGAACGCTTTGTCGGCCAGCTGTTAATGAAAACCAAGCCCCAATCACCATAATCCTAACAGTAGCTAACACGTCCTGCTGATCGATGTGAACTTGCTTGAAGCTTTTGGAGAACTACCGTCACAGCAGCGAATTCTATACGGTGTGAAACCATGTTTTTGGGCGAGAGTGTTTCAAGTTAATTGCGGTATCTACAGATTCGAACATCAGCATGTCCAATGATTCAAGCGTGCCGCTCTCGTGTTTCTGTTTGTGATGTTTACCAAGTATGTAACTCATCACCGAAATAGTCTCTGGATAATCACGGAATGACGGGTGATGCTATCGATATGGAGCGAGGTCCAACAATGCTTGGCAGGGTATATCGCGTCAACTGCACCAATAACATATAGCAGGTCCTTAGTCGAAGGTGATCTTCTTGCCCTGGAACGGTGCCGACAGCATCTCCTTCTCCTTCGCCTTCTTCTTCGCCTCCCATGAAGGATGCAGCGGCCCGCTATCATTACGCTTCTTGGGCGCCTTGGCCGGAGGAGCGGCAGCAGCAGCAGCAGCAGCTCCAGCACCGCCCCTACCACCTCTGCCTCCGCCGCCACGACCCCTATCACCACCTCTCGCCGCAGCAGCACCTGCCCGAGCATCACCACCCTTTTCTTCACCACCCTCTTCGCCACCACCCTTGCCCTTATTCTTAAGGTCAAGAAGACTGCCCTTCTTCCACGGCTTGCCATCCGAAGATTCCACCGCACCCCTCTTCAAATCCCAACCGGCGTCTCTGGCCTTCTGCTGCTTCTTCAGGTGCTTGGCCTCCTCCTTGTACTTCTTCTCCCAGATGGCCTGGCGGGCACGCTGGCCGCGGCGGTTCTTGCGGGGAGGGGCGACGTCGACGTCCGAGGCCGACTCGGAGCCCGAGATGTAGCCGCCCATGAGGGTGGGCAGGAAGGTGGAGTCCATGGTGAAGTTTTGGAGTTTTTCCGTCTTGGCGGTTGATGAGGAGGAGGACTTGCTCTTCTTTTTTGAGGGGGCGGCGTCGATGCCGCTGTTGTCCGAGTCCTCCTCGTCATCGTCTTCTTCTTCGGGTCGTTCTTCTTGGGAATTGGTGGCTGATCCTTCGTCCTCCAAGTCGCTGAACCCTTCGAATTCGTCGTCGGAACCGTCGCCATTTTGTTCCGAATCGCCGTCGTCGGCTTCGTCGTCGGTAATTTCCATGGGGTCTAGGTCTCCGTCATCGCCGTAGCCTCCATCTTCATCATCTGTAATCTCCATCGGATCAAGCTCCTTTGCGGTAGGACGCTTCTTGACCGCAGCCTTAGAAGCAAATCTCTCGTCATCTTCTTCGTCATCTGCGTCCGAGTCGGAAGACGAGCCACCGAGCAAGTCGTCGTATTTGGAGAGAATTTTCTCTTCCTCTTCCTCATTGACTGGTTTTTCGTCGTCGTCGTCGTCCAAGTTTTCTTCTGTTACGGATTCCTTATTTGCGAGCTTCTCCTTGGTCTTTGTCCTTTCCTTTTCCTTGTCGTCCTTCTTCTCCTTCTCCTTGGACTTCCTGTCTAGCTTGTTGTCCTTCTTTTCCTCCACCTCCTTCTTATCCTTGGCCGTCTTGTTGTCTCCATTTGTTCTGGCCTCGTTGGTCTTTGACTCGTCCCTCTCCTTGTGCTGGTTCTTGCCCTTCTTGCCCTTCTTCTCAGGAGGCTCGATGCCCATGGCCTTGCATATCCCCGTAATCGCCTTGTCTGTGACGGTGCGGACCTCTTGGCGAGCGCAGAGGGCGCTTGTAACGTTGTGCAGCGCAGTTCGTTCTTCTTCGGTGAGCACTGGCTTGGAGACGCCGCGCTTCACGGCCTCGGGAAGGTTGGGGCATTCGGCAATGCGCTTGATGCGAAGGAGGGAGAAGCAGAGGTGGGCATGGGCGGCCTGGTAGAGGTCGAGGGACTTGAGAACAACAATTTCATTTTCTATCCTGGCCTTCTTGTCCTGTGGTGTGCTTCGGTCGTGGAGTCGCTTGGACTGGCGCTGTCTCTCAAAGCCTTTGGCGGTCTTGAGGGCGTGGTGCAGCTCGCCCCAGTATTTGGCAAAAACCTTTTCGACGTCATCCTCCTCGCTTCTCTTTCTTTTTCCGAGGGACTGCATATTCGTGATTAAGATGGCTCGGGACGTCCCGTCGCAAATCGAGTTTGGTTGAGTCGAACTGTCAATTGGAAGTTGGGGGAGCTTTGCGCCTGCAGCAGAAGTGCAGCCATCGGTTGTTGCACTTTTCAGTGGGGCCGTTGTTGATCTCGATGCCAGCCGGGAGCGGCCCAGACCGAGGAACCAAGGAAAGGAGCATGGGCCACTTGGCGAGCCGGGCGGACCAAATCAATGAAAGCCGAAGAGGACTGAAGCAGCTCGAACGCGTTCACCAAAGATCACCCACCGTGACAGCGCCTGGACAGCCCCCCCATCCACTGACCGGGGGCTATCCATCCACACCGACGACACAAGCCAGAGACAACAACAACAACATGCATCGACGACGACAAGGTCTTTCTCCTAGCTTCACATCTCCGATCCGTTGCGGTTGCTGTCGCCAATAGTCAAAGAATCCTCGCGACCGTATTTTGCCGATTTTCAGTCGCACAATCCAATTCCTCGCTACGCGCGCGTCTTTCACATTCCGTCTTGCGCCCAGCAAAAACAGTCCGTCGCTCTTGTGACTGGCAATTGATCACACACCACCATCCGCGACCATCCAGACCGAACACTCGAGTTCACAAGCACTCAAGACAAACTCGCCATGGCATCTTCACAGCGCACGATACAATACACCATCCCCGGGAGGGAAGACTTTAACAAACTGTCCGACGAGCAGAAAACGCGAGTTGGCGAAGCTGTACGTGCCAACCTTTCTGTCTTCTCCCTCTTTTCCTTTGTTTACTTTCACCCCTGCTATTTTTGCCATTCACATACATGTCATGTTGCTGCGCAACCGCTTTCCCTTCTACGCGCGACCCGCACCACCACCCCCCAAATACCAACCAGCTAACACCCTTTTGCCAACTCGCTCAGTTCGACCTCTTCGACTCCAACAAAGACGGCCTCCTCTCCTACGAAGAATTCCGCTTTGTCCTGCGCGCCCTCGGCTTCGAGCTGCCCAAGGCGCAGACTTTCGACTTGTTGATCCGCCACGGCCAAAAGCCCGCCAACTGGCCGCTTGACCAGGAGTGTCCGCCCGTCTACCGGCTCTTCAACCTACCGACGGCGCAGGCGATCGCGGGGACGCTGATCCGGCAGCGCGACCCCAAGGAGGAGCTCCGTCGCGCGTTCAGGCTGTTCGATATAGATGGCAAGGGCATGATCACGCAGGACGACCTGAGGAGGGTGAGCAAGCAGGTAGGGAATAACATACCGGATGCGGATATCACGGCCATGATTGAAGAGTTTGATGCGAGTGGGAAGGGGGGAGTGGATGAGGATGAGTTTTTGAGGTTGATGATGAGTAAGAAGTAAAGCGGGCAAAGAATAAGGATACAAGAAGACGAAAGAGGTGGTGCTTTTTTGCAGATAAAAGTCATGTGGAATGGTTAGATGATACCCGAATGGAGGCATGATGGACAATGAATATTTTTGTTTGGCTCTTCTTTGGGACCGGTCTTTTCACGCGGTGATCTGTGGTTGAAGGGCAGGGGAACGGGGATGGGACTGATGATAGGGTCGCAGGTATCGGACGCTCAACGTCTTGTTCGATCCCGAAAGCTAAGTCTCGCCCTCTCACTTCTTTCATCTATATCTTATGGCTTCCTGTTGCCAGCCACCCACATCCGAGCAGCATTCGACACGGCGCAATCAACCGATCTGCGGTATCTTCGATGAGCTCATTGCCAATTGCCCTTCCGGTTGACTCACACATTCGGTTCCTTGCGCTAGAGCAGGAGTCGAAGCGCCATAGTACAGCATGAAGTTAGCAGCCAAGGTCCTCATGGCCCCCAGTTGACGTTCACTTACATGACGAGGACAGGAACTTTGCAACTCAAACACTGATCCCTCATGTATTTCCAGCTCTTCGAGTGTCTGCTGCGTTCCGATCAAAGCCTGACTTGCCAACCTCGAGCTTTGCGCTAGTCATCCATTGTGTGTTTTTTTTAGTAACACCTTTTTAGGCATCATTCGACTCTTGGCCCAGGAAAGCACAAGATGATATATTTTCGCAAGGCACACCTTGTTGTGAAGATATGATGCCTGTGTGAAGACTTGAAGGTCGGATGCACACCAAGCCGTGTTCAGTTAGTGCCAGATACGCGACGACGCTGGAAGACGTCAAGCATTTCACGATGCTTGAAGTACTTATTCCCCAAACCGTGACTGATGTGGGGTCATCCTTGATGTGCCTCCGGTCCCTGTGGAATATGATCCTACATCGGATCGCTCCTTCCTCTTCCCACAATACATACACTCAGGTTCTACCCATTTCTAAAGACCTCTGCAACGGCCCGACAAACGGACCGGCAAGTGGAATCAGCCCATAAGACACTTCACCTGACGGAGCGGGCAGGAGCAAACGGTACAAAAACACCCAACAACGCAAGAGAGCTGACCTGTCTTGTGCTAGCGGCCCTTCCACCTTCTCCCATCATTTCACATCTCCTCCTCCTCCTCTTCCTTTCTAGTCGTCCACGGCCAACACCACGACTAGACGAGCAAAATGCTACCCCTCCCGCTGAAGAGCGAGTACCTTGAGTACAAGAAGGACACCGACGCAGTGGCAGCATGGCTTGCCTCGACAGCAAAGAAATGCGGCTTCCCTGCCGACCAACTCAAGTCGGGTTCCTGGGACACCTCGGACGCTTCGTCACTCTCCGCAAAGTCCTCCAGTAGCGGCCGGAAGAAGGGCAAGGCGCGCAAAGCTGCTAGCGCAGCCATCCAAGCCACGAAGAAGGCCATTCACGGTGTCTCCAAGTACATTGTTGCCATATCGGATTATCCCAAGTTGGCAAAGCACATTGCCGACACCGCGGACCCGACCATTACCGTTCCCGATAACTTTGTGGCCACCATCAATCGTGTCATCTCCAATCGCTCCGGCTTCGGTGAGCGTTTGGCTGAGCATGGTGTTGGACCGGACTCCAAAGGCGATTTGAAGCATCGCCACTTTGTTGAGGTCCTGAAGAAGGTCCGAGAAGCCCTCCTCCCTCGCATGTCTAGCAAAGCCTCCACTTCGGCGAAGGTGAAGGCTGCCAAGTCGGATGAAATCAGCAACAGATTTGCTGGCCTGGCCGTCGAAGAGCCCTCGCAGGCCTTCCTGGATGCTCCTGATGTTGAGAGACCCACCCAGCCGACAGAAGACAAGACCATCTACGAAGCTGAGACACTCGCTGAGCTTGAAGATGTTTTGTTCACTTATACCATCATGATGAACGACCTTGCCCGCATCCAGGCTACCATCCGCTGGATATGGGAGAACTACCAGAAGGGCCTCTTCGATATTGCAGCGGCAGCTGTTGCTACCGACACCGCTCTCGCTTTGGCCCGCGGCATCATTGACGAGGCCGAGCCTAGCTTCAAGAACTTTGAGGGGGCTACCTGGGGTGTGCAACACAAGTTCTTCCTCGCTTGCTGTCTTCGCAAGGGCTACAACATCAACAGCGTCTTCTCTGACGATGCGTCGGATAACTTCAACTACAACATGTATGATCTTGCTGATGAGTGCTTCATCAACGCTCATCGCTGTCTGCTTTCTTTCCTCGACGTTCTCTCGCCAGACCATTTGCCCATTATCAGGGAAGGCGTCATGGGCCACTATGATCCCACCAAAAACCGGGATAACCTGCCTGGACACGCAAAGTTCAAGGAAGATCAGATCCTTCTCATGGAGTTTCTGAGTGAGCTAACGGTTGTTACCCGCATGATTCCCAGCTATCCCGTTGAGGACGAATTCATGCGTGGAGTTCGACAGATGGACAAGACAGGCAAAATTCCATTCTCACTCGTCTTTGCCGCCCAGACCTTCCTTGACATCCATCACCTGCTAAGAGCCGATGTTTCGCAAGGATCCAAGTTCATGCAAAACGAGATAAAGCACCTCAGTCAAACCCTCAAGGATCACCTCGACTACCACAAGAAGAGCAAGTTGCGGATCAAGAACTGGCCCGAACGCATGGATGACATGCTGCGGTTGGTGATCAAGCAAGGGCAGGAGATTGTGGCGGACCCCGTCTACCAGTGCAAGGTTAGCTACTATCGCCGAAACAAGATACCGATTGCGTCGTCTATGAGGCCGAACCGAATCCTGGACTACTCCCCAGTCCTTGCCGGTCTTAACCTGCTCAGTTACCGAGGGGATATGTACTCCATCGGCTTCGACGCTGCAACCGCTTGGGGATCCATCCAGTATACAACCCATCTCTACTCTGCGCTCCAGAATGAGAAGCTGGTTGATCCTCATTTCTGGCCAGACTTGGAAATGGCCCAGGCTCTTCTCCCTGATTCCAACTTCTTTCCTGGAGGAATCGCCCCGAAGACTCGCAAGAAGTACCTTGAGACCTTCGTACTCCAGATGGGGGCCGCTGGGGTCCCGCGTGGTCTCAAGAAAGGCCTACCAGTTTCATCCATCTTTGTGGAGAAGTATCTGAAGCGCACCGAGGTCCCCTGGACGCCCGAGAATATCCACGACATTGTTTCCCGTAGCGGGTTCGAGGCTAAGGGCGAACTGGGCAAAGGAAACTTGCTCATGTGGCAGATCGACGAAAAAGACCAGAAGGATATTGAGAAGAAGCGTACGTTGGAGGCCAAAGGCAAGAAGCGCGAGGAGTACCTGCGACCGGATGAACTCATTCAGGCGGCAGTCATGGCTCTCCACGCGGAAGTTACGGAGATGTCGTTCCCTTGGTTGACACTCCACAAGTCATGCTGGGAGATGATGAAGCTGGTCAAGGAGAAGAATCATCAACGTCTATCACAGATCTTTGGCAGCGGCTACCTCAATGACAAGAGTCAAATGCCGTTGGTGATTGGGTACATCTTCATGACCACGTGCGGCGAGTGTCCCGGCCATCTGAGGACTATGGACCTCATGAAGCAGGCCGCGGAGGCCGTCAAGGAGTATGTTACACGGGGATCGGGAGATCTGTGCTTGAAGCTGTTTGCGGAGATGGGACACCCTGTCCAGTTCGTCAACGAGGATGAGCTTTTGGAGAATAGTGTCTAGAAAAGGGGAAAGCCCCATCATAAGAGCCATACTGCATAGACATGGGAAATACGTAGCATAGCATGGTTCTTATATGAAGGGGATCAAATTTTGGAAGATATGTGAAGCTAGACAGAAGAAACCAGTTCATAACTGACACCTCGTCGTTATCTGTAGTGACCATAATCATTTAATTATGACAAACCACAGTTTGCTTCAACGCTGATTGCCTGAACATAGCTCACAGTGGTCATTTCCTTCGTCTTTGGTTTCAGCTCTCATGTCCCTTATCAAGTTTGAAGCTGAGGGTAAAACGGAAAAGGGAATTTTGATGCTCAAGAACATTGACGTGCAAGATCAAAAAGCGCATCGTGAAGCACGATTTGTCGTGGGCCACAGGCGATACAAAGTAATGAGTACCAGCGACTTGATCCAGGCCGCGGTCATACTCTCCAGGATAAAACCCGGAAATGACGTTTCCTCATTTGATCCTCCATGTTAATTGCTAGAGCATGTTTTTTTTTTTTTTTTATCAGCTACGACCATTATCTGACAGCTTCGGCTCCATCGAGAACCCTGAGGCAGGCACCCTACATCGATGGCTACGTCTTTATGACGTGGGCCGGTAATAATGGCCCTCGAACGATTTCCATGGGGAAAAAGGCAGCTAGCTGAATGCTGTCAAAGAGTCTATGACGGGACATTAGTTTCTACCTACATTAGTCGGTAGTCTCGAAAATTCTCAGGACTGCGAATACCCTGTCGAGTGTCTCTCCAAGGATGAATTGGACACCGAGGAGGTCCAAGCCCAAATCAACAAAGCCTGATTGGTTGCCACACGACGATGCACGGTGCCCTTCTTCGCCTCACAGGTAGCTATCGAACATACTCGAGGCCTTGGTTGGTTTGCCTTGTTAAGTTGGGTTAGTTGTTCAAGTCTAGGTGGTAAGAATCCATCGTTCTCATGGATGATGACGGATGATCAAAGTGTACCTGTAATAAGGTGTTAGAACCAATGAGTGTGACTGACGAGCAATAGACTAACTCTAGCTGATGATCACTTGAAGCGCGAAACTGATGCAGATGTAGGTAGGAGAGGAGATATAAAAACATTCTGGTAAACAGAGACAAGAGAGAAAAGAACCCCGTCGTGCTATACTAAACCTATCATCGAGATACGACGTATGATAAGGTAGTAAAGTAGTAAATGATTATACCAAACCACTCGATCACCCCAAGCTAGGCAGCTACCTCTACCGTCTGATCTTAAAGGGAGGAAGGAGGTGCTCCAAAGGTTGGGCGGTCTACTTATAAAACCCCCATCATCCCGCTCGGCCGTCTTCCGCTTCCAGTTATTTCTCAACAACCAACATCCACTTGACAGTCACTCCAGGCACCCATATAATATATATCTGTATGTAAGTCGAGGCTATCAATTTCCTTTGCCCTACCAAGATGACTGGTCAGGTGATTATCATTTCCGTTATCATTATAATCATTAATCTAATCACTAACCTGGCAATTACCAACAACAAACAATAGTACCACCACCCATTTACAGATAACCACATACAAACCATTCCAACCCTCATCATGACAACTCCCATCTTGACCCCCACACCCATCTACCGGGTTTGCGCCCTCATCGAGCTCAAAGGGTCGGCCAACATCCGCGACTGGAACCACTTTCTTCGAGTGGAACTCGACGCCGAAGAGTTGACCGAATACGTATTCGGTCCTACTAGCGCCGTCCCGGAGCCGAACAAGAACCTCGACCCCGTGGCACACAAGGCCTGGAAGCTGGCGCGCGCCAAGGCCATGAGGATTCTGTACACGACTTTGAAGAGGGAGACGGTGACCAACAGGCTCGAGGGCTACGGCTGGGACGAGGATAACAGAGATCCTTCCTATGTTCATAAGCTCGTTTGGAAGGTTTTTGGGCCTGGAGCTCCCTCCATAAGCCTGGGCGGACTTTGAGATTAGGAGGATCACTTTTTAAACAGTTGGTTGATGAAATGCACAACGATCAGGCAAAGTCAAGTTCTTTCAAACAACCTCTCAAAGTAAGAGGCACCCTCGATTCCAACAACCACAGCCAAGCTAAAAAGACATCAAAAACATGACCTAGTGTAGACCACGCACGAAATCTGCGTGCGTGTACTCTTACTGTACCCAAGATTACATGTAAATATCCAAACAGATAATCCCGTTTCCGTATCCTTCTTTCGTTTTGCCAAAAGAGGAATGTCCAGAAAAAAAAAGCCAAAGAAGAAAACGAGCGCCAAATGACATATGCAAAGAACTTTCTAGGTTGTTGTTCTCGTGTCGTTTGTGTCTCTCATAAAGACCGATGAGCACACAAGAGTCATCCATCATTCCAAGTCCAAGGGGGGGGGGGGAATCCCAAAATACAAAAAGCCACAGTAGAAAAATGCTGATGGAGAAATTGTTCATCGCAAGGAAAGCATCGCGCCAGGCACCGCCTTAAACGACAGGGCCAGCCTTGATGACATCCTCAGTAGCCTCGCTCTCGTACTTCTTGAAGTTCTCGAGGAAGAGACCACCCAGCTTCTTGACCTCGGTGTCGAACGAGTTGGCACCAGCGGTCCAGGCAGTCTTGGGGTTGAGAAGCTCTGAGGGAACACCGGGGCAGCTCTTGGGAACCTGGAGGTTGAAGACCTCGTAGTTCTCGTACTCGACGTTGGCGAGCTCGCCAGAGTGGATGGCGTCGAGGATGGCGCGGGTGTACTTGAGCGGGCAGCGCTTGCCGCCCTGGGCGAAGCCGGCACCGACCCAGCCGGTGTTGAGGAGCCAAGCGTTGGCGTTGTGGTTCTCGATCTTCTCGGCGAGCATCTTGGCGTAGCGCATGGGGTGCAGGGCCAGGAAGGGCTGGGCGAAGCACGAGGAGAAGGTCGCCTGCGGCTCGAGAATGCCGTCCTCGGTACCGGCCATCTTGGAGGTGTAGCCGGAGATAAAGTGGAACATGGTCTGGGCCGAGTCGAGCTTGGAGATGGGAGGGAGCACGCCGCGGGCGTCGCAGGTGAGGAGGATGATGTTCTTGGGGTGGTTGGGCGACAGGCAGGGGATCTTGGCGTTGGGGATGTACTCGATGGGGTAGGCGCAGCGGGTGTTCTCGGTGAGGGTGGCGTCATCGTAGTCGACCTCGCGGGTCTCGGGGTTGAAGACAACGTTCTCGAGGACGGAACCGTAGCGGATGGCGTTGAAGATATCGGGCTCCTTCTCGGCGGAGAGACCAATGGTCTTGGCGTAGCAGCCACCCTCGATGTTGAAGACACCGCGGTCGGACCAGCAGTGCTCGTCGTCACCAATGAGACGGCGGTTGGGGTCGGCCGAGAGGGTGGTCTTGCCAGTTCCGGAAAGACCGAAGAAGAGAGTGACGTCGCCATCCTTGCCTTCGTTGGCGGAGGAGTGGAGGGTGAGGATGTTGTGCTTGACGGGGCCCTCGTAGAACATGACGGTGAAGATACCCTTCTTCATCTCACCGGCGTACTCGGTACCGAGGATGACCATCTCCTTCTCGGCAAAGTTGATGGCAACGGAGGTGGAGGAGGACATGCCCTCAGTGTAACGGTTGGCGGGGAAAGAGCCGGCGTTGTAGATGGTGTAGTCGGGGTGGAAGTGCTCGAGCTCCTCGCGGGGAGGGCGGATGAGCATGTTGCGCATGAAGAGAGCATGGTAGGCGCGGGCGCAGACGACACGGACGCGGATGCGGTACTTCTCATCCCAGCCGGCATAACCGTCGACGACGTAGATGCGATTCCTGGTGTTGAGGTAGTCGACAGCACGCTCGCGGTTGATCTTCCAGACCTGTAGTAGTGAAGAGAGTCAGCAAGTGGTGACGACGAGGGGGGCCACGTGATCTGGGATCGCCGTTGGCCCGAGTGGAGAAAAAGGGGTTCGGTTGGTGCGGGGAAGGCCGAGTGGTTTCCCGAGCGGGAGCGGGGTGCATTGATGGGGGGGGGGCATGCATCCGAGGCTGGGACCTGATTCGGGGACAAGCGCTGCGGGTCATGACGACAGCCCAGGCGAGAGCAGGGGCGGGTCAAAGGGACCCCACATGGCGCCGGTGCACACCGGCTCCACGATGACACCGACAAGACATCAAAAGTCGTTTCCAAAGTCGCCAAGAACAATGACGTGAAGCCGTGCTCTGCTTGGCAAAATCCATTGTGTGGAAAGTGCACCGCAGGGCTGCCGACCTCACCATCGCCTGTTCGAGTGCGAAATTGGTCGCGTGTGCTTGTGCAACCATCCAATGCCAATGCCGCCGCCAATGGATGCATTTGAAACTGTGGAGTGCAACCAACCAACCAACCAACCAACCAACACCTTTTCTGGTCATGCCGGATGTGTCGAAAAAAAAAAGTGCAAGTGTTTCTTACCTCTGGGCTCATGGGCTTGTTGACAGGTCCCCACCTATTTGAGAAATCGTCAGCAAGTCTGTTGTGAAGTCAAAGGCAGGGGCGACAGGTTCAAACGTACCAAATGTCGTTTTCTGATGAAGGCTCCTTGACGATACGCTTATCTGAGGGAGAACGGCCAGTCTTCTTGCCCGAGTAGGCGGTAAGAGCACCGCTGGATGTGATGGCAGTGCCCGTCTCATAGACGAGGGCATCCTCGTAGAGGGAGGCGACTGAAGGGTTGGCGATCTGTGGAGGGTTAGTTATGCGTCCTTCCAGCAGCATGGCCATTTTCAAAGAGTCCAACTTGGAGCCAACAGGCGGTGCATATGCAAGCTCCTTCATGTTGATATCGAATGTTGCAGTCTCAAAAGGCGATGAGGAGAGAGGGACGTACAATAGCGACTCTGTCATAGTCGATGTGAGCTTTTTGATGGAGCTCCTCCTCTAGTTCTGTGTGCTCGACATGGGGCCTGTTGAAGTATCGTCAGCACCTCTGGCCAGGCAACGAGTCGTGTTGCCATGGAGATTTGCTCACTTGACACCACCAGGGTGGAGGTTGGTCTTGTTGACGTGATCGTGGTTGAACACTAGACGAGACAAGTGCGGTTAGCCATGGTGAACTTGTCAAAGTCTCTTGTGCAGTCGGGACTGCGTGTGCTTTGGGCTGATAGAGACGAAGATGTGACGACACTTGGTCACGAGGGGCATTCATTGTATGCAATGTGTATGTTGATGTGTATGCGTGGGCATTGTCGAGGCTTGAGGGCTGGCAGTTGGGGTACTTGCTGTTGGATGATTTATTGTTGTTGTTGTTGTTGTTGCTGTTGTTGATGAAGCTAGAAGATGGGCCAGACGAGAGACGTTGTAGTCGAGGGCATTTGATGTTGGGATTAGTGTAGGGAGAAGCGGTTCTGATGACGGGGTCGCCCATGGTACTTATTGTTTTCGACGCGGCGGTTTGCAGAGGCCGGACGACTGGAAAGCCAACTCGGGAGTGGAAACGGTTACGGGCTCGTGGTTGAACGGTGACAGGGGATGCGGGAGCACAGCCGGAGACGACAACGGCAAGTAAGCTGGAGGAGGATCCAATTGGTGAAGATGGAACAAGTCCCAGGAGAACCCGAGGTGAAGGAGACATGGGATATAAAGATGTGGAGACCAAAGGGTAGCCGATGCCCAATCATGGGTGACGTCTTTGCTTTGAAGGCGCCTCCAACCCCGGAACAGGAGCGGGTGTAAGTGGAATCTAACGGGCAGCACGGGGCAGGACGGAGGCAGACGGAGCCAGAGGGTTGCAGGGCGGTCTTGACGCTATGGGCGGACAGTTTCCTGTCTGGGCTGAAGACGGTTTCCACGAAGACTTTCCGGAGCCAGGCCTCGTCCACCCCTGCCCCCCTGTCGTCCTTCGGGAATCATCAGGGCGATGCAAATCAACCAGAATTACACTAGATCGCTGCTGCGAACTGTGCCATGTACACGACCGTAGGTACGCATGGTGGTGGTGTTTCATCAGGGGTGCAGCGACGTCGTTTGTTGAACGGTTATTGCTGGATGTGGTCAAGCCTGGGTGCGCTGGCGTGGACAATTACTGTACGTAGTGTCTTGTAAGCTGGCAATCGAAGTCCAGTTTGCCAAGTATCAGCCTTGACGTTCGTTTCTTGCTGCCATTTAATATTTCCAGGCCACTGGATACTTATTGTTCGATGTAGGCACGGATTCAATGAGCAGCTCTCTGTATCAAACTGTCCATGAATTTCACACTGACCTTGCATCTCCTACTTTACTACCCCGTCTGTTCAACTTGCACACGATTCCAGTGTTGTTGGCGGTAGTTGGTCCGAGCCATGGCCATCCTGTCAATGTTCTTGGCCGCAGCCCGAGACAATCTGTTTCGTGTTGCAATGACTACCATTCCGAAGGACGCCGGTACAGTGTAATTCCTCGATCATGTTGTGCTTTGGTTTCAGTTGAAGGCCGACGTTGGATTCGTGATTGTACGCAGCATGTGCAAGTGCCCTGGATAGTGAGATGTGCAACTCGGAGACGGTGTAGGGAAACGGCCGCTGTGTGCAACGGTTGTATGTACATGTACCGACCTACATACATAGGTACCTCTAGGTAGTTGCTGGCCAGGGGTTAGGGGAAGCGCGGTGGAGGCTACCTACAGGGAAATTAGGTTGGGCCTGCCAAACCGGGAATCAGAGCAGCGCCTAACAATTTACCAGCATTGTTTTTAGAAGCTGAAGTGGAAACCCGTAAACTCAGCTAGCTCTGTTTTCGATCTCTGCTGGGCACATGACTCCCTCTCCAGGCTATTACCGTCATTTACGGCTCAACCTCCAGTAGCCCGTCACCGTCGTCAAGGTGAACTTTTGTTTCCCTGCATTTGGCGCCCAGGATGTTGACCGAAGCAAGCTGCCTGTGTCAAGTATGGCTATGCTTGCTTTGACGCTGTCGGCTCCCCTCGTGTTCGACTCTTTGATTAGGGGCAAAACTTACTCCGAAGGGTTGAAGGACAAGCCAATCAGGTGGTGGGAAATTGGTCAAGACATGAAAGAGCAAAGAGTTTTGGGATGACTATATCCGGTAGTAGGGTACCGGTTCGCCAATTCGCGGCTCTGCGGTGCTACAAGTTTTAGTCACTCACACGGTATCGCAGGCCAAGAAATCGAAATGGCGACACGCTTTGAACGGGCAGAGAACCTGGGGCTTGGGAAATACCCAGCCCTTGGCAGCAGCCTGATATTCTGGAGAATTATCATGCCAAGCCGTGGTTTGGGGAAACCTTTGCGGAAGGAAAGCCAGACCGGTGCTGGTACCCCGCAACAACCCGCATTTTGTGACCTCTTCTTTCCTTACCCCGGCATTTGTGAATGGGAGAATGGAGATTTTTCTAGGCCACCATCTCCATCCGAGCGGATGCGCGGGACCCCGCCATTTCATAGTGACAGGAACCGACCACTTCAGGTTCCCATCTCCATCCGCTCTTCCGGTTTTCAATTTCAGTCCATGATACATACGCCTGAACAGAGTTTCCCTTTTCCTCCAAATTTGGAAATAGGAATAGTCCGAAAAGTTTTCGGAGTTGCAATCCGTTCTCCTCTCGTCCCAATATCATCATCGGGTCAAATCGCAGATAAGACGGTCGATAGTGAAAAGACGACATGCACCGCTGTTGCATCGTCGTTCCAATGTTCCACTCCACTCTCAAAGGTACCTGACATGCGTACCTGAATCTCGCCAAGCCGTGCCCCGCTCAATGTCACCACCAACCCACGTTTGTTGTCATGTCGTTGCCGACGGCGGGCATTCCGTCATACTGTAGGTTCAGTTGACGAGAACAATCGGCGGCACCGTTTTGGTGTCTCTCTTGCTCTTCCGACTTTGCCCGAAACCCCCCTTGCAAAAACAATAACCAAAACCGACAGTCTGGGGCATGCAGCATTCAATTCACAGTTCATGTGACGTTGGCCCCAACACAATCTCTTCTCTGGCTTTGAAGTGGATGAGTGTGTTGGGATGTGTTGTACTCTGACCGCAAACCAACTGGATCTCTCTGGGCGGCCTGCTTCGAGAACACGGGCAGAACTCTCGGCAGTGTTAGCGCATGACTTGGGATACCTGGGCAACTGCGTGTGGATCTTTACGTAACTGGGCAGCCATCGTGACTCCTCGTGGATAAAAGTTGTTGTAGTTGTTGTCCTGGAAACCCCAAGGTGACCAATAAAAGTAGTATTGGAGCGCAATGGAGTGTAATGGGGTCGAAAACGGAGCCCGTGATGGAAACGGTCAAGATGCAAGGCGGGCATGTGATCACCACTGAATCTGGATGTTCGGGAACTATCGTGTGCTACTGTACTTGGTTCAAGAGCAATGTAGAGAGGTACATACCTTGGATGAAAGGGGCCCTCACCCTCTGTCTGGGTCAACAGACCGCATCAGGTCACGAGAACACAGCATGGCAACAAAAGAGAAGCGGTAAAGAGGTTTGTTTTGGACTTCGTTGACAGGCCAATGCATACAAGGCTGAGGCAGTGTAGTACATGGGTTCCAGACCGACTGAACTCTGGCCACAAGAAAGAACAGCTTCATGGTGATATTAGTATTCATTGTGATTTGTTCCGGCGTTTGAGAATATCGCCAAGGTGTCAATACAAAAAAGTGCCCGAAGAGGTGAAACCTGCCACAAGTTCTCGGATCGCACAGCCAAGAACAACAAAAAGTTGAATGCTACAGAATCGACGACGAGGGCGGAAGTTGGCGGGATCGGCCTTGCATTTGCCTCGACTTTTCCCGACTTGGTCTGGTTGAAGCACATGAAGATCTAGACCCTGGCCTCCCTTGTTCCGGTTTCTTCCATTGTGTGACATCAGCAGCCCGCTGCGAGTGTCCAGCCCAGCTCCGTTGGGCCGGCTTACTTTTGCTGCACCTTTTCGGCCCCGGTCGCTGACTCCCTTACACTTCTGCCGATCCCCCGACATCCGCCGACTCGGGATCCCGTCCAACTTGATCCTCTAGTGTACACTACACTAAACCTGTGTGACTGTGTACTCCACTTTCAACATCAACCTCACCCACGGTAACACCGCCAGAATCTCACTCGCGAATTCATTCGGTAATTTTCAATGGAAAGCATCAGTGTCGCGTGCCTTCCTTCCTTCCTTAAACTCGCTCAAGCAACAGCCTGCATCTCGCCAAATTAGCCGATTATCCAGTAACCACTGCTGGACAAAACCCAGCCGAAGAACCATTGCGGGAGAGGCGTCTACAAGCTTTTCAGCCTGCGGGAGAGTTACATTGGCTGTTAATGATCTCCCATCTCTTCCATCAAACATAATGAACGATACGCTTTACACTACGGTCGTCGTGATGGGCCTGATTTCGACGGGACAGAAAGATCACTGTTGAGCTTATCTCGACGAATCGGTGTCCAAAACATCCAGCCGACCGTTTCTGCGGTTTCCCACAAGAGGGAGCTGCAGGCAAAGTTACCAACTCCGGCAAGAGATTCTCGTGCTGCTCTCCCGTCTCCCACCTATCCATCCATATTCGTTGAGGCTCGTGCGTCTGTGAACTTCAAAACCGACCGTGGTTGTCGGGAACTCGCTCGGCGGCTACACCCGCATGATCTGAGCTCAGGCACTGAGCCTTGGACTTCTCTGGGCGTCGGGGTACAGAAAAGACGGTTGGTCCTCGGCCCAAGAGGCGAACTTACCCCGGATTGGATCTTACCCTGATCCTAGTCCCTCATTGATGACTTGGCTCGTGCCAGGGGGGAGAAAACGTGGGTTTGCAAAAGAAGATGAACCGGGACCTGCCCAGCTCCATACTTCTCCCCAGGTTTTCCAACCTACGAAAGCGGATTGGACGGTTTGAAGAACGGATGCCGCCTTGCCGCTCCAGCCTCTTATTCCCTTAGGTCTATTTACCCTCTTGTGGCTAGTCTGCTTTTGCCTTTCTTTCCGCATAAGCGCTCTCTAGACAGCAGCCGGCAAGTACCTACGTAACAGATGCTTCCCTGACCGGCTCACGGGTCCCGGCCTTGTACCCTACATCGCCACCGCTCATGCCATGTGTGAGTCCAGTTGTTGATGTTCGTCCGCCAGTCAGCTGGCTGCCGAGCCGCCGCTATCCGGGAGAACGTCGATCTTGATGGTGCGTACACTACGTACGTACTTATTATATCTAAGACACTCATCCCTCACTCACCTACACTAACGGATCAGACGGCCAGATGTTAGCCGTGATCCGTGAGCCGATGAAACATTCGCACCATGAAAACGTTATTCCCGTTAAACACTTTCTCGGTGGTTATCTTCCATTGATCGATGATCACCACGGAACTTCATTCACAAGAAGTCCGAGATCAACGGGATGATTCTCGTCTTTTTAACTCCGGCGTCCGGCACATAGTTCCACACGAGCGATAACACTCTTCAATGCGGTATTATCCGTCTACCAACCTCTTTCTTCTAGTCCTCGCTCAAACCAACTACGTACCATTAGTAGAGGTATACACTACCTACCTATACGGATACATGTACGGTGACATGGTTTATGGAAGCCGTCTACCACCGACACTTCCGTAGACACAGAACCACACCATGTCAACACCTTTTCACACTCTACCCAAATTACTTCTATCTCATCCCACTGGGTTATCAGTGATTCTCTTCCATAGGTATATACACTACAAACATGTAGAAGTACATATTTCATCCATGAGGGTAGTGGCAAGTACATATCAACCCAATGTACCAAAAGCAGGGGCAGCGGCAGAGGAAGTTAGTGCAGTGTAGTGTATCACGGTAGGTCCGGCGGCATGGGTTAGGTTAAGAAATACAAGAGAGTAAGGTTCAAGTGGTCAATCCGTCGGATAAGATCATGAAGTTTTTCTTTTTCTTTTTTTTTTTCTTTTTTTTTTTTTTTGGGGGGGGGGGGGGGGGGGGGGGGTGCTTGATGACATACTGGGCTAGTTCTAGCTGACTGTAAATCGCTTTGGCTTCGTAACCCGAATAGATACATAAGGTAACATTTTAACACTAAACTACCTATATCACACCTCCTCTCGTCAGGTACATGTATTTCACATGGAATAGTGATAGTTGTTTCACTAGAGGTACCTACAGAACATCAATCAACATGGATATGGAAGAGGTTGCCCTGGGAGAATATGAGAGGTACATGTAGCAAGCTTAGCAATTTGGAATGTCGGAAATTTCTGGGGAATATATCGTCTTTTGCCAATCCAAGTCAGGTTCGCCATAGCGGGTAGATGTTTGTGACATACTACCTAGGCTAGTACCCAAATCAAGGGCAACATGCCATCCTATGGTCGGGTTCTCGTAGACAATCATCGCTTCATTCATCATGATATATATAGCAAGTGTTATGACTGTCACGTAAGTTCGCTTATCTCTGTAGAAATCCCGGATGTGTAGCCCTAGAATCATTTTGTACATTTTGGACATATCAAGTTTTCACACACTCCCTTCTCGACCATTTAGACTGCTGCTCTTTGTGTCAATGACCCTGCCGCTTCAGTAACTGTAGTCTTACAGACGACCACCACTCTCAGATGATCGACATGAAAGCCCTGTATCTTCCCCAATGCTACCGTGGAGTTATGGGTAGACAGGTAAAACCCGTGGGCCAGGTCGCTGATAATCTCTAGCCCTCGAGTGACCATACAATTACTGAACCACAAAGCTTTGCTTGTTCGAATCCATGCCAGGGATCTAAATGACTTAGAATTTCACTTTTTCTGGCGACGAAAACAACAATACCAACGACAGAGAAACTTCCAAAACTCCCAGCCCCCTTCAAGATGGGGTACAAGCTCCTCAGAAGGAGTCACTGGTTTAGTGACGTTGTGCGGCCCAGTGTATGGATGAATCCGATCCGGCCCTCCCCAAAACGAAACCACCTCAATTGAATAGTCCAATTCTCTTCACAGGCGAGCCCCTGCTAGCCACATGCATGCATTTTGACCTTTTGACTTTGGCCGCATACCACCAATACGACATTGTGGGTGGCCTCGCACCGAACGGCGGGTCTTATCTCTTTCGCGTAGCAATGATCCAGTTGACCCTACCAATCGGCCACATAAATGTCTTCTTTCCGCTCTTCAGCTCCCACTTCTCGATCTCGGCTGGTCCGCCCTCGGCCCCGCAGGTGCGCAGCAGATGCGCCACCTCCTCGGGGGTGCGCGTGCGCAGGGCGCTGACGATGCCGTCGGCCACCAAAACAAAGGGGAGGACGGGGATCAGGTACGTGAACACCAGCGTCCAGGGCGCGTGCCAGACGCAGAGAGCGTAATAGGGCGCCAGCAGCATGATGCCGATGCCGAAGAGAATGGGTGGGAGCATACCGAGCAGGGTGCGGTCCTGCAGCTCAAAGATGCCGAAGCCGTCACTGGTCTCGACCGTGTTCTTGAGGATGGCGCGCGCCAGCGGGTCGTCGAAGTGGTGGAAGGCCAGGTTGAAGAGTCGGAACACCTTCTTGCCTTTGTCCTTGTACTGGCCGACCAGGTCGGCGGGCGCGTTGGCGGCGTCGACGGGGTCCGCGACGTAGCTGAGGTGTGAGCTTTCGGCTGCGGCTTTCTTCCAGTCGGTAACATGTGGGTGGAGATCCGTGAGGACGAAATGGACGCCGTCTTTCTCGTTCTGTTGGGAGGAGGGCGGGAGAGTGGCGTTCAGATGGCGCTCGATTGAGGGCGTGGGACCGCCGCCGCCGGCGCAGAAGTCGATGAAGACATGGTCGAATACGGCTTGGCCAAGCGTGTCGGAGAGAAGGTTGGCAACAGTTTGGGCGGGGGATTGAGCTTGAAGGAATGGAATCTGTTGCGCGAAAGGAGGTAAATGTGTTAGTTACAATACTAGAACGAGAAGAGGAAGGGGGTTGTGTTTACGTGGGTTGTCCAAGCTATTGTCAGAGCTGCCTGGACTTTTGATCGAAGCCACGGTGGGAACCTTGATGGCGGCCCAAAATGTCAGTTGCTGTGGGTGGCGCTCTTTAACGTAGTGGCCGGAACCTACCACGGCTGGTCATCGATCTCAAACAGATGCATACGGGGGAGTAGAGGCGCCATCGTGTCTTGTGTGGTCTCTATTGGGCTGCAGACAAAGTTTATTTCTAGAGTAATATCGGGAGGAAGAAGGGCAATGTTGGCCAGATACAAAGAAGGTTGCGAGTTTCGGGGGCGATCATCAACCCAAGCACGTCCACGCATGCAGATGACCCAACAACACGACCAGTTGAGACGATGCGGAGAGCAGTCTCCACATCAACGGAAGCTGTGCAACTGCAACTGCAACTGAAGTGGGAGCTTCCGTCTCTAGTGCATTGTAAGTATGCTGTATGTATGGACTCACAAAATTCCCAAGTACAATTGAAAATAACGCCTGTATTTCCTCCCATTTTGGCTGGTCATTTCCGATCAATCTGGCAGCTTTGTCGCGACGTGCCAGTCCCGCGCATGTGAAAGGGCGATCGAGTTGATGATGTCAATGATCTCCAGGAAACCTTATTCCAAGCTCAAATGGCGTGCATAGGATACCCTCGTCTCTCGATCCGCGTGCGCAGGTACCAGGCTGACCTGGTAGAGGCACAGTGTATTTGCGCTCATCTCAGTTAGCGCATTGCGATTTCCAGCTGGATACAACCAAACAGTTTGGAAGCTTGCGCAGTAAGGACGTCGTGATCATAGATGTGGTAGTGTTTTGAGGATGTGACAATCTCCTTCATCGTGTGGAATACGTAACGGGCCCTAATACACGGATGGTTTCAAACAGGAATTGTTTGAGGAAGGGATAGCTCACAGCCATGGTGGGATTCCAGGTTGGGGACAGAGAAAGCATTAACAGTTACCCACCAGAAGTTGGACACAAGTCAGATACTTGACTAACACTCACTATCAACATCCCCCAAGCACTGTTTCCTTAGCCGGTGAGAGCCATTCCTCGCATGATCTGGTGCGACTGCGGGGCAGGCCGCTATCGAGCTTCAGCTGGGATGAATGCATTGAATCATTCATTGTTTTCGGGACGCTGCAATCGCCTGCAAGGGTTCACAGTTTGGACTTTTCTTGATCTTACGACTTTGCGGCCTGGTGGTCTTTCCATTTCACTTACCCATCAGGGCAACCCCGACCTCTTTCTTTGCTGCCTCCCAAGTTCTCTTCGCATATTACTGTTACTTTCACGAGGAAAATTTGATTGACTTTGTGGCCATGTACTCTCAACACATCTTGTGAGCGACCAATACTTCAAGTCTAGAACTTGTCACTCGAGCGTGAACATTCGCGACCATTGCAAAAGGCAACTCGTTGTCACGTTTCTTGACGAGTCGCGGTCCAATTGTCCACCTCCTGCTGGTCCATCCTTCAAGAAGAGTTCATGAACCCTGCCTTCGACATCATCACCGGACCTGCCTCCTACCATGGGTATCATTCACGAGAAGGCGCATTACGTCGTTGCTGTCGCCCTCGTTGCCTTCCTTATACGCGCTTTTGTTCTTAGCCAATGGAACACCATCAAGAAAAATGGCGAGCGTCTAAAGTAAGCGGCCGCCTCACTTCCCCTGCTCATCTCACAACAGAGTCTAACAGTATTGGCATCTAGGAAACCACCCAATACCCTCCCTTTGGTGGGGAATGGTCTCCAGTTTCTCCAATCTAGATGGAAACTGTTCAGCTGGTTTGACGCCTGTCAGCGCAAGTTTGGGTACGAGACTGTTGCTATCTCGGTCCCAACCCTGCCTCCTGGAGTGCTCATTCATGACCCTCGTAACTTGGACTACGTGTTCAAGAATGAGGGCATCTTCACCAAGGGTAATTTCGTCAAGGGCCGAACGTGGGATCTCTTCGGCAACGGCATCATCAACGCCGAGGGCGACTTTTGGAAAACCCAGAGGAAAGCAGGTCTAAGCTTTCTCAACACCGCCAACCTGCGAGTTCTCACGGATGTCGCCCTACCCCAATATCTCTCCGAAAGCATTGCCCAGCTCAGGTCAAGCACCAATGGTACCGTGGTCGACCTACAGCATGTCTTTCATGAGATCACCACTAAACTGATGGGCAAGATGGCCTACAATGCAAGTATTCTTGGTATCTACCGTGCTGAAAAGGATCGTTTAGACTAACATACACCCAGATGGCAATGCATGCGGACGACGAGTTCACCGTATCCTTTGACTATGCCTCAGGCGGCACTGCTGAACGTTTCCAGAATCCCCTGTGGTTCGTGACCGAAATCTTCCTGGGGGCAGAGCTTCGAAAGTCGATCGCCGTTGTCAAGGACTTTGGAAGGCATATTGTTACCAAAGCCGTACAAAATCGCCAAGAAAAGGGGTTCGGAGAGGAAGAAGGAAAGCTTGATCAAATCTCAGGCAGTCTTATCCAGTCCCTCCTCGACGCCATCCAGGACGAGCAAATGGTAGCCGATGCTGCCTTAACCTATCTCTCTGCAGGCAGAGACACGACCGGCCAAGCCTTGACATGGACCTTCTACCTTTTGATGAGGCATCCTAGAGTCGTTGCCAAGATCCGCGAGGAAGCCACGCAGCTGCTGAAAGAAAAGAATATTACGCTCACCCCGGACCAGTTCGACTCCTCGCTTTTCAACCCTGTCACCATGCCCTACAGTATGGCGGTGTTCTACGAGGTCCTCCGTCTCTATCCGCCCATCCCCTTCGAGATCAGACAATGCAACGAAGACGTTACGCTCCCCGACGGCACCTTTCTGCCCAAGAGCTCCATCTTGGTATGGTGTCTGTGGGCCATGCAGCGCTCAAAACTTACTTGGGGTGACGATGCCGACGAATTCAGACCGGAACGATTCCTGGACGGAAACAAGCTGATATCAAGGAGCCCATCCGAGTTCCCAGTCTTTTATGGCGGACCGAGGACCTGTCTGGGAAGGAAGATGGCGGAAGCCATTGCTGCACAGGTTATCCCAACCATGGCCTGCCTGTTTGACTTTGTTCCTACTAGCGATGAGGAGAGGACAAGCAAGACCAGTCTAACACTTCCTATGGAGGGCGGCTTACCCGTGACAGTAAAGACTCGGACCGGGGAAGAGCGAGAGAAACTGGTGCGCATACCTGAAATCAGATTTAGCGAACATTGAAAGCGACTAGATGGCACTCGTATATAGACGGCTTCAGCATTGTTTCATACCATCATAATACCCATGGGCAGGGGCTTTGTTCTCAGCCCGATGTTTCTGCGATCAACGTCAGTCTTGTTACACGAAAATGCAGCTCAATGTGTTATATCCCGGCAGAAGTATACATCGTCTCTCCGCTCATGCTATACCATATCAAGGGCTTTGTTGACATGAATTCGGGACTGATGCTGGCACAACAGGTTTGCATGAGTTCATCAGATGTAACAGCTTGGCGGCATGCAGCTAATGACCAGAACCTTCCTCCTGGAGCTCCAAAGATGGGATGGGTTCGTGGATGGCATTGCCCCAGGGTCTAACACAAATTGATTCACAACAGATATTGATCCCCTATCCCAGAACAACCTAGCAGCCCCATCCTATCAACAAATTTACCATACACCCGGTGCGAACCATGACTGGTGCCAAATGCCGCGATCGCAAAGGCGTCAACCAAGCTCGTGTACGGTCTTTTCTCGTGGCGCGTTTCGTCGTAACACAGACCCAACAATCGCCCGCCGGCACGGCAAGCTTACTCCGATTTGGTTGTCAATAACCTTAAATCCTTATCAGTTGATATTGTGAAAACCGAAATGGGGATGGTTTGCAGGTTCTTTCAAAAAGCTGTGCAACTCCGGAACCGGACAACCGAGAGAAGAAGCAGCCATCGACGGTAGATGTTCCGACTGATAGGTACACACAACTACTACGAGTTAAAAGACACGTTGACAGTTATCGAGATTTTGGCTGCAGAGCACGATTGAACAAATTAAAAAATTTGACTATTTTAGACTAGGCATCTTACCATGCATACCGCTCATCCCCAAGCAAGTTCTATCTTGCACAGGTTCTTCTCCCAAAATGTGTCAAGGTTGAAATTACCTCTCCGATCCTCCCATCAAATCTCAAACTGAATACCACCAGTCGTGATGCCAGCCTTCCCAAAGACAACAGGCAGAACCTCTTCCAACCGATGAGCTCATGGATCCCAGGTCTAGATCTGGGCATCATGCGTTAAGTCGAGATACGCAGCTCTGTTCTGCTGTTCCCAACAGAGGTAGCCCCTTCCTCGTCTATTCGTGCTGTTCTTTTAAGGACGGAAGGAGCATTCAACTGGGAAAGGTCACGAGTACTTCACCAGACGAACTAGAGGAACCTTGACTCTATCTGACTCCCGGTCCCACTCTCTCCCTTCAATTGTCCCGCTCCGAGGAAGTCTTCACTGGGATCACTTGCCCTAACCTCTCCGCAGAGGGCCGGCTCATTGGATCAGTTTTTTTTTTTTTTTTTTTAGCATCGTCAAGAGGGCCGCGAGGTTTCACTTTTTTCAACCTGGGCCAGTCCTCTTCTTCTGTCCTCACCCTCTACCAGGACCAGTTCTTCTCACCTTCTCATCCTTTGCTTTACTCTCAGGACATCGCGACAACTCTTCCGGTCGTTGTTGAGCCACCAAACACTCAAGTCTAGCAGCACTGGGACCGGGCCAACGCCGCCAAAATGGCTATCATCCAATCCCTCCTCAACTTGGCCAATTTCGCCAGTCCACTCAAGCGGACTGTCGTCCCCTGCATCATGGTCGCTTACGCGATTCAGATTGTCGTGGCTATTCCCTCAATCATCTACAAGTCCGATCGCTTCTTTGACGCCTCGGGGTTGTCTACTTTCCTCACCATCAACATTCTGAGCCTCTACCTGCCTGCCATCAGGGCCAAGTATGGCGGGGACAACCTTGAACAAGTCGCGGATGCAGTCAAGGAGGGCGTCCGAATGGTTACCGGAACCCAACCTGGATGGGGAAGCCTCTTGGTGGCACCCTTCAAAAGATGTAACATTGTTCAGGAAGTCGCCGCTGGCACCCCTCTCGCCGTTGACTACAACTGGAGACAGCTTGCCTTGAGCGGTGCGGTCACTATTTGGGCTGTGAGGTGTAAGTGACCCCCAAACTTCGGATAGTGGCATGAAACAATAGCTACGTCTTTACCTACCCACCTCGAGAACTCCATTCCTTTTCCCGAACTCGTCGACGAGAACGGGCAGTCAGCTAATACTTCGACGACATCGTAGTGGGAGTCTACCTATTTCGCCGCATTCTTCGCGAAGGCCACGACCGCCGCTTCAATGAGATCCGGATCAACCCCCGCCGCTACCTCAGGGCCTTCATCGGCCAGGCCACCTGGGTCATATTTTGCATGCTGCCCGTTATTGCCGTCAACTCAATCCCTTCCGGCGTTCCTTCACTCCAAGACATCAAGCCCACGGACCTCTCGGGGTTTGGATTGTGGGTTGTCGGCTTCGTGGTAGAAGTCGTTGCCGATTACCAGAAGAGCAAATGGCAAAAGGGGAAGCGGGATAAGGTACACGACGAGCAGTTCCTCACCAGCGGCTTGTGGTCCCAGTGGTGCGTTTTCACTCTTTCGCTCCCACATCCATTTCCTGGTACTAATTCAAGTTGACCGTAGTCGATTCCCAAACTACTTGGGCGAGTCGATGCTCTGGACGGGCATCTGTACCGTTACCTTCGGCGTTCTTATCTTTGACGACGTTCGGGAGGCTCTAGCCGCTGCCGATTCCTTCCCCATGAGTATCCTTTCGGTCATTTTCTTCTGCACAGTCGGCCCTGCGTTCGTGACTTTTTTGATGCTGAAGGTCACGGGCGTGCCGTATGCCGAGAGAAAGTACGACAAGCTGTTTGGCGGTGACAAGAAGTACCAGAAGTGGAAGAGGGAGACACCCAGGTTCATCCCTATCTCTTCTAAGTATCTTTAGAACGTGAACGACGGGCAGCACGTACGCATAGTTCGAGTGGGATTATAGAGATATCGATAAGTGGGACCCGGGGTATAATCAAACCGAAGTACATTGTGCCCAACCTGGGAGAGGTGGAATATGGATCGTTACGGATGCTGTAATAGAATAGACTCTATATTCAGGTAGAATCAGGTGTACGCTTCGACTGAGGAAAGGTTCATGTAGATTTTGGGGAGGTGCAGCGAGGGCGTGATAGGGGAGGTTATGAATACTTTAGTGGTTCCATTCCCCGAGACTTGCAACCTCCTTCGAAGAGGTACACAAAGAAAAGACGGCTCAACCGAGTTTTACAAAGTTCACACCTTGACAAGGATCATGCAAGAGTACCTCTAATTTTCGTCTCTTGTTCTGCTTCTTCTTCTTCTTCATGATCATGCATACATGCCGTCGCATCTGTCATCATCTACTTCATCTGCCGCGTCAAATAACATTATCCACCACTCCAATCCTTTTGCCCCCCCTCAACATCAAGTTCCACCACCTTCATCCAAGAAATTCCACACTCAGCTTGTTTTCCGACACTTTCGGAAGCCTCGTTGTCTTTTCCTCCGTAAACCCCAATTCTATGTGTGTGTGTCCAACTATCTGTTGACAGATCCCATTACAAAACGTTGTTGGTAAGGTAAATAAATAAAGTCGCGAGTGAATCGTCAAGTTTTTTTATTTTGCCGGAACCCTCGGTAAGAAGTTTAAAAAAAGATAAAGGTGATAATGCAGGTCGGTAGGTAGTTCGTACGAGGAATGCTTTTCCAAGGGCAACAAAAGTAGTCCCTTTCGACATCCAAGGCTGAGTGGGTGAATTACGATTGCGAATATCTCTTTGCGACGACTGTGTGTCTGTAGACCCAGTCGTCGATTGGCAATATAAAGAAAGGGGCTTAACGCCTGTTGAAGTTAAGGTATCGGCTCTAGAAGATGGTCACCAGAAGTTAGCAAATTGCTCCTCGATCAGATAGATAGGTAGATTTGAAGGGTATGATGTGCAAAAACTTACCGCCATAAAAAGAATAATCAAGTTACTCCCAATGAAAGCCAAGAAAATCCCCAAATCCCTCCACCTGTTATCAAAGCTGATCCCCAGTGGCTCATAAAACTGATCGCCGACCTTGTACGCGCAGTATTGACACGCGCTCGTGGCGTTGTTCACCAAGTAACCCGCTCCTCCCCTCTTGAAGAAAGGTTCCATGTACTCCCCACAGGATTGTCCCGCGGGAGCAGTGAAAGATTGCAGCTCGTAATCCTTGCAGATGACGGGCAAGTCGTGCAACTCGGTGACCACCATGCCGCCGATGAGACGAGTGAAAGGGTTCAGCTCGTACAGCCACTTTCGCCAAAACTTGGGCATCTGCGGCGCGGGGATGGTGACGCCGCAGAAGAGAGCAAAGGTGATCATGATGAAGGGGTCGAACTGGCTCGAAATAAAGACTGTCGGGGTCAGAGCGGACAAGCACTGCGCCATGGTAACGGAGAAGACTTCGGTGATGAGCACCATGAAGAACTGATACCCCGCTCTCGAGGACTCCGAGTTCAAGCCGGGCATGTAGTACACAAACACGAAGAAGATGACGGCGCAGAAGATGTTGTAGGGCATTTCGGCGATGACCATGGACGCGGCAAAGGTGAAGGAGTTGTACATCTTTGACGACTGCTCACGGAAGAAGATGGTGCGTTTGATGTGGTACATGACTTCGACTTGGGAGATGACGATGGCGGGAAGGACGGTGACCTGGAAGCAGACGAAGACCTTGTACTGCAAAGATTCGCGCGAGAGGTCGAGGTTGAGGAAGGTCAGACCGGTGATGAGCGCGATCACGGCGTGGGAGAAGACGCGGGTGAACAGGTAGTTGGGCGAGCGCCAGAGGGCGAGGTTGGTCCGGTGCGTGACCACCTTCAGCTGATGCCAGAGAGGGGAAGCGTACTCGCGCTCTAGGTCGTGGTTGACTTGCTCGCCTGCGCTCTTGCGAGCTTCCTTCATTTGCTGGATGGTGTCCTTCACGTTGGCGAGCTCTGGCGAGTCGGCCCAGATGTCGGCCCAGTCGCGGTCGCCGATGCGCGGGGCGGAGCCAGCGCCGATGGCTTCGAGCATGAACTCGGCTACGTTATCGGTCTCCTTGGGCACAGCACCGTGACGGCTGAGGTAGTCGCTCAACACGCAGGCATCTTTGCCAATGTCTCCAAAGTAGACGCAGCGCCCGCCGGACTTGAGGAGGAGCAGGCGGTCAAAGTTCTCGAACAGGGCGGCGTTGGGCTGGTGGATGGTGCAGAGAATGGCTTGGCCGGCAGCGGCGAGTTTCTTGAGGAAGCGGACGATATTGAAGGCGCTCTGGCTGTCGAGGCCCGAGGTGGGTTCATCCAAGAACAGGAGCAGCTGCGGACGGGCAGCAAGCTCGACACCGATGGTCACTCGCTTTCTTTGTTCAACTGTCAAACCGGCCTCGGGAGAGCCGATAATGGCATCGGCAAAGGTCTCCATTTCAAGAAGGGAGATGATCTCCTCTACGTAGGCGTATTTCTCTTCCCGGGGTGTTTCAAAAGGCTGGCGAAGGTCGGCAGAGAATCGAAGGGCCTCGCGAACGGTCTGCGATGGGTCGTGAACGTCGAGCTGTTCGGCATAGGATGTGCTACGCTGAAATTCCTTACCGGGCTTGATGCCATCGACCAGGATATCGCCGCCAATAACACCGATGTTCTTCCTCGCAGCAAGGACATCCAAAAGGGTAGTCTTTCCGGCTCCCGAAGCGCCCATGAGGGCAGTGAGCTGACCGGGCTTGACGTATCCGAAGACGTTGTTGAGCAGGCGGCGAGTGCCACCGGGGACAGGAACGTCGTAGGTAAGGTTCTCCCAAGTAAGAATGCTCTCCGAGTTGATCTTGAGGTCCGAACCCTCGTGCTCCTTCCGGGCCTTGCGGCGGGCATCACGCTTCTCTTGCAACGCCGCATTGAGTTTCTTACGCTCTTCGTTGGGCCGCTGGAAGACCTTGGCGAGGCTGCCTCCGCCGCTGAAATTTATGATTTCGCCTAGCACGACGTTCATAATGAGGAAAAAGATGATCAATGCCAGGACGATACCCCAGTTCCTCCACAGATCGCTGGCATTGTAGGAGAAGCCTTGCGAGATGTAGGCCTTGCCGGAGATGAACTTGGTGCCTGGAGTCGAACCGGGAAGCGTGCAAACCTGGTGGTTGATGTCGGTGTACTCGGGACCAGCAGGAATCAAGGAGTCGTCGGTACAAGTCATATCGATCTTTGAAAACTCATTCTCCATCATCGAGCTGAACGATAGACCCAAGATATTGATCCAGTAGATCCACCTCAGCCAAACCTGCTCCGACTGGTACTGAATCAGATAGCCGGATGTGGTGATGAAGAAGGTGATGGTGACAACGGCAAACTTGATGGCATAATCGAAATCGGGACTCACGCATCCGATAATGCGGAAAAAGAGAGTCATGCCAATGTTGCCGGACAAGATCATGAGGTAGAAGGTGAAAAAGGCGCCAGCACTGCGGAACAGATTTGTCATGAAGTAGACGATGATGGAGAACAACATGATCTGAGACGCAGAGAAAGCCTGATCAACAAAGATTTGAGCGATCCAGAGAGCCGAAGGACGATGGAATGCATAACGCCTATGGCGTTCGACAACACCACGTCCAAGCATAGTTCCTGCCAACTCCGAGAAGGCCTGGAAAGCGTTGAACAGCAGAGAGACAAACATGAGACCACCCTTGCTGAACGCACTGGCGGAGGTTTGACCAAGATTGAGATAGAGGGTACCGAGGACGATGGCAATCACAATACTCCTCAGCCACGAGAGGGCGAGGGCAAGGCGATCCTGCATCTTGAGAACGAACTGGCGCTTCATCAGAGCCCAGACCTGCTGGTGGAATCCAACGGAGTAAGCCGACTTCTTGCCAGCACCCTTCCGCTTTTGTTCCCTGACAGCAATTTGGAAATCCTCGTACTTGTCCTTCTCCTCAACGAGTGATTGCTTGTAATCCGCCATCTCACGTTCCAGTTCCCGAGCAAACTTGGATTCGTTGAATGCCGCCTCCAGGGTCTCCGGGCTGTGTGGTGCGTTCTCTGGAGAACGGCCCTCTTGGTATTCACGCTCGAAGTCGTCGGTACAGCCAGTAACGTAATCGGGTGTGGTCTGTCGTGGGCGTGGAGCAAAGCCCAAGCTTTCAAAGTAACCTCTGGCTTCCGAAGTAGGACCAAAGTAGACTTGGCGTCCCTCGTCAATAACCAAGACCTTGTCAAAGAGCTTGTAGATGTTTTCCGAGGCCTGATATAGCGAGACAAAGGTGGTCGTCTTGTACAGATCCGTCTGGATACGGAGCGCCTTGGCGAAGTCGAGAGCAGTCGAAGCGTCCAAACCGCGGGTGCTGTTGTCCCAGGACAAAACACAGGCGTTGGTGATAAGCATTTCAGCGATGGAAACACGCTTCCTCTCACCACCAGAAACACCACGGACGAAGGGGTTGCCGACGATGGTGTGACGAGTGTGCTCAATGTTGAACATTTTGAGGAGCATGGTGATAACCTTCTCCTTGAAATCCTGCTTTGTGATACCAGGGGGAAGCTTGCCGGGGATCTTGACGTCCAGAGCGAAGGCAAGAGTCTGCTCGACCGTAAGGGTAGGGTGGTGCATATCCTCCTCCATGTTATAGACGGCCTCGCCGCGGTACTGAAGGAACTCTTCGGACGTAAAGGGTCCATAAAGCACATCGCCAGTAACCGACGTGAACCCATCGCGCTGGTTGACAATGTTCTTGAGGAACGTGGTACATCCAGAGCCCGGCTTTCCGAGGACCAGAACCATCTCTCCCGGCTTGCAAACACCTCTGAAGCTGTGCAGCAAGGTCGCCTCGGGCATCTTCTTACCAAGACCCAACATATTGACAACAGGAGTGACGACGTCGAAGAAGTCGATAAAGGCGTTGGGGAACGTCTTGACGAAGTTAGTGCTACTAGCAATACCCTTCACAGTCAAGCCGTCCCAGTAAACACCGATATGCTTGGGGCGAATGCCGGCTTCCCTTTCTGCCTCCAGATCGCCACGCAGGGCAGCCTCAAGGTCGAATTGCTCCGGCGCACTCTCAAATGAGGTTTCGACGTGCATCTGTCCCTTCTCGGCATCTCCATGGTGTGTCGACCTATTGGCATGGCTCTGAGTACGACTCGCGCGAGACAACTCCCTTCGTAGCTCGCGAAAGTCGTTCTCGGCTTGTTCGACAGAGATGCCGGAGACAGCGCGGCTAAGGCCGTTGGGGTTGTTGCGGCGGGCCTCCTCACGAAGCTCCTCGATGTCCTGGGTCCTTGAGGAGGCACTGGTGGATGGCGGTTCGGTTGGGTTGGGCCCTTCGATGCTGGGCTTCCGCCCAGCTGTGGTTGAGTCCATGTGGACTGGTGTAAAGGACGATTCGGTTATTACTGCTGGGTAGAACAGGTTTTAGTTATTCATGTTATATTATAGATATGAGGAAGTTTGACTATTACAGCTTCTGCCTCCACTGGGAATGGTAAGGAAAGGTTACTCACTAACTGTTTTTGACAACAAAGACTAAGAGGATGATGAGAGAGAAGTGGAAGGGCTGAAAGCCCAAGTCAACGGAAACAAGAGTGATGTGAAGGGGATAGAAGCCTTTCGTCCAGATCAGACGAGCGCAACCACAGGAGGTTGACCAAGGGCTATATGCCACACTCTTCGCCTGTCAAGACGGTGACGAAGTGATGCAGAGGAGGGTAGGAACAGTTCACGGGGAAACAAGGAGGGGGGAATCAAGGGAATAAATTTGAAAAGGTCTTTTAGAAACGGGTCCAACCCTCCAACGGGTCCCAAAGTTCCATCGAGTTGCTTCGAAGCTGCCATGGACCAGCTAGACCCTTTTCGTGTCCAATGGCACATCCGCCACCATGTCGCCCATGTAGCGGGCAAGGGTTGTTTCTCGTGCTAGGTTTCTTTCCGGTGACAGGAAACCAAGGCGGCCGGGGGAGCCTGGATGGCAAAGGGGGATCGCAGTGCCATCGGCGCTTCTTGGCGGATAGAAGCTCCAATCGACGTCGACTTGCTCAGGTACCAGCCGAGCCAGCCATGCAAGCAGAGGGGACATTCTGCCGAACTCCGCAAATCCGTTGTAGTCTGTTTTCTTTCTTATTTTTCTTTCTTCATTTTCAGAACGGTATTGTGACGAAACTTGGTGATGATGGTGAGGACTGAACCGACAGTTAAGTGTATAAGAAAATTCAAAATTTTAACGGCATAATTGATTGGTGGTTGATGTCAAAAACCGTTGGATCAACGGGACGCCTCCCGTCTTTGTCATCCTTTCCCTAACCGACCCTCTCGTTGGAGGCTCCACCAGCTCACACTACTGCAGTGTACAAGTACCTATGTATACTAGTTGGGGCAGGTACATCCTTCCAGATGCAAACTCTGATACAGTGGAATCCCCTGAAACAGCATGTAATCCAGACCAGGGAATTCTAGGTAGGCACCAAATAGCACACACACACAGGTTGACGTAGCAGACTGGAGCCAAAACTTATGCAATATCTAGCTCCTGGAGGATGCAGCTACAGGGGTTCTTACTGCACCATTCTTCCACTGACAAAACTGGAAGAGGGAATCCATGTCAACCTAGTCCATGACCAGATGTTATCGGCACATCACCGCCTTTCTCTGGTCTACCAGGCTACCTACCTATCCGGTCCATTTTCCACGAGCACGTACTTCCCCAGCTCTTCGTAGCAACGTGGAGATGATGGGCATCTCGTCAACCTTCAAGACGAGGGATCTCCGGGGAAAGACATAAAAGAATGGAAATGGTGCCGAAAACAATCTAAATTCTGTCAATCGCCAAGACATTCTGGGAGGCTCTGAACCCCCGCGGTACGTACCCTATCACACACTGCAGTTACCTAGTTGGTGAGCAGCGAGAATGTCGACGACTTGTGGGGGGGACGGTGGAACTGCAAGCACGGCATGCCATTGGTCAACATCAACTGGAATCCTTCCCGGTGGGCGTGAACGGTGTGGTCCCGAAACACTACCATGTGCTTTTCTCGTGTCCAGAGTGATACAGTGAGGTACCCATGAGTCCTTGTCCAGACAAGTGGTCCAGTGATGGTTAGGTACATACCCTCAAGAGTAGGTATCGCTCTGGAAGCTCGGTGATCGGCAAACTCCAAAGAGTGAGGAGGGGTCATGACAAGTGCAACTTAGTCGGCGAGTGACTCGAATGACCGCTCTTTTCTAGTTTCTCTGACCGTATCGTGTCCCGTCCACCCTCCCTTGTTGACCACAATGAATCATTATGATATTTACATATCACGTACCCAGCATGATTGTTAGTTGACTTGACCCCACTCATCAACGTGTTCATCTAGGTATGCCGCTTGCATGTGCAGCAAAGCCATCTACGAATCGACCAAGATATAGTACATTCTGTACACTACATCACACATACAGGACGGCAAGTGCATACCTGCTTCAACGTGTTAGTTGTGTCACTTTACATGTAGAAATCTGAAAGCGTATCTTGCACCACGGCATTTCACTTCGTTATTTGGATAGTTCACCGTCGATATGATACGCTACGTCCCACACGTACCGCATGTCACCAACCATCCGATCAAGGTTTTCCCCACGCTCTTGTCCAGTCCATTAGTTTCCCTTTATTTCCAGCAATTCTTTTTTCTTTTTTTCTTTTTTCATATGTCAAACCCAACCGTGAGCCGGAGAAAGGACCAACGAGTTTGGAGTCTCCTGTGGGGACACCATCCTTCGCATTCCCAGAGGTAACCTTCCCCGCCTCAGCTTTCTCATGGGTTACATGCCGTCATCCGCGGTTCTGCCTTAATATGTATCCCCATGTTGTGTTGATGTTTGTTCTTCCTGGATTACAAATCCATCATCGGTTTCTTTTCCTCATCGTTGCATTTTGTTGTTCACTCCTTTCTCTGTAATTCTGTTCGTCTTCCTTCTTTTGACACCGGTATCGTATCGAATCCCTTGAAGGTTCGTGTTCTGCCGGATGGCGGTGGTTGTCAAGGACGATAAGATCCATCGTTAAGAAATGAAGATCTCAAGCGTTCGCCGTTGATCGCAGCGAATATCAACTACATACCTATGTGATTGACATCGATTATGGAAGTCAGTCAGCCATTTCTTCATCCTCCCCACGGCCGGCGCGCTCATCTCATAAAAAATCATAACTTCTCCCAGCGAAAAAAAAAAAAAAAAAAAAAAAAAAAAAAAAAAAAAAAAAAACATCTCTTGCACTGTACCGTTGGTACGTCGCAATAAAAGAGGAGCATGCAATTTTGCAACAGTGACCGTTCGGGAGGGAGCGCCCCAGACTCTTGTGACACCGGTATGTAAATTGTTAGTGATGGAAGCTTGGCATTGCTCGTTATCGTCTCGGCCTCCTCTTCCCCGGGCACGGGGTGGCGGAGGGAAACAAGTGGGGTTTCTGCCGACCGACCGACCGACCGACCGACGACCGACCGGAAAAGTGGAGTGGACAGAACCGCAACGTTCCGGTCCCGGGACTACAACGGGGCATCGACAGTGCAAAACACTTGAAATGCGGGGTCGGAGTCACACCTGTTTGCGTAATTCCCACGTGTGTACGGTGACCCTGGCATTTGAATCCCAAGTCAAATATCACAATCTTTTTGGACGTTGTTACAGAGAGGCAGGAGCCGGGCCCGAAGACGGGAAAGGTACGTAGCATGTATCTGTCACTCCTCGAATGGCTTGGCATATCGATCCATCTCTGTCTTCAACACCTATCACGTTCTGTTTATTTTGTCTTCTTCTGTCAACACTGACATGGCTTGTATTATCGTCGTCGGTCGTTCTTTGCATCAGGCTGATGAGATTGGTGTAACAAACCGACGCTTGTGAGATGTGCCCAGCCCATTTTTCTAGTTGGCATGTATTCTGAAAAATTCATATCCCAAGATTCAGGAGCCGCAGTACTATAGGAAGAAAACAGGCCAAGATCCGCGTGAGCCAGCGTGACAGCATGGCATCGAGAGAATGGTCAACGAGACTGTTGAAGAAAGACAAGAAATGGGGGGGGAATGGAAGAGAAAAAAAAAGAAGAAAAAAAGGAAGAAACAAAAAAAGGTCATAGATAAAAGGATGAAGAGTCATCCGGTGGTCATATTACTGACAGAGTCTTCCCGTATGGCTGGCTTGTGACGGACCCATATCTGATAGCAACAAAATACCTATCTTGGGATGTAGCTACCATGGTCAAAAGGGGTTCCTCCGGGTAGGGCGTGGTAGCGAAGTTGAAAGACGAAGATGATTTAATCTAAAACTGCGTTGCGAGCTGACAGGTATACCACAAGAGGAACGAACAATAGGTATATTGCGTCCTGCTCTCAATGTCTATAACCGGCATGCAACCATCATTGGAATGCGAATTTACGTCCGAGTTCGCTGTGTAAGAGAAAATCAACCTTGATATAAAAAAAAGGAAAAAAAAGAACCCCATCCCAACCAAAAACCGCTCTTGCAAGCTACTGTAACCGATTCCTGAACCCATCCGTCCATTCCCCCGCCATGACGTAGAGAATCAGAAAGAAAGCCCAAAGGATATTTGTGCGTGTGATACAAATCAATGCCAGATTTAGAGGGAGATGTAAGAAAGAAGTGATCAACAGCCCGTTGTCCAGTTGCTTGCGCACACGCTTCCTTACTCCTTACCTACAAAACGTGATCCTCCTTTTTTCAATATCCATTCAAGCCCCCAAGTTCAGCTTCGCAACCTCAAAGCTCCGACTCAGCCCCATTCTGTTCGATCGCCATCGGACTCCCGTTTTGCTTTTGCCTCCTAGGAGGCCCCCGCCGCCTCGAGGCTGTCCTGCTGCTCACACCCATGCTCTCATCCTCGTCATCCGACCCTTGTTGTTCCGCATAGCGACGAGCCTCGTCCAGCACGCTCAAGTCGTCAGGCTTGCTGCGCAACCACTGCATGCGTGGCCCGGAACGCGCGATTTCTGACACCTTGAAACCGTAGATCTTGGGCTGGTAGATCTTGCCCCTGCCCAGCCCGGGCGCTATGTTGCGCGCGTACATGCCGTTAATGACGGTGGTGTCGTCAGAGCCGGATCGTGTGAGGTTGCTAACGCTCTCAGCGCCGGTCTTGGTCAAGTCGTATTCGGGGAAGGTCATGAGGAAGAGCGCGCCAAAGGTGCGGCCGAAGAAGGCACCGTCCACCGTCTGGAAGCGGCTGTTTGGTGGCACGTAGACATCCAGGCACGACGGGCAGAACAGCTTAACCGTGTCTTCGCCGGGCGTGTCCGAGAGGCCGACGGGCAGCGTGCGGGTCTGGTTGCAGTTTGTGCGTGGGCAGATGCCGAAGTGACCGAGCTCGTATTTTTCCGACATTTGCTGGATACCCGCCCGCGAGCAGATGAAGCGCTGATGGATCAGACCGTACAGCATCTCGGCCGAGGACTCGATCACAGAAAGATCGCTCGCGATGCGGCTGTGATGTCTCCTTTCGCCGTGGGGTTTGTTGATGCCGTCGCCACCGGACATGTCTTCCTCGTCCTCCTCGTCCTCCTCCTCCTCGTCATCATCGTCCTCAGGCTCGACATCAAGGATCATCTGGTCAGGACAAAACCACAATGATTAGCTGTTGACGTAACGGACAAAAAGGTTCCAGAACAAGCATACCTCGAGAGCCTCCTTGTACATGGCGACCTGGGTCTGCAGGCCAGTAAGGTTGAAGTCATCTTCGATGAATTCTTCTGACACTTCGGCAAAATACTCGTGTCCCAGGAGGGAGCAGAAGGATGCGATCCAAGACTCTGGCACGCCCGACGAGCTCGACATGGTGGAATTGGATATGGAAGCGCCGCGAAAAGATTCGAGTGTTTGGCGACGGAGTAGGCGTTCGATGAGGCTGTTGGTACCGCTATCGGGCGTTATTTGATGAGTGCGATCGAAAGGCGCAAGACGACGACTGGGTGTAGCTAGTGTCCCTTGGGGTCGACGCTCATCTGCGATGCTGGATGGAAGGTTTCAATTGTTTATTGCGTAGACATGACCGAGCGCATGAGATGGCGCAAATAGATGGACAGAAGGACAGACAGGCTAGCTAGGCGCTTCAATGATTGTCTGCGTGGTGTTGCAGCGAAGGAGGTGGTTGGTGATTCCTGTGCTGTTTTGGAGTTTGCGCTAACGGAGGCTGTCGACTCGATGGCTCTGTTTGCCTTTGGGGTTGCTCGAGAAGAAGCCCGCGCCCTCATTTCGTGCTACAGCCCACTCGTGGGTGCCTGGTCTGTGCGGCCCCCCCGTCTTTCCAGTCTGGGCCCTTCCCAATCCTCCTCGTTCAACCCTTCCCGCAGGGAGCAGCCCCGCGCTCAGCCCCACGGTAGTATGATGCCTGATTTTTGCGCCTTCTCACATAACCCTGCTGAGCCCTGCCACATGCGCGTGCGGCAGCGCGTCTCAAACCCAACCCGGCTTCCAGCTCTACTTCTTTATCAGGTGGAACCAAGATAAGTAAAGGGTCCACTTGGTGATGGTCGATGAAAGGTACGTACCTTCCTCCCTCATGTGGTCTGAGTTGTGTATTGTCAGGGACTCAGGGTACCAACCTTGGGTGGCCATTGCTGCTTTTGTGTTTTTTTCTTCATGATTCCCTTCTTTGTATATTTTAATTATTCATATGTTTCATGAAGGAAAGTCACCTCCCAGTTGCAGGCCAACACGGCTACTTGCATCGACGAGGCACCTCCGCCAACCGCTCTTCACTTTCACCCACCATGCCAGGAACCTCAAAACAGTGGCAGAGATAGTTGCGCCGATCAGCATAGAGGACTTCAGAAGAGATGCATTTCAAGCTCAAAGGCCTCTTCTTATACGACCAAGCTCCAAACCCTCTACGTTGAGCCCTTGCCCCAACCAGCAAAATGATGCCAATACCCAAACCAACACTTCGACTTCACCAACTATACTACCCGCCCTAACCAAATGGTTCAACACCTCTCCCTCCTCCGGAAAGACCTCATTAACTCCGTACCTTGACAACTTCCGATCTACCATCCTCCCTTACGAACTCTCGTTCCCAAACTCAGCCCAAGTCTTAGGTTTCATGTCTTGGCTACAACGGTCCTCCTCCTCCTCCTCCTCATCAACGGCATCCAGCGATTCACACCCGGACTCCAACTCCGACTCCGACTCACAATCCCGTCTCGCCCTAGCCCACCTCCTTAAAAACTATATCACTCACCACTCCTCCTCCTCCTCTTCAGAGTTCCTCATTCTCGACCTCCCCCTCCACCTCCTCCTCCTTGCCCACCACTACAACATGTTTCTGTCCTCCTCCCAAACCCCTCCCAACCCCCCGCTCACAAACCTCTACATAGCCCAAGCGCCCCTCTCCCACCTCCCTTCCCCCCTCCGATCCGACCTCCCTACCCCTCTCTTGGTTTCCCACGCCGGCCGCGGAGACATCTACTCTTCCAGCATCTGGCTCGGCTTACAACCGACATATACGCCTTGGCATAGAGACCCGAACCCAAACTTGTTTTGCCAGTTGTGTGGGACAAAAGTCCTGCGGCTGATGGCGCCCAAGAGGGGAGAGGCGCTGTTTCGGGGGGTGATGGCTTCCTTGGCCGTGGCGGCGGGGTCTGGGAAAATAAGAGGGGAGGAGATGATGAAGGGAGAACAGAGAAGGGCTTTGGAGGGGGCTGTTTGGGCTGGTGACGGCGAAGGGGCGGATGACATGATGTACGAGGTGACGGTGCAGGCAGGGGATATGCTGTTTATGCCACTGGGGTGGTGGCATAGTGTCAAAAGCGTGGGCGAGGAGGGGGGCATTAATGGGAGTGTGAATTGGTGGTTTCGGTAGATGGAGGTTGGCAGCCGGATGGAGATAAAGGATGTGGTCGGACAAGAGACCGGGACACTGAGTCTTTGAAAAGACAAAAACATGAAGAAAAACAGGTACCCGAAGCGATCCCAGAGAGCGCAGGGCATCTCTCATCCCGACCGATCACATGGCGCACAGGAGCTACCTTATCGATGGACAACAGTACACTCCGGAAAACAGGACGAAGAGGTCGATTAAAAGGTTTCAAAGGCACCTAGGTCAAACGCGTACAGTGTCATAGTAACAAGCACTTGCTCCGCGGAAGACGGACGAGTCAGACAACAATGTCAAATCATTCATAAGAGCAAAATCAAGACTCAAGATGGCATCGGCAAGCATCATGTCCCAAGCACGTGCATGTGTAGTACTCCATCATGCTTCTTGATCGAACATTGCATGTACCGTCATTATGCTGCAAGGTACTACTGCCGTGAAAGGCTTCAAGTGATGAGAAGTTTGTTCATTACTTAAAGATTAGAGCAACGCCAACAATGAAATCCCAGTCCCATAGCAGTCATAAAAGTATCATGAAATCAGCCAGACCAAAAGCCAAACACCTTGCTGGCTCAGCTAACCATGCGAAGAGCGTGTCGTCAACCAGTGATTCACCACCATTTTGCCTCGCAACCATTTACTGGGGAATCTTCTCGGCAGTTCCAGGGTACGCTCCCTCGGAAATCGGTTGCTGGTTAGACTCGGTGGCAGCAGCATCGGAAGGGGCAGCGCCGGGCACCTGGTCATTGGGCTTGCTCTCCTGGCCGGGCGCCTTCTCGGCACCGAAGATCTTGTCCAGCCCAGCAGCCTTGTACGAGCTGCCGCCGGCCTCCTGCTTCTTCAGCTCAGCCAGGCGCTTGGCCTCGTTGTGGATGTCCTGCACCTGCTTGGAGCTGGTGGTGTAGAAGTCGACAATCTTCTTGGCGCCAGGCGCCTCCAAGGCCTTCTCAAAGTACGAGGAGAGGCCGCTGAACAGGGAGTTAGCCCGCGCAGTGATGCCGTAGCTCTGGTCGGCCGTCTTGGCCCGGTCGGTTGCGTGGTACTTTTGGTCGAGGTTCTGAATTGTCGACAGGAAGCGCTGAGAGACGCCGTGCTTCTCGTCGAGAGCAATGGCCGTCTTCAGGCCACTGTCGGCAACGAGGTAGCCGCTGGCCAAGTACTCGGCAAGGACGCGCGCGCGGGGCTTCTCCTCCTGTGTGATCTCATCTGTGTCGCGGTCGGCGTCGGACTTGGGGTGGACATTGTCGCCGGAATCGGCGTGCTCTCCCGAAGCAGAGGTGACGGAGAGCTCGTGCTCGCCAAGCTTGGTGTGATCGAGGAGAAGAGCAGTGCGAGCGGCGCTCTCCTTTTCAAAGGTCACCGTGGCGGACTTGGTCTCGCCTTCGGTGGTGACATCGAGGGAGCTGATCTTGCCGCTGTTCCAGGTTCATCGTTAGCTTGTATCCCTGCCATCCATCTTTCCGGAACACAAGAAGCTTACCAGAAGCTGAAGAAGGCACGAATGTCCTTCTCCTCAGTGTTGGCGCCGATGTTCTTGACGTAGACCGTAGACATGATTGCTGTTGTTGAGATGGTATCTGTGTGTGGTGTGGTGGATAGATGTCGAGGACTGGTCGAACCGAAGTGTTTGCTGTTGTTCGTTTGCTTGGCAATGGGGAGAGATTCAAAGTAGAGCCAAAAGCAGAAGCGAAGTTGAAAGGAAACGTGGACTGGTCTTATGTATGTATACAGGGTTCGTCAGATGATGGATTACGCTTGCCCAATGTGTAAAAAAAAAATACAGGGCAGTGGACTTGACTGGTTCACAACCACTACACTCAACTTGCGACTGTCACACTACACTAGGCTGGAGCGAGGGATAGAAAGCTGGAGAAACCATGGGCGGAAAGAGGGGTACACGGCGACCAGGCATGTCGTCATCGCATGATCGAGGGGCCATCCAGGGTGGCTGTGCGAACAGAGGCGGAAACACCATGAAAGTCGCTTCTGTACATAGTGTCGCAGGCCAGAGCGGGCCAGAAGGAGCTAAGCTTCAACGCCAAGACACGTCAGGAAGTTGATTAGCAGGGGCAAAGGGCCCATCTGTCCGCTGGAAATTGTAGTGTAGTGTAGAGGTATTGATATAGACCACAGGAAGTGACGACGGTGTTTGCCCTCCATCTCCGCTAGGATGAAGTTGCACATCGCAATATCAGGATGCTGTAGCATGTGAAATTGGCCTCAAAAACTGAACGAAGTGTCAGTCTTTGCTGACTGTCATTCCAGTTGCGAAGCACGTTTCAGTTAGTTTGGTGTTTCATGAGTACTAGGGGTTGAGGTAGAGGTAATTTATGATCCTGTCTTCACTTTGGGATTTGAATGCTACCTAGTATTGTCTACGGCATAGCGCCTTGGTTGAAGCTGTGATCCCTACCTCATCCCAAATATCCCTGGCAGGAACCTGGGCGCCAAACATGACAGGAGGCTGCACCTACAACGTCGACGTCAACAATACGCACGAGAAGAGAGGGATTACAGCAAGGCTTGTAATGGGTTCCAGACGAGTGCACAATGTAAGTCATTTGTCTTCAGATATTCCATGCTCTATGTGTTTTGAATCGAACAACTGGCCAAGATTCCACATGGCTGCTGCATCGCTTCTAGCGGCAGCATCGGTTCCCAGTCCCAAAAATATGACCAACGCCAAATTCATGAATCATTGTATCCCATTAAGCTTCCCGTGTGCTTTTTACTTTGACTCCTCAGGCTTGCTCGTCTTGGCGAACTTCTTCTCGACCTCATCGTCTAGGGGACCTTTGGGGTTTGATGTGAGGTTCTGGAAACCACGTTAGTCACGGCTGGAAGACATGTGCACAACGATGTAAAGGTCGTACCTCGAGACCAGACTTGTTGGTCTGCTCCTTCTGGGAAGCATCATCGACGCCCTTGCCGGAACCAGCAGGTTCGTTCTGCTGCTTGCCGGTCTGGCGCTCGGGAGGGGGGGACTGGCCGCGCTCAGGCATGATGGAAGATTTTCGGAGAGGTTGTGTTGAGAAAGTTGGATTCACACGCTATTGCCAAACGATTAGGTACGCTGGTTGAGACTTCTTGGGTCAGCCAAACCACAGGGAAACTCACGTGTGTGTTGGTGTTGGTTGTAGAATGGAAAATGCACAGGTTGTGATGATGCAGTGAGAGACTCGCGAGTTCTTTGAGAAAGAGAAAGAAGACGATTTATATAGTGTACATATGCTACCTTGCGCGTCCATTCAAGATAACCCCGCTCTTGACATCAGCAATCGGTACCTTGCCAGGTCAGTACCTCGCATGTTGAAATGCCGTTGTGCCAGTCCATGCTGCTGTGGTTTTGCGGCAGGTCCATTCCATGTCATTGATAATCGACCTGTTCTTCCGTCACTCATTGTTGGCATTGGTTGAGCAATTACATCATAGGGAAGCAAGGCCCACGGCAGTTTCCAAGTGACAGCAGCGCCAAGACGAGGGCGGGTCTGGACAGTAGGGTGTCTCCCGGCCGGCAAAAAGGCGGGGAAGCTTCCCCTTCCGATGTTCGCTCGGCAGGCATGGAGGATGGCTTGGCCGCTGTTTCAGTTGCAGAGGTGACCGCCCCACCAATGTTTCGTTAGCTTTCAGTTCCATCAGACGGATGGTGTACCTAAAGCTCACCGGCTCCGGCGATCCACTGAACAGGAACCCGTACCGTTCACGGGCACGATCACGGTGTTACACCCCGTTCGCTTCATCGACACGAAACTGACTACAAGAGCGGTCGTCCGATACTATACCATCGCACAGACACTAAGCCCTGTGGTTTTTCCCATCTTCCCTACTTTTGACCCGTGCGTGTCTTGTTTCATGCCCCTTTTGTCGTCTGGTTGACGCTGGAGCCCAGGCCGTCGCAAGTCGCAAGTCTCAATCTCGCAACATCAAACATTGCCAAATCCGAAATCAACAAATTTGAAACTCTGATTGGGGCAGTAAACACATTATTTCTGCCTATGCCCTTCATTTAGTTTCTGTGGTTTGGCTGGACAAAAAGGCGCTAGAGGTGGAATATATAAGTATGTCCTCGCAAGCAGCTCCTCAGACGACGGCCTCGCAAACGGCTTCGCAAAACCAAACAGGCTCTGAAGCAGCTTCACAGCAGATGGCCGGGCCTCCCCCTCCAGTATCCAACTCGCCCGCTCTCAACATTCTCCCTTCGAACCAGCCCGCCGTTAACAACGCTGTATCCTCGCCTTCGCTGCCTTCTCCTCACCATCTACCTGCCAGCATCGCCATGAAAGACAACGCGGGCGTTGATCCTGGTCCCGGACCAACACGACATCCCCGTCCCCTGACCGCCGCCGATCTGCATTTGCAACTGGAAAAGGAACAAGAGGCAGTGGTATGTTTAGACCTCCAATATCTCGGATACTCAGTAGCTGACGGCTCTTGCGTTGGTGCAGGTCAACCGCCTCAGTCGTGAACTCAGCATGCTCCGCGCTGCGCAGAACGCATCGGTTGTCTCGAATGCATCCGTCATCTCGAATGCTTCCTCGGCTTCAGCTAGCGTTTCGGGTGCTGAATCCGTACCGATTGGCGACGCGTATGTGGGATCCGGTGCTCCAGGACTATCCCATCATCGGGTTAGCATGCACAATCGTACATCTTCTAGCGCCAGCACGCGCAGCCTCACAGCCAACGCCGGTTCTATCTCGACATCACTCACTGGTATCTCGTCGCCTGCCCCGATTCGCCCAACCCAGCCGCTCCCCATCGGCGGTATCAGCTTGAGCAGGCAGAACAGTGCTGCTTCCAGACGGAGTCAGGCAGGATCACCATCCTCTGCTCACTTCATGGGCAGCTACTCGGGTGCTCTTCCGATGCACAGTTTCACACCCTCATCGAACCCTGGCGATCCTTCGACGGTCAACTATTTTGCCCATCGCCTGTCCGGTGCATTTCATTCAACGGCTGCAACGCCCGGATCGATCCCCACTAGTGACCATTCTCCAGCTATCTTGCCAGGAACCCCTCGCTATGAGGAGACGGCCTTCTATCGTAGCGAGCTGGAGTCTGTGAAGAGAGAGAATGAAGCGCTGAAACGACGAGTCCGGGAGTTGGAACGCATGGTCCGCGAGCGACGGGCTAGCGATGCTAGCCGCGCAAGCCAAGGCGGTGCAGGGTCACTAGCCCCGCGGACCCGGAGCGACAGTACTAGTACCACTGCCAGCGTTAGTGTTACTGCTAGTACTGCTGCCACCGGCGGTGTCAGCATTGCTGCGCCGAGGGATGCTGATCCTACGGCAAGAGCGGAACGACCGAGAGTGGTCAGTGCAATCAGCAGCATCGCGGTTGGTGTACCGGACGACGAGGTGAAGGTTGGCGAGAGTGCCGCTAGCTCAGGTCTTGGAGAGCATGATAAAAGAAGAAAGCAGGACAAGGGGCCAGAAGCAGAGGGACAGACACAGGCTTAGTTCGAGCCAGTGCTAACCGTTAGGATACTGGCCCGGGTATGTCCAAGAGACAACAGCATCAATGGTTCAACAACAGACTCGGCCTATAATCATAATCAAGGCCTGTAAGAGCAAGGCCAGATGCTCCGAAATGGTACACAGCGGAGTTTGGAATGGGTGCTTTGACGGGAGCTTGCCTATATTCTTTCTAATCAACTTTCAACTTTACGGTTTAAATTCGGCGCAGGGTCAGGTACATAGCTTACAGGTCAAGGGGCGTTTCGTTTTGGTGGAATAGATACTGTAAGTAAGACCGGTAGTTTTTCTTATCCAAGCTTATTGTAATCAGTTCGTCTCCGCATGCACTGAGACCCCTTTTCTTCGTCAAATGCTTAGTCAACTACGCGCACAGTCTCCATCTCTAGGGGTGTACGTAATGTTCAGACCGAGAATGTTCCACGGACCAACAACGCCTGGAGATGGCTATTCACACACTTCTGGTACGAAGGTCAACGACTGGACATTTGTGATTGAACTTCGATCCGACAGCTTGATAGCGTAGCCGATATTGAGGAGAAGATGACACAAGGCATGTCGGCGTGCAAGTCGCTCGGCGTTAATAGCATCTTGCCTGCATGATATAGTACTGGGCTCCCGGGCCACTTGGGTCTACCTGGGTGCCACCTACCCCGTTGTTCATCAGAGTTCCACTAGCGGACATCCTACCTGATAACTGATATCCTCGACCAGCAACTCAGTTTCACATTTCTTGTCTTTTTATATGTCAGATTGAAGGTTGTTTTCCGATATCAAAACATCGTGGATCGTGACGGCACACAACGGTTGCAAATCTGCATGGCACTCCATTTTAGCGGAATTGGGTGCCGAGTACCGCACGGGAGGCTCCATCAAATCAGGGGCATGGGCCAGAACTTAGGGCGTATTGGGCTAGGTCGACCTGAGACATCCATGTAAGCCAGGTTACACTAAACTTTTCTTTTTCTTTTCTTTGATCGTTCCTCTCAACATCATGAGTAAGCTCGCTATGAAAGGATCGATACTAACAGCCAACAGCAACCCGACAAATCCTTGTTTGGAAACTTCAATCACTCTGCAAAAACCACCGGCCATTTTATGGTTCGCCCCATCTGTTTACCGATTCTGAATCCGCTGGTCATGAACAGAATGACAAGTTCGCGACAGACCGACTCCATCTCCCCTCATTCAGCATCAGTCATGATTGATAAGCTGATGCGATAAGGGCCGGTGTCGGTGTCGTCTGGAGATCTCCGCCTGGAGTTTTACAGCGATGGTGTTCTTCTCCACTAACAAAGGGATTTCGATATCCCGGCACTCAGAGCAGTTGACGATTGGTCGAGTAGATCCTCAATGTTTTAAAAATGTTCCTGGCGATGGCGACCAGGATCCACCTTCCTATCGGTGCAACTCCCTGTTGGGTGATTCACCCCCCTGGTAGGTACACTACACTAGGAGAGAAAACTCCCATGTGGAACCATTGATTCTTTGAGGTTCGGAGCCACCAAGGGTCTCTCCGAGTTTTGTTTTGCATCTACACCACTCTAGATTAAGGGTACTTATATCTTTCCCTCCCCTCATCGGAGAGATTCACAATGTCACTGTCGGTGAAGTGCAGCTATATCGACTTTGCCTCCCGAGTTGAGGTCAATACCATCCAGCATTCCTGAACGCTCCCGCTGTCCACTTGAACCCCTCAACTTCGTGTTGACGGGAAGGTGCTGTTAGCTTGACTGGGATACGACTCAACCCCTGGAAGGAATCGAAGGCCAACAAACGAGAAAGCAGCAGGAATCGGGTACAAGAGCATAGTTCGCGTGGAGGAAAGCCAGTCGACAACCACTCCGACAATCACTGCCCGCTCTGATCACGATGTCAGCAACACCACGCCTTTCGTCTGGCGGACACCCGGCCGACCTCAACACCGAAGGGTACCGCGAGAAGGGAATGGACTCATCGAGCCCGTCATCAGAAGGGGAGTTGGACGAAACCGATCTCGAATATGCAGCAGCGCAAGGCCAACGCGATGATCTGGCCCGCGTCCAATCCCAAGCGCACTCCTTCCTGGCGCCAAAGCTCTCGCTGCCTCACGAGATCGTTTTTGTGGGCATCATTTGCTGCGCCCAGCTCACGACGCAGGCTTCCATGGGTCCCTCGCTCAGCATCGGTAGGGAGATCGGAAGGCAATTCGGTGTCACTTCTGCCGCCGACGTCGCTTGGTACTTGGCTGCCTACGCCTTGACGATCGGTACCTTTATCCTCATCTGCGGCCGCTTGGGTGACTTGTTTGGGCACAAGAGGATGTTGGTGATCGGGTATACGTGGTATGCGGTTTGGACGATGATCTGTGGGTTGTCGGTGTTTTCGGACTCGGGGAATATCATGATGATTGTGTGCCGTATGTGTCTCGTCTTTACCCCTTTTCACATTTGTACGCATGAAAATGCTGACACATAACCCAGGCGCTTTCCAAGGTGTCGGCCCTTCTATTCTCCTTCCCAACGGCCTCGCCATCCTGGGCGGTAGCTACCCCGATGGTCCACGGAAGCACATGGTCTTCGCCCTCTTTGGCGCCATGGCCCCGGGCGGTTGCGCTCTGGGCTGCGCCATGGCCGGCGTCTTTGAGCTTGCCTGGTGGCCCTGGGCCTTCTGGTCGTTTGCCATTGCACTGCTCTGCCTCGCCGGCGCCGCGCAGCTCATCATCCCCGACAGCGTCGACGCCCACGCAAGCAGCTGCTCCTTCTTCGACAAGCTCAAACAACTCGACGCTATCGGCGGCACCGTGGGTGTCTCGGCCCTGATCTTAATCAACATAGCATGGAACCAGGCGCCAATCGTTGGTTGGTCCGAGCCGTACACCTACATCCTGCTCATCATCGGTATCCTCCTTGTCCCGCTTTTCTTCTGGATCGAACTCCGCTGGTCGTCCTACCCGCTACTCCCCCTCGAGGCGCTCAAGTCAGGCGACATTGCCTTTGTCCTCGGCTGTCTCGCTTGCGGCTGGGGCTCCTTTGGTACCTGGCTCTTCTACAACTGGCAGTGGTTCCTCGAGATCCGCGGCGAGACGGGTCTGATGGCAACCGCTTACTTCTCACCCGTCTCCGTGTCCGGCGCCGTCGCCGCCGTCGTCACTGGTATCGTGCTAGGCAAGATTGGTCCCGCATGGACCGTCGTGTGCGCCATGTCCGCGTTTTTCACGGGAAACATGCTGCTTGTCACCCGCCCGATGGAGCAAACTTACTGGACTCAGAGCTTCTTGACGTACCTCATCACGCCGTGGGGCATGGACATGATTTTCCCGGCGTCGACGGTGATTTTGAGTAACGCGGTGGGGAGGAGGCATCAGGGAATTGCGGCGAGTTTGATCAACACGGTGGTGAATTACAGTATTTCGATTGGGCTTGGGTTTGCGACAACTGCCGAGGTGTATGTGAACAAGGGAGGCACGAGCAAGGAGGAGTTGCTGAAAGGCTACAAGGCGGCTTGCTGGGTGGCAGTGGGATTGACGGCTTTTGGACTGATGTTGAGTGTGGTGTATCTGATGGTGGACATTACGAAGAAGAGGAGGGTCGGCAGGGCGGTCATGTCGGAGGTAGAGGAGGCTAAGCGGTGAAAATGGGGAGGCGCAAGAACTGGTCATGATGGCATGATGGCATGATGTGAGCTACGAGGTCAGGATATTGACGGGATGAACGCAAAGATTAATGTTTAGTTAGTGAGTACGATGAGGATTGATACCCACATGCCCCCCATTACGTACGGGGAGGCCAAGAAGAGACGAAGATAGACATGATATAATACGCTATATGATCCAAACTTGGGTTTCTTGTTTGAAACGCCCTTGACTGTGACAGATTCATCTCAGAGCACTCCAGCTGTTCCAATAACAAGCAGTTTGGGATACAGATACTCAACAGCCAAGCCAAAAATGGGGATGTCATTGTCCACTATATCGTGCCAGTCGTACTTTCACAGAAAGACTAACTTGATAAGAGAAGCTCTGGTGTTACACATAGCGAGGCATCCATGTGTCACAGAGACAGCAAACTGGAAAAAGCAGGTAGGTTGGTAGGCAAAACATCATCGATCGATGAACTCGGTAGCAGCAGCTAAAGGCCATATTGTCCATCCCAAAGGTTGAATGAATGATTGTAGAGGCACAATTTCGGCTAATTCCGTTCTTTGTTGTTACTACACTAGACTTTTCTCTACCTCTCAGTCGATTCAACCCACGGGTTGGACCCAGCTGCTCTGATGTCACCAATTTTTCAACTGTAGTAGCTAGGTAAGCATGAGGTAAGCTGCACAATTAGTTCTTTCGAATTATCCATCCGTCATCAAGGTATGTGCTCTGTTGAGTGATCGGATAAGAGCAACAAAGGGTGCCGTTTAACTGACTAGAATGGCAATTAAGTGCACGGCCCGAACCCCTTTGTTAGTTTTTCGGCCCCGACATGGAGGGTTTGGTCGACTTGGTCTCTTGGCTGCCGATGCTTGGCCGAAGACTGTAGATATGTTAGTTCTTTGATGTCTTTTACCTCAAGTCTTACTCTGACGGGTTCTTCCGTACATCCACTCTGCCGCCAAGCGAGAGATTTGACGGCGGGACCGATGAGGACAGCATATGAAGGTAGTTTTGGGCTTGGCATTGATCTGTCTGTTACCTACTTTTTGCCGGACGGCTGGGTAACTGGTGATAACGAGAACTGAAAGTGTTAGTGCAGCTGTCAGCCTGTCAAGTATGGGTGAGTCTAGATATCTCATGGAGGAACCGAGCGTAAGCCACTCGTTACATACTTAGCTCATCTCTCCTCGCTATGCGACTCATCAGTTTATGCCTATCTCCAGGCAGGTAGATATAAAAAGAGTGGATAGACGTAGCCGAAATCCTTGAGCCAAGAAGGCCTCGGAATTGCCGGGGTGACCACTAGCTTCGGGCACGAGGTGGGAGCGCGGCCACGGCATCGGGACAGACCAGATGTGTTGGGTGCGGTTCGGATACTAGCACGCACGTTTTCACGTTCTTGGCTGACTTTTCTCATTGTCTTCCCTCGTGGCTCCGCGGTCTGGGTCTTTCCACTTTTTTCCAGGGCTCTTCTGTTTTTTTTTTTCCTCTTTCACATCCAGTCCAGGACAAAGAGGCGGTGCTCTCTGATGACGGAAAAATGATGCCAAGATCCGCACACGTGGGAGACATGATAATCTCTTATAATGGATGTGGGTATCGACGGATAGATCCAGTGTGGCTTTCTTCTGGAACCACTGTAGCGTCTAAATGACGCATTTGTTGCTAGCGTCAACAGAAGGGGTGTGTATGTCAAATGAAAAGTTCGTGGCAATGCCATCGCCATCGTTTCCTAGTGTACTCGCCTATGGTAGCGTCCAATACGATTGGAAGTGATGACATCCAATGAAGGATGGCACAACCGGGCCAAGGCTATCTTGGCAGTTTTAGCAAGCGAGCGAGGTATTTACCATCTTGCTAACACCCGGGCAAGGGGACCTTATCCCTCTTTCTTTGTGATGCTTGTTCCTAGCCATGGCCAAGCTCGAAATCGGCGAAGGCTGAGTAGTGACCGAACAGAAGAAAAGGTGAATAGGAGGCAAGAGGGTGTGCTGATGTGCTGCCGTCCTGCAGTCCAACGCGAAGACAAAGAGAGCTTAGGTAAAGTGAAGCAACCGACATGAGTGGCAAGTTAGAGAGAAAGAAAGAGAAAAAAAAAAAAAAAAAAAAAAAAAAAAAAGGTGAAAAGTGTAGAACGAGAAGGGCATGCATGTGACAACGATATTGGGCTGCTTCGGCTGCCATACCTTGGCGAGCAGCAGCAGGAGAGGTTTATTACGCACGTTGACTGGCATCGCATGGGGGACTGGCACTGGACCAGGTATTCGACGTCAAGACATGCAGACGACAGCGTCCGTCCCTCTGTCCAAGTGGGGATGTATACGCGCGACCTTGCTTCAGGAGGCTCGTCCAGAAAAACAACAGCAAGGGGGGAAAGAATTCGAAAAGGCGAAAAGAACTGCCGTCAATGTGATGGGAGGGTCCAAGCGTCATGTCCTGGGCTGTGCTTGAGATCAGAGGAACCAGGTCGGAATGGAACCTTAACTTGCGGTGATAATCAGTGGGTGCATTTACAGGCTTGTTGGTCGCCTGTCGATCTCCCGGAAGGGTACTGCATGCCCTGGTGCAGCCCAGCCGCGGCCACAGGTGTCGAGATGGGATTCAGACGGACCAGAGCGAGAAGGAATAATGGCAAAGGCAGTCATCCATCGTGGCAGTGGACGGGAGCTGCCAATTTGCTGCATGTCTGTCTGTGATGGAGGCGCGCTGGGCCGACCAGAGACATGACGTGAAAATCAATCATGGGTCAGAAATGATGTGGATGTGGGAAAGGGATCCAATCCCAGCTCAACCCTAGGCATTTCTCCCCAGTGAGGCGTCAGCCATGGCTTGCGATGGCTGATATTCCAGTTTTAACCGCACTACCATGGTGAGCTGCATCCGCACTGTTGGAATTGCGTGATCACTAACCGAAGTGTACCCTTGATCAAACCTTTTGGCTCGAAAATAGCCGCTGAAGACCAGACGAGAACGGGGAGAAACAACAAAATAATATAAAAAGAGAGTGGTAATGTAGTGTATGGAAATACTGCGGGAAAGTGCCCTACGCAAGGTCACAAACAAGCGGTAACACCCGACGGGTGGGGAAACAAAAGAAGAGAAGAGGCTGGCGATGACATTACTATACCTATGTCTGGTGAGATGGGCAAGTTCAACCCGTGGGTCACGTCGCTGACGATCTCTGGCACTCGAGTGGCGGGCCATACACTAGGTAAGTATACACCAGACGGGAGTCACCAAGGTTTCCATCGATGCTTGTACTGGTCCGTGCCCGGTACCTTACAGGGAGGTAAATCTTGAGGTTTGCTGGATAGTCTAGGTAGTCTAGCAACCACAACGTCGGGACTGGGGAAAGTGGATGGAGTTGGATGGAGCCCTTTTTAGTCCTTGCCCTTTTGACGGTCACTAACGGGGATTGATGCCGTACTTGCCAGCGCTAACGCAGGCATGCGCAAGTGCGTCGAGTGTTCTAGTACGAACTGAGTGTGAATCCGACTGGGCAGGTGGTAGAAAGCGGAACTGAAGCCGACGAAGAACGTGCGGAGAACAAAACATCAGACGGAAGACAGGGAATGACCTGGTGGAGGGGATGGATGGATGGAGGGGGAGAGGTTCTCGGCTGTCAAAAGAATCACAGTTGCAACGCTGCTGCAACTGGATTGGGGAAACAATAACATAAGCAGGCAGGCTCCATGGCGCGGTCTCGAGATCACACAGCAAAACGAGAACATGATTGGCTTATCCGTTTACTTTTCTTTTCAGCCGCCAACCCTGGGCCTTGTCGAGCTCGTCTAGTGTACAATACTGTACACTACTTAAGTAGGTACTCACTAAGCAAAGTGAGGCTCCCTTGGTACGTGCCAAATGAAGGGCCAACGAGCCTTCAATTCTCGTTGAACATCATTCTATTCAAGGTGGAACTCGGTAGATCAGAAAAGGTAGAGCCAAACTGAAGCACCTAATTGAGACTTGCACTGCGGATGCACCTGGTCCCCGTTGGTAGGGGGTCCATGGCAGCAGCAGGCGGAGGAGTGGGTCACTCCGCTTTGACCTCGTCCCGCCTTCCCCCCGGGGCCCCATATCCCCCAGCATTTGGGGTGGATGCAGTGAGTGCATGGTGCCGTCTAGTGCCATCGATACGACGCTGTTGGTGCGCTCTGGATTTTCTCGACTTGCACTTTCAATGTCCCCATTTGCACTTTCCACATGTACCTTCTGGGCCTTCATATTAACCAGCAAATGAGTGACCTGAACCGATTTGGACCGAATACCCGAACTACCTACCTCTGGGTTAGGTTCCATGGTACCTCGGCCTAGCACTCCTCCTACACGCAAAGCAGAGGGAAGGACATTCCATTTGCAGACGAGAGTGCAGCCAAAGACTGGAGGCGCAAAAGTGCAGGGCGGGCGCAGTGACCACGCATCCCAACAACATCATCCCTCTACTCGGCTCCATCCGTCATATGCAAATCAACCTAATTCAATGCATTAGACGTAGGTACTTAAGGGAAACTCAAACCCTACCTTACCTAGGTGCACATCACTCCCGCGTCTTCGGACTTTACCAGAGATAGAGGTAGAGGTACCTCTCTGCCCACCAAAGTACCACTAACCTACCCTACCACGCCTACCACCCGCCCGCCATACCTTTCCATGCCCGTGGCCCTTTGTCTTTGCGCCCCCCTCCCCGTCCCCAGCTTCCCCGGACCGAGTCTTCTTGTCTCTCACACCTACCCACCTACCTACCTACCCACCCCCCTCTTCCACGGCTCGTCTGCTGTTGTCCTTGTTCAGGACATCGCAGTCACACTAGGCACACGAGTCTCCTATAACCGCTTTGTCTTGCCAGTCCACGCGACCGATCCGTGTCCCATATATTCGTCTTTTTTATACCCACTGGAACGCACCAAGTTCCTCACTTTGAACGGCATTGGATCGTCGTCCTCAATCACCCAACTGGGAGCCTTCGAACAGCGCTCTTCCCAAGAAGCACAACGTGCATACCCGCAATGGATCCCCTCACCCACACCACCGCTGCGGATATCGAAGAGTTGGCGTAAGTCAAGCACTTTTGACACATCACAGACCATGGCCTTGTTTGATTTGGATCGACACGTGCGCGGGAATCTGAGCGGCGGGCCATGCCGACTGTCTCGGACCGGGAATTTGGGATTGGAAATTGGGAATGTTTGTCACAAACGTCATGGACTGCACATGGGCTAACATACATTGTCTCGCACAGGGAACATCTGCATAGCATAGGAACTGGAGGCTTTCCAAAATCCCCCCCTCGATATCGCGACTCGCCGGCGCTGCATGAGCGGCATGAACGGGATGAATTTTGGAACGAGCCGCAGCACCAGCGGCGCAAGGTGGCATCGAGTGGTGGCTTCTCGCCGTCGCCGTCGCAGTCATCCTACCTTGCCGACTCCAAGGAGGTGGAATTTGGACAGCATTGGACTCCGCTGTCCGATTACAACGACCCCGTCTACGTTCCAAGATCCGCTCACTCGGTGCGAACATCGTCAAACAGCGTGACTTCGTCGATCCGGAAAGACTCGAGAGCTTCCGACACAAGGAGACCGTCGCAGCCCGCTGCTAGCTACAGCCTCTATCCCCCGTCCTCTCCCCCAATTACCAAACCTCTTCCACCACTTCCCCTCGGCAAGAACTCACACCGCGTCTCTTCTCAGGGTTCATTTGATGGTTCTGATGCCGCTTCCTCTTACTCGGCCTCTCGCCTCTCTCAGGCTTCCAGATCATCAAAGGCCACATCATCGGGTCCCGACCATATGTCGAATGATGCTATTGCGCCACTCTCAAGCCCTCTGTTCCCCTCGCCTCCTCTACATCAATTTTCCACGCCGAGTGAGGAACGACCAAAGCCCAAGCCAAGGCCACGAGCGGGCTCCGCCGCCATCGATCTGGTGCCCTGGAAACACATGATCTCGAACGATAAAGTTACCAAGGATCCAACTGTTTTTTACTTTGACGTTTCGACCACCTCCGCCACGCTTGCCAGCAAACATGGAAATAACATCATCAAGGTGTGGTCTGTTGGAAGTGGGATTTTGCAGAGCACCATCAAATTCTCATGCTATACAGCCGCCCAAGCTCGCTCGCGCGAATACTTTGTCCGCAGTCACGCCATTCTTTCCGAGCCAGCCACAATGATTGCCATTGCCACTGGCTTTGGCGATACCCTTGAAGTATGGGACTGGGCCAAAAAGAAGAAGCTCCAAACTATCGAGAAAGCAGACCGATGGGCCGCTGTTAGGACCAGTGTTTACGAAGCTGGCTTCAGCCCTCTAGTTACCTATGCAGGCGACGCCGACACAATCGATCTTTACTCCGTCTCCCAAAGCAAGAAACCCTTCACCAAGAGCCGCACCATCGATCTTCGCAAAGCCAACCTCCCGGTTATTCCCCAGTACCCCGAGCTTGCCTTCTCTGCAACCGGTCCCCTGCTTGTCGCCGCCTCTGGACCGCGGCCACCTCGTCCCGGCCATCCTCCTCCCGAGCACGAAACGCTTCTCGTAGCCTGGGACGTCGGGGACCCTACGGATGGCTCACAGCCCGCGTCTCATACCCCATACAAGTGTGTGACCCCCTGGGCGCATACAGAGCTTGAAACTGCCTTGCCGTCTGGTCTAGCAACTTACGGTTCGGTTGCCGTCTCCATCTGGATCCCTGCCTCATACCGCGCCGTACCCATCCCTGCCTCCCGCGGTGGGCATGGATACAATCTGGCACCTGTCCCTGTTCCCTATCGCCATGTTTTAGTGTGGGACTTTTCGGCATCTTCGACCAAGACCTTCCGCATCCCCAACGCAATATCGTGTGTCAGTCCTGACTGTCGATATGTAGCGTATTGCGATGCGACGGGGATTGACTTTGGTGGCCGCGGGTGCCTGGTGATACTAGATGCCATGACCGGGACAGAGTTGTGGCGCTGGCCGGACCCAGAAGCTGGGATCATGGAAAGCGCACCAAAACAGGGGTATGAGCAATTGGAGGCGTTGAGCAAGGTCACCGAGTTGTCATTCTCCATAGATGGCGGGTTCCTGTTCTTGGGAGATTCGGACGGGGGTTGCGGTGTATACGAGGTTAGGGAGGCGACAGCGGGGGCCAATGGGCAAAAGCTAAATGTTAGGCCCATAAGGTGAACGGGGCTTGGGTTTGGTGGACATTACGCTCTTGGTTGGTAGGTAGTTGAAGAGTTGATGAGCCTACGAGATACGGTGTTACTACGATGGGGATGATAAAAAAAAAAGGCAGTACAGTAAGGGGTGGATGATTGCAGAACACTGGCCGACGCTAAAAGGTCTTTTGGGTATATAATGGCATGATGATTGAGGATACCATAGTAAGTATGAACTGTTTTCAGAGAGATCGGATGTGAGCCGACTGGGAAAAAACTAGTATCATTATTCCTGTCTTGCTGAAGGCGCATTCATCATAATCCTTGTTCTGCTAAACATTCTCTGGGCTAACGTGTCAGTCAAATATGCCTTTTCTGAGCGCGGAGAGAATCATTCCACCCTCGTGCTTCCTTACTGACGGACCGGATCAAGTTATTCTACTCCATCTACTACCAGTTGACAATCCTTCATGGCGCCAGGGTCATCTGCAAATATGATTTTCGGAATTCTTTCATACATTACACCTGCTTGGAGTATGACATCCGCTAGGGGGCGAGTGTTCTTATGACTCGAACGGCCACGAGTTCGGAGTGCTGCCGTCCCAAGTCCAAAAGCAATCATTGTTTGAAGAATGTAGGTGCAAATGATTATTTTAAACCTATAACGCGGTTGCAGTATTGTGTCACCCGCCAAGCACAACTTCCACAAACAAACCCTTTGTTGACAATGCCTGAATAGACGCTGAATAGGGGTGAAAACATGCACTCTATATTTGGCAACGAAAATCGTGGATACCGAGTATACCTACTCTATTCGCCATGCATCTCTAGCTCTGAGAACTCAAACTCATCGATCTTCCCACATTCACTCGTTTTCCTTCGTATCACCTTCAACAACCTTCCAGCCTGAAATCATCAAACTGTGGCCTTGCGACATATACGCTCTTTCACGTTTCTTCTCATTTCTTACTTTTAGCAACGCGATTATCGTCATCATCAGCATCACCAAGATCATAAACTGGTCACGCAACAAAACCAACAAGCACACCAGCCCTTCCCAATCTGGAGAACGATGATTTCCAATACTCCCACCCCCATCCTCCTCCTCCTCTTCTTCCTAAGCCTCCTTGTCCTCTCAGCAACCGCCCTCCCCAGTCCAGGTGGCTACGGTGGCCCAACTTATACCTGGACCAACCCCCCTCCGGCTGATGGCTCCAAACAGGGAAACAACAACGGAAACCAAATCACTGGCTTCTCCTTTGCCAAATGGGTCGATGATGTCCAGCAAGGCAAAGGCATGACGCCTGAACAAGCGCTGGCTTCTTACAAAGCTAGTGAACACGCCAAACGCGAAGCCCGCAGACTGGCGGTGGCTGGAAACGACAACAACAACAACGACGACGACGACGACGATGAACTTCCACCTTGGTATTTCACCTATGGCCCCGGCGGCGGCGGCGGTGGCGGCGGTGGGAATAACAACACCACCACCACCACCACCGTTGTAGGAAAAAGAGCCTCGGAACCAACCGGACCAACCTGCTACTGGCACAAGAACGAGCGACCCAAAGTCGAGGATGCATTTTTCGTCGTCACCATGATGGCGCACCGTCCGGAACTGATTAGTATTCACAAGGATGAGGGGAGGGATGTCGCGCGACCGATCAATACTGCGAGTATTAATGTTAGGAGTGTCACTGGACTTCGATATGCAGTTTTGGGAACGGATATTGCGCGGGCGGGAGGGTTGATTATGGATTATTGGTGAGTTTTTCTTTTTTTTTTTTTTTTTTTTTTTTTTTTTTTTTTTTTTTTCGCCTTTAGTAGTCTTTGGTTTCCCCCCTTCTTGTTTTCCCATGTCGAAAGAGAGAGACGGATTACGAAAATCAAGCAGAGATGCTGAATCAGAGACATCTTGCTAACGGCGGCGAATGATGAATAGCACGTGGAAAGGCAGAAGTGGTGGAGGAGAGTACGCATGGGGAAATGGCTACCTTTATGTTACTATTGAGCATACGGGGAGGGGGGAGAAGACGATGCAAGAGAACTTGATGGATAAGAGGGAAAAGTTGATTGGGCCGAGGAAAGCGGAGGAGGAAGATGAGGTGAAGCCCAAGTGGCAGATGGTTGTCAGGGAGAGAAAGTAGAGTGAAAAAAACACAAACGAGCAAGACTGTGTACGGTATGAACAGGGAAGGATGTTGTTGGTAAAGGTAACGGATGGGAGAGGAGTGGGAGTCTAAGGTTGAATATACGCCCGAAGGGCTTGCTTGGTAACTTTTGTTTCCCTTTTCTGTTCTTTTTGTTTAGTTTCTTTCTTTAGTAATTAGTTCTGTACAATAGCTTCCTACGATTTTCCTTCTAACGACTCGATCATCCAACATGTCGAAATTTACAACAAGCAAAGGTTTGCAAAGGAGAACTTGCCTGAGTGCGAAAGCCAAGACAGCGTCCAGATTGCGGTTCTGCCTCGTTAGTCGGTGAAGCTGTTCGGTGAGACGCGAAGTGGTGACTCGATGATGATCGGAGGGGACCATGACTGCCGGCATCCTACAAGATAACGAGCGCATTGCTGAGCCCACGAGGGTCACTCAACGACACATCCTATTGGACCCACGATTGAGTGAAGAAGATCACACCGACTGATTGCGAGTGCACCCGGTATTGAATTTGGATTTCAAGGATCAGCAATCGAAAGGAGGGAATATACCATGCCTTTCCAATGTCTATCGTTTCCATGACGAGCGTATTGTTAGTACGTGCGAGTGAAACTGAATGGAGTGAACGAACTGGAGCAAGCTGCAGCATGCCTGCCTGATTTATACCTCAGACCTGTTTCTTCCCCACACGAAACGAAGAAGGCACACCCTGTATGTAAAAAAAAGATGGCTGCAACAGGAGGAGCAGAATACTGCTGAGGAAGGAGGGTATTGCTATGGAAAGAGGTTGAGCCGATAGCTGAGGTGATTGGGGCCCCGGTTGGGGACGACGAGATGTGCATTCCATAGACCCAGGGCTTCGGGGCTTCTGGAGCAGTCATCTCTTCATACTTGACGAACAAGCGCTTCTGACACATCTTTGAATGTCTCCTCTGCTTGTTGCCTTATAAGTGCAGCAGCGGATTAAACGACCTGCGACATTGTTGCCGTCAGGTCAGTCGGGCAAGTTGAACGTATCTTGTCGCTTATCGCGCCCCTTATCGATTGTTCAAAGCGATACCCACGTGACGGACGTGAGACGGTCGGCAGCGGCAGTGTTAGCGCAGTAGGCAAGGGTCAGGTTTCGCCAGCCCGCCAACGTCACAGCGCCGGTAAAGACACGTGTAGTGTAGTCACCGACACACCGTCGAGCATGGTGATCACACCGTCACCGTGGACTTCCAGGGTCCAGTGGACGATCAACCCCTCGACCAGCGACCCCTCGCTCCTGTCCATCACAACCCCTTCTATATACAGTCTTTACCCCCATTAATGCAACTCGATGCCGGCGGTGATTTGTCGTGCAATAAGTAGGGTGTTTGCAAAAGAAGGATCCAGCGCATGAACCTAAAGTAGGCGTACAGGCCACTGTCAAGACCATTGACGGATCGGAAGAATGGATCGATAAACACCGATATAGGGGTACAAGTGTTCACTTCCACCAAAACTTGGCCCTTCCCTATGTTGCTAGTAATATTACAAACATTCGGCCATTATTGTTGCAACTAGCAGTTCGCAGTCCCAGTATGGGCCTGTAAATCTGGCCCTCGACTGGCTGTGCAATAAGTGGGTAGGATTACCGCATAACGGGGGGTGTTGCAACTGCAGGGGTAAAGACTGCACCCCTCTTCAGCCCCTCTTTTAAGCCCCTCGTCAATCTTCACCCCCTTTTCCATGGCGCCTTGTGACTGGCCAACAAGCTGTTGAGCTTCCACGAGCTGCCAACGACATGAGACGAACATGGTAGAACACCCAGAAGCTCTGCAAGCACTCAAGCGGAGCTCCCCTCTCGTTTGCCGCCGTCTGATAATCAAACATGTTTTGGTCTCAACAAGCACGCCGTAAACATCAAGCCAGGTTCACAGGTCACGAGCCTCCACAGTTCAGGAAACTGTCAGTAGGAGAACTCGGTCAGAGCTGTCATGGCCGCACAACAGAAAGGGGATAGTCGGGGATCTCCATCGACATGCTAGAAGCTGACAGGGACACAAGCTCGACATCTCTCCACCATAACCCCTTCCACATGTCCACTCCTTACGATGTCGGTCTCCATTTACGATCCACTTCCCCTCGTCGAGCACCCTGAGGCCTGACGAGCTGAGCTGCCCCAGACCCGCGGTGTCAAGTGCAAGCTAGATGTTACGCTGGTTATCATGCTGGTTACCGAGTCAAGCCAGTGCAAGATACACGTCTACGTATGTGCGAGGCAGTCGATGTTTGTTTGCTTTTTGTACAAGGCTTTCATTGCTATCGTGTCCAATGTCTACCTTGTACCCCTAAGTACCATTTAAAGATTATGCTTTACGACTATTCATTCCCCTTGACATCCCGACGGTCCCTATGCGCCGCCGGCAACGGATTTCTTCGCGTGTGCGTCCGGGTCATTTAAAACTCTGGTGGGGGAGCAATTTGTCAGTTACTTGAGCGTTTGGACATCAGTGCTGGCTGGGCGGCAAGTAGACTTACTAGCCTGGAACTGGCCGTTGACGTTCTCAACGATCTCGGTGAGGTTAACATCGCGGTCGTGGAACTCGCCGTTGCAGTCACGGAGCCTGGCACGGAGAATGGGCTGCTCGGCGGCACCCTCCTTGGGGTGGAAGCGGATATCCTCGGCGGTCTCAGTGAAGTTCTGACCACCCCACTGGAAGTGACCTAAAGAAGAGGAACCATGTTAGATACTGTCTGAAAGATGCCGAGGATAAAGGATAGCTTGGACTACTTACCATCGTTGTTTCCGATGATCTGGTCAAGCTCGTAGCTGGCGTCGTTCCACTCGCCGTCCTCGCGGCGGAGGCGGGCAAAGAGGATGGTGCGGTTATCGCGCACCTCGATGCGAGCATCCTCAGCGGTAACGTGGAAAGACATGTTGATAGTGTTGGTTTGGGGGTGGTGTTGGGTATGTGGTGGTAGTTTCAAGTTTGTGGATGAAGTTTAGAAGAACAACCAAGTGCAAGTTGGGAGAAGGGGAAACCGCCTTCTTATACACGAGGGAGACGGGGAACGGCCTCCCATCAACGTGGCTCGGCCAATTGACCGCCTCAACCGCTTGGACGCAGCAAGGGAAGGCATCACCCATCAGGGTTCTCTCCTCGTGGAGTATGACAGAAGAAGACGGGACCTACGCCATGATGCGGTCCACGACCTGTCTCCACACTCGACCTGTTTGGTTCCATCCCACTTTACACTATGTACAACACCACTTTCCAGGTGACAAGGTTCAAAGGTCAGTTTTGATACTTCAAACCCTCGCATTCTATTCCCCACAAGCCGATACGAAGCCAAACGGAGCAAACAGCCCCCCTTTTGGACCAGTTGAGTTGCGTGGACGCGTTGCCTTTTTTTGCAACGTAGATGTTACTTTAGATAGATCTGGACTGTTGTAATGGTGAAGAATACGGGCCAATGGTGAGCGGGTGTGTGTGAGCTTTACAAGTCCTTTACGCGATACCCTGTCAAGCATTCGGCATCGTGTGTTGGCATTGAAACCAGGGGATGCCTACACTACTTGGCGTCATCTCTAGCCTCCATCTCATTACTCCCGTTCCAGATTACACAGCTCTAGAACACTGGTGATGATTGAGGGGTGAAAGAATGAAGTGGGGGGAGGCCGCCGCCGGACCCAGCTTGCCCAGCTCGCAGGAAGCTCCAGCTCGCTAGTGCCCCGTGGAGTACATACCAAGATGGAATCATGGAAAGATGGAGGAAGCTGCGTGGCTTTGTTGTTTCCATCTTCGTAGCACCGCCTCCCTACGCATCGACTTGTTGACCACTGCCCGCCAAGACAGAAGGGACCACAACAGAAGGCACGGCATGGGGGTTCGCAGGGGGTCCGCAGGGAAGGCATTGACGACTCGTCCGCATATCACCGTCCTCAGCTGAGGTTTCCCCGTGGAGTCGTTGACGTTGAACCCTCGCGGTTGCAATACTTGGCATGATTACGGCATCCACCGTTGCTTGGCAGCTTGGCATTGGCTCGGCCACTAGGGCGTAACTGAATGGCTCCACATCCGCCCATGCAAACGAGTCCCCGCTTTGGCGTCGCATCATGCCGACATGTCTCAACTCTCTGCGTGTCTTGTATCATAAATGACCACAAACCTCTCTGGAAGCGAGTTATGCTTCTATGGATGGCACAGAACCCAAAGACGTCCAGCATCCATACAGATGTTGGTTCGTACTCGGACATCATGCAAGTTCAGAGACCGATTGGTTACCTCTTCCAAATCACTCATCGATTACGTGGACTCTGGACTCTCAACTTCCATCGAAAAACTTGACCTAGCACTCTCTCCCTCCTCCTCCTCCTCCTCCTCCTCCTCCTCCTCCTCCTCCTCTTTGGCGTCGAATAACCTGACGATTCCTCGCATTGCGTCTACTCTACCAATACGAGCAGTAGTGTAATGAGGACTTGAAACGCCGAGCATGTCAAAGCAAGTCGGTCGGTTGGGATCTCAAGTGAGATTGATCACTTACCTCTATATACATGTGGAAGGCAAGTATTGGTTTCAGCTGTTGATATGGCGCTTTTTCAAGGACAGACATAGGTATCTGCCGGCCAAGATGACAAGCCAAACCATCAGACCAGATCGAAGTCACTTCTCAGCCCATGCACGGCACTTTGAAGGCAACTCACGAAGCGCATTGAAATCAAGATCCCGAAAGGTCATCGAACGAGCCACACAAAACCGCCTTCTAAAAGTTTGGCCAGCTGAATGTGGGACTTGACTCTGGGTATCGTGAATGACTTACAAGGCCTTCAAATGCATGGCAGATACCTACAGACCATCATCGACGTTAACTCCCACGTACCTAATTAGAGGTAACCATGCGGACGAGGGCTCCAGTCCATCTCAAGCGATCTTGCATTGACGAGATTATTAATACCAGCGGAAGCCCGCACGTCATCCTCCCGTACAGCGCCGCCCATTGATCTCCTAGAATGCCTAAAGTCCGGTCTGAAGAGTGCGAGATTATGTCGTTTGGGAAAAGGTTCTATAGCTGCATAAACTAGTCAGCAACTTTGGCGTTCGAGCTGAGGTAAAGTAGAGATGGGAATCTGGATCCCCCCCTACGCCTTCGTGTCATCGAAAACTTATGCTGACGCTGGCTTGGGGAATCACTCAGGATCTCACTTACCGATCTTGACCATCAGCTATGCCAGGTGAACGGTTCCCCCTCTCATAGCCTGCTTCGTTCCAAATCATACGCTTGTTTCCCAGGACCGATGGATCGCTGAGTGAACGAAATCATTGCGATGAACTTCTCAGCACGCAAAGAGACACCGTATCGGCCCCCTTTGCCTTCCAGTCGGATCCCTCTTCTGGACAATGCCCATGCTCTCCAGATCTTCACTTCTCGGAAATCATCCTCCCCGAAAGTCCTCAACGGTCATATCCTCCGCAAGCTCCTCAGCGAGGTCCAGCTCCTCCCCTCTTCCTCACCTCCACATCACCTCCATGTTCACCTCCTCCACGATAGGCACCACCTCTACCCCTTTCAACCGCGCTCACCTCGCTCTCACCGGGTAGTCTCTCTGGGTTTCGAAGCGCGTCAAAGATGACAATGCCGATAAACAACACGGCGTAGACGAGCTCGTACAACGTTTCCAGGCACGCAATCATGTTGATGGCTTTGACGAGTCTTTTTTTTTTTCTCGAGGTCTTGACTGATGCTCTGATTTTGCGTTGCACGCGATGCCGGAATGCTTTTCGTCGGAGACGGAATACGTTAGTTAAAATCCTTGAGAGCTAGAGAGAGAGGGAGTATATGTTTGAGGATGAGGGGGAGGCGTACTTCTACTAGGTATGAAATAGTTGAAGAATCGTAGGGTTTTGGCTGGGAGTTGAGTTCGTTGTCTTTGAAGTGGGAGGGGTTGCTCTACAGAAAGGAGTCCGAAGTCAAACCGGTGGAGGGGTTGAAGAAGAGGAGGTCAAAATTACGGTATTTTAGTGTGATGGTTATGAGCAAAGTGCAGTATTACACTGGACTAATAAATTGAGCTCGAGGTGAGTTTATCATTTGATATTTAACGTGCCCCTCGACAATTACCTTTTTCTTCCTTTCCTCTTTGCAAGTTCTCTTGCTTTTACTTACCTCTATGCCCGGTAGATATTCTCAACTTGATGGCACAACACTACAGCTCCTCAGCCGTTGTGGAAAGAAAAGGCCCCTTTGAAGTTTCTCGATACAATACAGATTATACCAAAGGATGCCATACATCTATCGTTGACTGCCTGCCAGCACGTGGATCTTTGCCCTAGTCATTTTGTGCCAAACACTTCCGCCTTTCTCACCTGGTAGCTAGGTCTCGGAGGTTGACCAGTTTCTGTTACTGACCACATCCTCATTTCATCACCATCTTCATTTTCAGCTTCACGGCTTCAGCTCAATATCGACCGATAACATACCCCGTCAAACCCGTGCACAACTCTGAACTTCTCATACCTCAGGCATTTGCAACTCCCTTCACGGCCGGGGTGTTTTCACGAACATCATAAATTGTTTCGACTCGAAGATCAAGGGAACCCGGGGCAAAGATTTTGAAAGACTCCCTCAAAGCACGTGGCAAAGGTCAACGGGCGCCATGCCAAGACGGGACTTGCGGTTTACACAACGGCGATCGACAGGACCGGAAGAATGCATGCTTACGAGTGTGCACTAGTAACTGTCCTTTGTCAGGTTATGGGCTTTATCGGTGTTGTGGAATTGGCACAGGGGTTGGACTCCAGTCTTGACCGGACTTGAGGAGATCACTAGTAAGAACTAAGTCGGATGTGGAACACGATACATTTCTTTAGTGCGCGAAGTTTCGATGTTCCATGCCGAGTTCAAGGTACCTATTCCGTGTAAATCGAAATATCGAAAACGATATGTGTGAAGATATTTGCACATCCTGGTGTTAATCTCCCGTCAGCTTGCCCGTCAACATTCTTGGCGCACTTTATTGGGTTTTCCACCATGTCAATCCACGTTTGTCTCTGATATTCAAGAAAGCCACCGAGTAAGCCGTAGCTGGGTGGAAACCTTACACTTCACTCGGAGGCTTACACCGCAAATCATTATCGGAGATTCTTGCCAGCGTGTCAATTTTGGCCTGTTCCCAATTGCCCATACACCGTCCACCATCGTGATCATGGCATTGACCAATACCAATGCCCCCCGTCGAGTCCAGTCTCTCTCCTTCTTCAAAGACAAAAACCTGACCATCCCGCTCACATAAAGAGCGAGATTCCACCGCCTCCTGTGTTGGTCACCTCACCATTCACCACACTTCGACTCGTCCAAGCCATCCATCGCTCAGTCTCGTGCCCCATTTCTTTCTTTCTTCCTTTCCTTCCTTTGGTCCCCCCCAAGCCAACCAAATTCCATTGAACTTCAAGTCTTGCTGCCCAATACATACCCTTTTTGGCACTAGCGTGCTAGCGCCAGTTGGCTTTGCAGTTGCACTGACTTCCACTGATTTTGCACTGGCTTTTCGGCACTGGCACATCGATTGAAACCACAACGTACTGGGGGTGGTGTCATGCCATGTGGTTTGCATATACGCTGCGCTAAGTGTCTGACCTAGCAAAACGAAGGAACGTGTATTAGCGTTGTCGGTGCACCGTGGTGTATGTCGGTCAGCATTGAACAAAAGAACCTTGAAACGGTGAAAAAGGTTGGAGTTCGGGAGGGACGTGGAAGAATCCTTCTTTTTTTCTTCTTCTTTTTATTCATTATACCATCGAGGTCTGAATCGTACTTTCCATGTCCTGCAAACCTCATCCGTTATTTGCGTGTTGATACCTACCTGCTACTGTCGTTTTCAAGGTGTGAAATAACGAGAGGTTCCTGCGTACACGTGAGTTCTTTCCAGATTAGGGTAGTCGTGTTGGCGGCTGCGATGACGTCGCTCTGGATGATGGACTCGAGCTAACTGATGAACCAGATACGAACCTCAAGCAACGAATGCATTCATACATTACCTGATTCTTCACTACTCGAGTCCAACCTCCAACACGCACCGCGAGCCTCTCAAATCTCACAGCCCGCTCAGTACGCTACCTGCCTCTAGAAATCCATCTACCTAAAACCAGCAAACGTCAGCCATCGGCAGCCATAAACAAGTCCTTCAACAGCGACACCCGATAACAAGCATCCTCTCACCTAGAGGCAGACACCTACCTACCCAGCCGGATCCCCAATCCTCACTCCCAAAACTCACCGATTCTTCAAAATCCACCGAACAACCTCCACCAAACGACATCTGGGATCCACACACAATGAGAGTCCAGATCCCTACACCCGGCTACACCGCCTACATGAAACTCCCGGCCGTTCCAGCCAACATCCAAGCCGCCCTAGCCGGGGATGAGAACCAGCGGCTGAATCTCATCTGGATCGGACTAGTAGCGGTAGAGATCCTGATGGTTGTCAGCGTCGTGTTGCATGCCGTTATCAGGACAGTATATCCAAAGAAGAAACAGAGGTTGGGTTCGTGGTAGAGCATTGGGGAGGAATGGAGGGAGAAATGACGAGCGGGCCAACTTCGATCTGACGACAAAAACTGGTGCCCGGGGCCGAGAGGATCTTTGTCCGGCTGTCGAGGGCAGTATATGTTGGCCGATGGAGGTATTTCATGATTGATGAGTTATAATGGACTGCATGCATGGAGAACTGGTACGTAAGCATTGAAATACAAAAAAGTATGGCAGACGTTGGTTGAAATCGATGGGAAAGGGGAGGAGTATCATGGTGTTTGCATTTAAAGGTGGGCGACAGAACTAGCACATCGCGATATAATACCACAACTCTCAATGAGCTAAATTCTCTCCTCCGTGAGCCATGCCAAGAGGCAAACCTCACATTCAGTGCTCCCTGTATTGTATTTAAGCCAAGCATAGCATCCATTGCTTCTCATTGCCAATCATTCTGGCCCATCCAGTTGGACACAAAGGCCGGCACCCAAGACTTAGATATTCGCTTCAACCGTATAGCACCTTAGAAAAGCTGTAATGATTGTGATCAAGTTGTTAATGTCATTCAGAAATGTAGTGGGCTCGATTCTGAGGGCTGCAATAGCACGGTCGTTGAAGGCGGCATCCACCAGACAGTACAGGGGCTTGGGATCGGAGACATTGAAGATTCAGTTGATGAACGTGTCGGCTGTGAAGCCGTAGGGAAGCAGAGGCAGGAAGATGACGGGAGCGCTTTTAGAGGCATTGGCCTGGTCAGCTTCAAAGATACTAGTGAAAGCGAGGATGAATAACAGGTTATGACATGGCAAGCAATGAGGTGGGAAAGGGAGAACATACAGGCTGAAGATACGGCCCATGGCGCCCCCATTCTGAGCGAGAATTTTCCAAGGGATGAGAATCTTGAAGACAGCCGCGCGCTCTGGTATCTCGACGTGACCATTGACAACAACCGTGGTTCCGGTAAGCCAGTCACCAGTCTGAACACCATAGTTGATGCCTACCTGGAAGGCCTGAGACCAAGCAGCGTCGTGAGCAGCTCTGTTCCTGAAGTCACCAGTCCTTACTTTCCTGAGGAAAGTTGCCTACATGGAGAGCTAGGGTTTCCAAACGTGTCGTTTGACTTCCCCAGGGCAATGGCCGTACCACGCTGGACTCCGTCAAAGACACCAGCGAAGCCGTATGAAGGTGCAATATTGGGATTGGGAAGATTTTTGTCGATAAAGTATTGCATCAGTCCTTCAATAGCCTTGAACTGGGTCTGGCTTATGTTTGGGCCGCCGAGGAGGTTGAGCTGGATGGTGACAAGGTAGATGAGCCTGTCAGACAAAGAGACATTCTAAAGGAAGTTGAAGTTGCAAGCCAGAGTGTCCTTGCAGAATGGCCACCCTAAGGTTGATGTTTTAGTGCCGGATACAGCATCGGTGGGGGCGGTATCCATTGTGATGGTGGCAAGCTCGGACATGACTATATCGACAACGTTATGTTGACCGCTCACCGCTGGCATCTGTTGACCGTCCATCCCGGACAAACCCTCCAGCACAGTCAGTGCCATGTGGTCCTGGAAGGTTGAATCGTTAATGTGCATGGTGGCGGCTAGGGCACCAGCGATGGAAGCCACTAGGGCGTGGGCAAAGGAACGCATGGCTGCCAAAATCGAGCTGAGAGTGAGGCAAGTTGCGGGAAATGAGACGCCAAACCGTGGACCATGGATGGCATTGACCAGCCGACATCCTTCACATGGATGTACGCACTTGAAATCTTCCATGGTCAGTCATCCTGTTATGGACTTTCCATCCTCAGGTCACCGCCGGAGCTTCTGGGTAACATTCCTCCTGCAGGCTGGATAAGTCAATGTGTCGAGAAATGACTGTTTGGACACCCCGCGCCAAATCGTTCTTCTGTTTCTTTCCGTTGTTTTTTTTCAGGGTAAATTGCCGAGCTCGAGATGCGAGTCTGAAAAGGGCCGTCCTCCAGATGTTAAGTCGATCATGTGCCAGTGCTGTGTAGCTCCATAGCTGGGTTCTCGGAAGGCTTGAATGGCAGCCTTGAGAATTATTGCCAATCGGGATGTGACAATGGGACGGCCCGGGACACTGCCGATCCCGAAGACCCTGATGGCCGAAGAAAGGGCATCAATGTGTGCCCTCAGGTGTCACGAACTTCTGAAGAAGGATTTATATCACTCCTCCACAGTGTTTGTGATTTGAGATTGGCACAAAGTAGTACTGAGACCACTTTTTGCCAAAGTTGGTGTGGGCCAAAGCCTAGTATTGAGACTTCGAGGGCTGAAGATCATAACCCTGATGATTCCTGGCTCATCGCGGAGTCTTTTTGTGGTGTAACGCAGTTCATTAGAGGTGGTCGTCGTTGGAGCACTCTTTTGAGGAATGTTTTGGTCGTGGAAAGGTAAGAGTGTGTCGGTTCTGCTTCTCTGGCGAGGGTTGAATCCCTATCACACTGCATGAAATGTTGTGAAGGGGTACCTTGCATGCTGGAAGGCCATTAGGTACGTGAACTGTGGTGACGCGAGGGTGTTCAATGCCCTGGGTAGTGTAATGTCCCTGGGAATGTGCAAGGCTTGATGGCACGTCGCAACCCCCGAAGATATCCGCATTCTTTCGTGTTGAGACGAGCCGTGAGAATGGAGGAGAAATTCCAGAACAGGAACTGGCGATCCGGCTTGCTCAGTGATGTTGATGGCCGATCCAACCATGAGGTCTGTTGTTGTTTTGGTCGCTAGGTTCGAGACCTCCGCGGTATAGCGCCGAGATAAGCAGGACAAAGGAAGGAGGAACTATGAGACTTCAGTGTTAGAAGCGTCTGATCACAAAAGAGGGTAAGCTTAGCTTGTGTAACTGGTGAGACTTTGTGTAGTGTTCGCGAGTCCTGCTGCGTACCCAATTGCGTCAGTCTGCGTGCCCTCGATGCGACCGCCGGTCTCATTGGAAGGTCGGCCTAGTTTGTGCGGATTGTCGAGACAGCATTTGATGAGGCTTTCTGAAGGCATAGTGGATTGTCGTTAACGCCGTCTTTGTTGCCGTTGCCGTTGCGGTGGTCATCGCTGTTTAGAACTCCGAGACTCGCGGCGTTGTCTAGTAGTTAGGTAAGCTTCAAGGACATGACTAATACATACCTACAAAACGGAACTCCCAAGTGATTTCCAGCTCTAGGTACTTTAGCTTTCGGTCAGGACATCCTCGGGAGGGGGTTCGCTCGATTGGTGAGATGTCGACGACGGGAAGGGAAGTTCGCGGGAGGACGAAAGTGGGGAAGTTGTGACACGGCAGCGTCATGCACGGAACCGGGCGGCAGGCGTCCCGTCTTTCTCCTCACTCACTGCATGCCGTGTGGAAGCTCAAAGGACGGCCGGGCAGGTCTTACTAACTACCTCAGCGAAAGTTTAGCGATGAAGGCGGGGGAGTGATGCACTAACATCGCAGCGGCAGGAAAGACACTTGCTGCTGCGGCCCTAACTGCATCGAGTTGACGTCGGTCCGCCCAATGACAACTGCCAACTTCACCTGTCACTTTGTCACCAAGGCTATTCTAGGCAGGAGCTTTTTTCCGGAATCATCTCCATTGATGAATTCCGTCGAGACGAGAGACGGCGGGATGATTGGCAAAGTTGGAGTGCCGGACTGCATTGTATAAGTCCCAATCAATCAGTTGCAGTCCAGTCATGACTTCTTGAGGTAAACAATGAATGGGTGTACCTTTCTCCAACTGTTCATCCCTCACAATCCCCTCCATCTTGAACGAATTGAAGAGCACCTTGACGGCTGCTGAGGGCTGCTCTGGACTCAAAATGAACAAGTCGCATCCATCGATATCGAACGAACGGTTTCAATCGAAGCGGATGGCCCGGGGTGCCATGAGGAGGAAATGGGGCCACGACGCCCCTGGCTGACCTGTCAGGTGGAGAGATCACAACCCCCCGCCCCTGGAAGGAGCCCCGCTCGGGACGATAGACGAAGACAAAACACGCCTGTTATGGATCGGATGGGGTGATGAAGCAATGAGGGTCGCACGTAGGTCAACCATCCTAGGTTTTGTCGAGTTTGAATGACGGTGAGGACCAGTCGGTAAACTCCCTTGATCATCACGGGTGTCGGCCATCCTTTATGTGCTCGAGGTCAGGTCGTCTGCCCTCTGGCTCATTAACCTCATCGGCCCCGGCACTCGACATCATAAGGTTAGACGCTAATCCGCCCGGAATAGCACCGGGGTGGTTTGGGTAGTGGTACCACGGCAGTGAGCGAGGTGGGCCGACCTTGTTCGTTTTCGTCCAAGTGTCGAGCCGCCACACGACTTCCCCGGATTGCTTGGCGATACCCTAACCCGCCCTTTGATTGGAGGTTCCATTGGGGGGTTTTGGAGAAGAGCCGTTGGAGGTGTAAGTGGTCAGGAAGTGGAAGGACCCCGGTACCTCCGGGTCCTAGCAGGTCACCCTATGCCATCATGTCATGATAATGTATTCATCACACGATCGTCCAAAAGCGGCCGTCTCCAGACTTCGTACTCGCTCTTGCTCTGCACCACCACCTGCACCACCCACGACCAGGTGATCTTCTACCTACCTACCCCGCTGGGCGAGGCAGGAACGAAATGCAGCGGAGACACCAGCGAGCCAATCTCGACTCGCTCAGCTCCTCTTGCTTGAGCGTGCAAAACCCCCTCTCTCTCTCATGACGCAGACCGACCTACGGACCGATCGGTACATCCAGTCCTATCACTTATACGACCTCCACAAGTGTAACCACCACTCATATCCCACCCGTGACGGCTACCCTAAAATGTACTCGCAGCTTGCTTGCCTGTCCTCTGCCCTTTTGTAACCACTGAAACCAGCTCGCCTTCCGCAACTGCCTGGAGAGGGAAGGACAGTCCTTGATCACCTCCCGCATTATTGGAACTTCCCCTCCCGTTGTCGTGCTCCGTCGTGTTCCCGCCCCCCTTTATCTACCTTGTAGCTCCCGTCTCGATTCCAATACTTTTCATCCTCCTCTTCTCTCCTCCTTGTCCAACAAACATCACTCTCCAATCTGCATCCATCTTTGCGAGATCCAATCCTACACTGTTAATCATCCATCCTCATCACCGTTCAGCTGTTATATCGTTATACAGCTGTCACACTGCCTGAATACCACTAGTCATCTGTAGCCAGATCCAACCAAACCATCACCACCATGTCGGGCGAACCACTCACCAAGGTCGACTCCGCCGTCCAAGGTCTCGAAGCCACATCACCTCCAAAGGAGAGCCACATCCACAAGCACCGACGAGCAAGCTCGAGTGCCAATGGGGTCATGAACATCAACGACCTGGAGGCTCAGGGCACTGACCTCCAGATTGCCAAGGAGACGCAGATGTTGGGGTGGTAAGTCCTGCCAAGCACTCGGTCCCAGAGGCTATGCCGTGACCTGACACCTCGATACACTCGAGATACATGGCTCACACTTGTTTGTCCAATGACAGGAAGGTCAACACCTCGCCTACGTCGATAGACGACAAGGACTACCTTAAGGTGATGCTCACAACACCGCCAGTCAAGAAGATTGACCTCTATTTCAAGACGGGGTTGCACGTAACGGCACGAAATCTCAAGGGGGTAACCATCAGGGACGCCATGGATGCCATCCACAAGTCGTTCAAGAAGAGGGTAAGACTTTCTTGACCACCACCACCTGTTGATCCGTGTGTTAGCAAGGGAGATTCCTTTGACTGACTCTTTGATGTGCCTCATAGCCGGATGATGAGCTACCCGAACCATACCTCAAGGGCTTTGAGTGGGACAAGGAGGAGTCATGGACATCGCTCTTGGTACACTTGTCGACGAACGCTGGCCCCAAACCCGCGGGCGGCTCCTCCAAGAAGAAGAAGAAGGCTGCCGCCGCCGAGGAAGAGGCTGCCTAAGCCCTTCACAGTCTGGTCCAGGCCAACATGGTCTGCACTGGCTATCCCTGTCTTTGGGTTCATCGGTGACGATGACAACGACAGGATCATAATATGTATCATATAATTATCCCTAATGGCAGACTGGGGTTGATCCTCCATGTCGTCAGCGTCAATTTCTTTCGGTGCCCTTCTGGTGTAAGGAAACAGCTGGCTGGGTCAACATGAGCAGCGGACACAGGGCAACAAGTAGTGTCGGACATGCTTTTGACAATGCACATTACTTTCAGCCATGTTAAATCGACTGCTTTTGTGTCATCGTGATCAGCAATTTGAATGCCATTGTGCCTTGCATTACTGTCCATTATGTACTTTCAAGTCTTCCACCTATGACGTTAATGTACAATATCCCCAAGATCTCGCGCCAATGATACCTGAATCTCATGTTTGAGACGTGCCCCATGACCAACATTCAGATCTTTTTTGCGGGGTGATCAAAGTGGATGAAATATGGCGACTCTGATGGATGGGTCATCCGTTCCACAAAAGTGGTTTGTACCGAGGGATCGGGTGGTAGAAGAACAGAGACGATATTCGAAGAAGGGTGTACCGGATAGGCTCCGAGAACCTGAATTTGGAATGCATGGTTGCCGAAGGTCTCCGGCGACCAGGTACATGCTTTCTGACTGTCGCGATACCTACTTACTCAACCGACAGAGTGCGTTTCTGCACCTTTGAGTTCTGGCTTTCCTGGCTTTCTACCGGATGAGCTTGTTGTTCCCTTCAATCAAGCCTCATGTTGTCTCCCATGGAGCGTTCGACGGTCCGGGGGTTACTTAACCCGCCCCTCCAGGCCCTCGAAATTCGGATTGCTGAGGTAGATGAAACTTCTATGTTGTCGTTTTATCATTCCTAGTTATAAGTTGAGTGTGTCGTAGGCTCCGCCGCAAAATTCTTCCTTCAGATCTGTCGTCAGAAGAGAAAAAAAAGAAAAAGAGTTTCCAACGTGGAACAAACCGGAAAGACAGAGCTAGCCAAAATCGAGTCTGGGGAAGCGGGGTCGATGCAGAGTTTAGTGCAAGATATGGTGGAGCTCGGGAAACCAGTGGGGACGTGAATTATGTGGAGAAAGGTCTTTCCTCCCGGGCTTACGATCCCCACCCTGGCGGCGCAATTAGTGACCGCATATCTTCGGCTACTGGCGGTCTTGCATCGCGGTCTTGGACGGGCGGAATTTAAGAACTGGGCGAGCGATGCATCGAGGCACAAGCAGGACACCAAAGAATGACGAAGAATGAAAGTAGCAATGTGACCTCGGCAACAGACAAGATGGATGGGTTATTTGGGCTTTCGTTAGTTGCTTTACGGAGAGAGATAACTTGTCTCTCGAGCCCTCCGTCTTTTGCTCTGCCCTTGACGTGATTTTCCACCTCAACATTCCAGTTTCTCCTACACTAGAGGGACACTCAAGCTGGACCAGAAGCAACCGTGAAAATGCCAGTCACCAACTTTGACTTCAAGGAAAAGTACCGCTACCAGAATGGCTTCGATTCCTACCTAGAGTAAGTCTCGTTTTCTCTTCCACTTTCAAGTCTCACCTCTACTTACCCAGACTTCCAGGTCCGAAGCCGTCTCCGGCGCTCTCCCCATCGGCCACAACTCGCCCCAGAAGCCTCCTCTCGGCCTTTACGCCGAGAAGCTTTCCGGAACCGCCTTCACAGCTCCCCGTCACGAGAACAAACAATCATGGCTCTACCGCATCCTGCCATCATGCTCGCACCCGCCCTTCGTCCAGGCCACTCCACGTAATGGTCAGGAGCCCGTACTTGAGCAATCGCCAGCCAGACTGCACTACATTCCCAACCAACTCCGATGGGACCCCTTCGACCATGAATCCGACACCGACTTTGTCTCCGGCCTGCGTCTCGTCGCCGGCGCCGGCGACCCCACCCTCAAGCAAGGTCTGGGCATGTACATCTACGCTGCCGGCAAGTCCATGTCCGCCCAATCAGCCTTCTACTCAGCCGACGGCGACCTTCTCATCGTAGCCCAAGACGGCGTGCTCGACATCCGCACCGAGTTCGGCTGGCTATTGGTCAGGCCCCTGGAAATCGCCGTCATCCCGCGCGGCGTGCGCTACCAAGTCCTCCTTCCCTCCGGTCCCGTCCGCGGTTACGCACTCGAGCTTTACCAAGGGCACTTCCAGCTCCCCGAGCTCGGCCCCATCGGCAGCAACGGCCTCGCCAACGTGCGTGACTTCCAAGCTCCCGTTGCCTGCTTCAGCGAAGACCACGGTTCGATCGCGCTCGACGGGCCCAACAGCTACACCATCACAGCCAAGTTCAACAACACCCTTTTTGAGACCAAGCAGCCGCACACCCCCTTTGATGTTGTGGCGTGGCACGGCAACTACTACCCCTACAAATACGATCTCGGTAGATTCAACACCATCGGCTCCATCAGCTTTGACCATCCGGATCCATCCATCTTCACCGTCCTCTCCGCCCCTTCAGACCATGCGGGAACCGCCATCGCCGACTTTGTCATCTTTCCTCCTCGCTGGCTTGTCGGGGAAGACACGTTCCGCCCACCTTGGTACCACCGCAACACGATGAGCGAGTTCATGGGACTGATCACTGGAGCATACGATGCCAAGAAGGGAGGAAAGGGCGGTTTCGTTCCGGGGGGCGCGAGTTTGCATAATGTTATGAGCGGACATGGCCCCGATGCGGCGAGTTATGAGGGGGCGAGGAACGCTGAACTGAAGCCGCAGAAGGTCGGGGACGGGAGTTGTGCGTTTATGTTTGAGAGTTGTCTGATGGTTGGCGTGACGGATTGGGGACTCGAGACTTGTCACAAGGTGCAGGAGGATTATAATGAGCATAGTTGGGGTGGGGTTAAGGTGCATTGGAAGGGCATGCCGAAGGGCGAGAACGGACAGGGGCATTTACTGTAAAGAGAGCAAGAAGCGGAAATGGAGGGAGAAGAGGAGACGAATGTCTTGTTTGAGGGTTATCTTGGTTACCTCTAGGTATAGAAGTAAAAGGGGATATGAGTGCCCGGGCTATTGTAGGAAGAAGAAGTATACCAATGAGCAGAGGGAGACATCGCTTAAAAGGGAGTGGGAAGACCATACAAGACGTAGTCGTTAGGTGAACACTTTATCATCATGCCATCGCATCGAGAATACAACATGATTGCCGTCTTCGGATCCTGCATTGCTGTGGGGTTATCGAGCCGCGGTTGAGCGTTTGGATTTTGCTCACTTGACGCCATTGGTAGTTGGCGGCGAAAAAGTGCAGGGTAATCAAGCTAGAGATTGGGCACAAGCATTTTTTGGAAACCGAAGATTGCTCTGAGGGGCCTCGAGCAGCTGCTTCCCACGCCCGCGTGCAAGTGAACAGCGACCAGCAAACGGTATTTTGAAAAAAAAAAAAAACTTCCGAAAGGGTGATAATTATACATTAGGTATGTAAAATAGCAGTTAACTTTGCGGCTTGCCATGGTCATATCATTCAAAACTTCATATCGGTCAACCCATCTCATGCCATTTACTCAGACTCTCCCCCCACCGCCGGCCCCGGTGCCACCGCAACACTCGTATGCAGCCTTCCCTGAAACCTCTTCCTCATCCTCTCGAACCCAACCTTGAACGCCTCCGGAAACCACCGCCTCAACTTTTCATTGTCCCTCCCCTCCATCATCTCCACCAATGCCTTCGCGCACATCCAGCACAACACCATCCCATGGCCCTGAAAACTACAACTCATCCAAAACCCGTTCTCTCCCGGCACTGCTCCGACCATTGGAAATCCATCGGGAGAATACCCCATGATTCCCGTCCACTCCTTTTTGATTCTTCCATCTGGGTGATCGTCTCCTTTCCCATTTCGATCACCACCACCACCATCACCACCACCACCAAAGTACCTCGTCAAAGTGTTCTGGAGGTAAGTGCTGATTTCCTCGTTAACAGTCGTATCATCCGTAGTTCCGTACTCCCCCAGCCCTTCTTCCTTGGCCCTCACTAGCCCACCACCAATAACCAAGTCCCCTTCGTTTCGACTTCCCTTTGGTCGTGGAATCATGTACTCGTACCCCTTATCGTAGATGAAGCTGTAGGTGGTCGGTAGACATCCTTTCTCGGATAGGTTGCTACCCGGTCTTTGCGCCGTGACCTGTCCGCGCAGGGGGACTATCACACCTTGGAAGGTAGGCGCAATGGCGGCCGTGTACCCGTTCGTGGCGAGGATGATGTCCTTAGTCCAGATGTTTCCACGAGGGGTTCGTACGGTCCAGGTGCGTTCGTCGCGGTTTTTCATTAAGGAGGTGGCGGGGGTGTTGGTTTGTAGGTTCAGGCCACGGGATAGACAGAGCTTGAGGAGGCCAGCGGTGAAGGCGTAGGAGGAAATGCTCCCGGCTGGGTAGGAGACGCCACCGTAGAGGGTTTGTGGCTCGCCGGCTATTGTGCCGGCGTCAAGGGCGCAATGAAATTTGGACTGAACTTCGGCCGGGGAGTGGAAGGTGTACTCTGCTACTGGGTCTCCCTCGGGGAACGCGGCCTTCATAGCAGTGACGGCTTCGTGGGCGGCGGTCCATTGGGCTTGGTCGTAGATGATGTCAATCGTGTGGCAGGGGTTGGAGTCGCAAGGAATGTTGTGCTCTTTGGCAAAGGCGTGGATGGCTTGGATGTTATCGTACTCCAGGCGGGCAATCTGGACCGCGGCTGGAGTGCCGAGGAGAGAGGCGTGCTCGAGAAAGGAGCGGTAGGAGGCGGCTTTGGTGTGTCCACCGTTACGACCGGTTGCGCCAGAGCAGGCCTGGCGGGCCTCAAGCATGACAATGTTTCTGGACCCCTTTTCCCCGGGGCGGACATCCTTTAGGAGATTCCATGCTATCGCGGCGCCGGTGATGCCGCTCCCGATGATGACGATGTCGACATGGCTTGGAAGGTCCTTGGTGGTGCGCTGGTCGGCAATATCGTCCGGAGGGTCTTGCCAGTAGCTCGGGGTTGGGTTTTCTCGAGGAAGAGTAACTCGGATCTTGGCGCGTTCGTCCATTGTTTAATGATTTCTTTGGCAGCAAACAACAGACACTGGGGGATTGGAGGTTTTGAACTGTAGTCTAGACTTGGGCGGTCTTATGCTGCAAGTCATCAGTTTCGTACTACACTTCTCGCTCTTCCAAGCTGAAGGGAGACTCCATCCTGTTCATGTGAGACAGCTGACGTATCTAGCTGAACACCGACCCCTAAGATAGGCCTATCAACCCCACGGAGTTCATCCCGCAGCGCTTGCTATCTCCACCGAACGATGGGGTCTTTGGGCCTTCCCGTCAACCCACACTCCACCTAGTCCGCGCCTTTCCCGTCGATCATTGCTGGTACGAACAGGTACACTAGTCATGTCAACATCGAGATCTCTGAGGATTGCCCCCTTCAATGGAAGATCATACAAATAGTGTAGAAGATGAAATTAGGTACCTAGCTTGCCTCCCCAGACTTGGAGCTTGAAGTTAGCGGTATGCGTACCCCGAATCTCATCGCGCAGAAGCCGGATTCCCTAGAGACAGACTTGAGATAGCGAAGCGTACTCATTGCAGGGTTGACCGTGTTGAGAACTGAAACGACGAACCTTTGAGCGAGATCAGGAAATGACTGATCATTTTGATGTCAAAGAAAACGATCTGATGGTTCGGAGTCGGGACGGGGCGACCGGCATGTGATGGGAGCCCACGGACCAACCAGGGCAGATACGAAGGGACCTGAATATGAAAAGAGGAAAAGGAGGAATGGAAGGCCAGACCCTCCTCCGACTGGGGGTGGCCTGACGGGCATCGAGCTCCAGCGCTCGTTCGGTGAAAGCCCCACTGAAATTCACAGCTCCAGGGGTGTCCAATCCACCCATAGAGCTCCAGTCCACGCTGTCGGGAAGGTGCCTCGGCTTCACAGCGGGAATAGACTAGGTTTCCCAATCTATAAATCCTCTTTCCAAACACTGACTATTTGTACAGTAGAAACCCCTGAATCTGCAACTCATCCGGGCGGGCAAAAAGATTTGCACTTTCTGGGTGTTTGTAGTTGGGGGATCTGGTGCACAGACCATGAAGCCCCCTCCGGCCACTTGAAGACGCTTGGCTACACTAAAAAGTGGGACCTTGGAGCCTCGGTAACCGGGTATAAGTGTTCTCTCCCACCAAAGTTGGACCCCTGTAACTACAAATCCTAGCCAAATCCTTTGCACTTTGCAGTTTACAGTTTTTATATGGGAAAACAATTCCGGCCGTCCAAAAACTTGCACTTTGTGGGGTGTTTGCACTTCCAGGGGGTTGCACTTCCAGGGGTTTCTACTGTACATCTACTATGGTACGCAATTCCATTTCTCCACCTAGTCCAATTCACTCAACCCACCTTCCTCTTCTGGTCGTCGATCGCTTTGGCCGTTATCTGTCTCACCACCATGCAGTCCATTGGGATCACCTCGTCTCCATTCCTCTGACCAACATCCCATCTCCATGTTCCCAGAACCACCACCATGGCCATCATAACATCATCTTTGTTCAACCTTCTCGAGGTCCAATCCGATTGCTTCAGTAGTAGACTTGCTCATTACCAGTAGTGTACACACGTTGCAGCGACCGAGAATCTCCTTCCAATCGGAAATCATGAGCGAAGCCGCCGGCTTGCCTTGCTCTTCAACCAGGTCCTCCTCTACTCTGCCTTCCTCTCAGGGAAGAAAACAAAAAAAAAAAAAAAAAAAAAAAAAGAAAAGAAAAAAAGAAAAAAGAAGCACATCAAAACACGTGAAAGAAGGCAAGTGTCCGTCACTTTCAATTTGCTAATGTGCCATTCCATTTTCCCGGGGTCCAAGGCATCGTCCTCCGGCCCAATTAGCCGGTGTAACCTCTCGAAACTCAAACGCTACGTCGGGACACCTTCCGATGTCGTAGCCAGCTTCAGTCATGTTCATGATGCTACACTGTACACTACACAGTACCTGCAGTCGCTTAGTTGTCCCTGGCTCCCGACCCCGAGGTGTGGTCTGGAGCGGACACTAGTGAAAATTGCCCAATCAAGAAGCCATGCAACTACAGGGTAGTCACCAAATTTGGCATTGCGATATTCTGTCCCCTCGCTCACTTTACCAAAATCGTGTAGTATTTTGCATCCCAAAACACATCGTACCATGCTTGAGCCGACGATGTGCGAGTCTCCACGCATCGTTAGGTTGGGGTTCAAGGTTGGCTCTACATGGATGATTCAACATACTTAAGTCAGACGGGTTCCCTCTCGTTCATTGACGCCAATGACCCCTTCCTCCTCATCGTTCAACCACCAAGCTTTCCCCCCACTTGCCGCAACCATGGACTCCAGGAAGGAGGATTCAAGTTCTTCAGCACATCTCTCCTCTGGCTCCGCTCCGGCAGCTTCACAATACATTACGCCAAGCTCAACACCAGAACACGACTTTTGGACAGCCGCTGGACTGGGGAGCTCCAAAGCACAGGCCGGACCCTGTTTCCCGAAATCTCTGTCTGAAACTACTCCCCAACACTTTGGAAATGGCGATTCTCTACTTGAGTTTGACGACCCGGATGGGGTAGATTATTCGAGCTCCATTGCCGACTCGATCCGTGGCCATGTGTATGAGTGTGGCTTGAGATATCATGCTTACCATGCGGGTAAATACGCCTACCCCAACGATGAGACGGAGCAATCTCGTGAGGAAATCAAGCATACCATGTCAGTTATGCTCTGTCACGGTCGATACTTCTTTGCTCCTGTTGAGGAGGCATTGGAAAAGGGTGGACAGGTCCTTGACTTGGGTACTGGTACCGGAATATGGCCTATGCAATGTAAGTAATTGGCAATTTACCCAGGCATTCGAAATTCGCTTGCTAACACCAAACCGACAGTGGCTGAAAGCTATCCGGACGCAGTCATCACGGGAGTTGATCTATCACCCATCCAGCCCAGCTTTGTTCCGGAAAACGTGCGCTTCTACGTCGACGACTTTGAAGACGAGTGGGTGGACCCGGTGAACAAGTACGATTACATCCATCTGCGCTTTGCACTACACACCCTCAAAGACAGGAAATCACTTATGCAACGTGTAATGCGGTAAGTCTCGCTCATTCTCTCCCTTCTTCCATCTCTCGATCTCGTGCAACTGGCGATCATCTAACCAAGTCAACCTTAGACACCTCAAGCCAGGCGGCTACTTTGAAATCCAAGAGATCGATGTCAGTAATCCACGTTGCGACGATCACACCCTCATACCAGATACTCCATATGCCGTCCGCGACGCCCTCAAGCTCCTTGGAGCCGGCCTCCAAGCCATGGGCGCCGACATAAGCGCCATCCAAAAGACTTCTCAGGAGTTGCGCGAGGCCGGCTTTGAGAATGTTACCGAGATTACGAAGAAGTTGCCCCTCGGGCTCTGGCCGGCGGATCACAATCTCCGACTTTGCGGTCTGTTCTGGCGGACGTCGATCATGGATGGCATGACGGGACTGTGCAGCAGGCCGTTTCAGGCTGCAGGGTTGACGCCGACGGAGATCGAGTCGTTCCTGGTCGAAGTGAGGAAGGCTGTTATGGATGGGAGTATTCATACGTATTTTCCTTTTATTACTGTATATGGGAGGAAACCATTGGGCGGTTAGATGTCGGGATGTCGCTCGGGGGAGTTCGGCACAGATATGCATTGCACGAGATGGTTGATGAAACTGCACAAATGAAAACTACGCTTTGATTCAGGATACACATGGAGCCTTAATGCTGATGGTGCCTACTATTCACATCGTAATGTGTTCACTCCTTTGCCTACGAGCAAGTTACCGACCGCTCCATGTGCAACTTTGCGCATATCATCCCAACTATCATCATCACAGCTGCAGAACATTTCAATCACAGAATCAACAGCCCCACAAGACTCCAAACAAGCCCGCTCTTCATCAACTCTAGACTAATAATCCCAACAATCTCCAAAGTAGCTGTCGAGCCTCGCTCCCACCTGCCCAGCGACCTCTTGTCCTCGGCCTGGATCGCGGGAACAACCAAAAAGAAGAATACGAAGAAAACATGAAGAAAAGCCAGCAAAAAAATGAGGAATACGCGGTACAGGACTCGAACCTGTGACCTCTAGCCTATCGTTCGTGACCCCCCCTTGCGCCACTCCCATACTACACTTGTAGCGAGTATATAGGGCCCTCGGTACGATCACTTGTGAACGGGCTAACGCTCTACCGACTGAGCCAACCGCGCAGTTGGTTTTGTTGTTGTATTATGTGCACAAAGACCTAATACATATACCGTGATTCAAGGGGTTGGGGAGGAGGAGGAAGAGGAAGAGGAGGAGGAGGAGGGCGAGGAGACAGAGGTGGGGAGGGTTAGGGGCGAGCGCGGGCGTGGGTATGGGAGCCGGTGCTCGTGCCGGTGATGGTTGAGGATGAAGGCTTGGCGAGTTGGTGTTTGGCTGAGACGGTGATGGTGAGCTGGTGGAGGAAGCTTGTATTGGGCTGGGAGGTGAAGATCGTGGACTGATGGGAGAGGCATGGTTGAGCGGGAAGCTTGGTGGTTTCTTGCCGTCGGTTTGAGTGAGGCTGCTGATGGTGCTTGGCCGTGACTTCCCTGCCTGTATTGCTGCCATGGTGTTGACTGCTTCGTCGTCTCCCATCGTTCCTTCCCGTTGGTTGGTGCCTTCCCGACCGGAGGTTTCTCCCTTCCCGTCTCCCGTGATTTCCCAGAATGAAGTAATCTGGCTCAATCTCGCACTGCAACTCCGAGGGTTCCTTCTTTGAATTTGGTGTTTAGCTTTGCAACGCCTCGCTGTCTTCAACACACTGACATCGAGTCAAACAATGGCCATTGTCGCGACTTGCGATCAACGATACAACCTCCACCAAGCAAACGTCCATATATTCCATGTTTCACAAATTTTCTGTCATCGCTAACTCAAGAACTGCGTATCGATTCTTGCCATCCTTCATCTCATTCGCGTCTTCCATCGGTTGTATGGCTTGCACCAGGTCCCCTCTTCCACCTGAGCCTCCGTCGCGACTTCCCACACCATTGACGAACAGAGCAGTTTCAGCAATCCACCCCATTCTGCATTGTCCTTACCTAATGCTCCACACTTTGCTCTGATAATTCAAGCGGATCAGTTTGTTTCCTTCTGTACTCCTTTCAGTGCCGTCATTCTGTCCTCTGAGGGATACGCGGTACTATTTAAACCGGACAGATACGAGGTTACAAGTACCCTCGTGAAGTGCACAAGAATACATGGGAATGACAAGTCTTTTCATGGTGATAATGAAGCATACTCGGCTACTTTGGCTACGCGATATGGTCATCCAGCAGATGGTGATCCGTCGTTGCGCAGGGCATGGTGTTGCGCGGGGCGCCTGTCGCCAAAGTATGGTAGGGACAGAAATTTGCCATGATCGTTGCAATTGCCGGAGACACTCAAGAAGAAGCACCTCACAACTCGATTTTGTTTTAGAAAAAGGCTCACCAATCTCTTTGGATGAGGCTCGAAAATCATTCAACCGTTAATTCGATATTGAAAATACGTTTGGGACGTAAACTGGGTCAGCATTCTCGGAGTATTGATTTGGATCTTCCCATTTCTTGTACAAACCTGATCGAGCCATTTTCTTGGCGCAACTCTCGCGCGAAACCGCCGACAGGGCACAATCTGCTGGGTGCTTTCCACTGGTGAAGTCTACCTCGACTGCGCAACCAACACGTCAAACTTCATCCAGAATCGATGATTAAACCTCCGAATGCTCAGCTCTTCAATTCGAGCATGGGTTCCCGGGTGGTTGGGGAAGCACATCAATTGAACAATTGGAGGAAGTGCAACCCATTGGCTGGGATCGCGGATGCTGTCAGCTGCATCCTTTGCTTGGCGCAGCACTAGCTGTTGCATGGGATCGATGGATGAGGATTTTGGGTCACACAATGTTCAGCTCACTCAAATTTGAAATGTCAACACCGGCCCATCTTCGATATTCGACATCTGCGCGACCCTCGGTGCGTTCAACGGTCTTCACACCCCGAGGGAAGGGCTCGCTGCAGCACAATGCCATTGTTCTGCATGCTGCCGCACCAACATGTCGCAACCTCCACCAGCTCCAGGTCCTCGCGATGAAGATCCACCGACATGGTCCTTACCTCCCCGCCGCAGTCACACCTTTCCAGAGCAGCCGCATCACCAACAACAACAAACCTTCGATGATTCATGCCAACCAGCACGGGCGCCATCATGGCCCCGGGAAGCACCTCAGCCAGCATACCCCCAATCATCCGGATACAACCCTTACATGATGCCCTATTCGGTCCCGTACTATCCCATTCATCAGCCTCCAGTCGCTTATCCTCCACCATCTGTCCCTACCGGAGCAACGCGCGCAGCCCATCAAGGCCATTTCGAGCCGTATAACGAGTACATCCAGCCAGGCCAGCAGAGACCACCCGTACCTCTAGTTGCTCCCTATGACACTTGGGTAACGCCACCAGGCGGCTATTACGGACTGGGAGACACCCTCTCTCGGCCCATTCATCAGCCCGTGAGAAGAAACATCAGACGCTCAGCATCCCCGACACCTGCGTCTTCTCCAAGTAGACCCAAAAACAAGCGTCGACACAAGACCGTCAAGTTCGAGCAGGACAGCGACGACGACATCCTCCATCATGTCGCGGAGTACTCCCCACCGCAACAGTCACATGCTCCTCCTGCAGAGGCCTTGTCTCCTGGCGCAGAAGACGACGACTCGGATGGGGATCGAAGCGACGAGTTACGATCCAACTCTACTGTGGAGAGTACCTACAGGTCTACGCGAGGAGCCTCTACTGTCAGAAGCTACGGGTCTTCAAGATTCAGGGCTACGCCAGCTCTAGTAACCGAAGAGTCTGGGTCGTCTGCCTACTCCTTCGCTGCTTCATTCCGGGCAGCAAGGACGGCATCGGTTGGGGGTTCAGCAGACGGGGAGCAGAGCGAGGACCCGGATGCGACGCCGAGCCAACCATCGCCAAAAGACGATCAGAGTTCCGAAATCGCCCACATTCTTGCCTCGTCCTATACTGGCAAAGGATACACAGCTGCCGAAGGCCACCACTCAGCAGACTTGCTGATAGCAGCAAACCCAGCCCAGCTACGGCACCTTCAGCCACTGTATCGTTGGATGTAAGGTATCTGCTCCCTAATATCTAGCGAAGTGGGCTAACCATTGCGGATAGGCATCTTACCCGACCATCAATGTCCCTGGAAGACCTTTCTGTAAGCACTTGCTGGATGAGAAGTCACGCAACTTTCGGCTAACAGAAGGATCAGACCCAGATCGCGCGCCTCTCCGTCCTGACGGGCATCGAAAGGAAGGCTGTCAATGATATCCTCTTCCGTCTCAAACAGTCGTCCGTCAAGTTTATTCAGACTTCAACAGGGAAGCCGGTACAGCACATGGAACCGGGCTGTCTCGACTATGTCTTACCTCACGACAGTGGTGTCGGAGGGCAAAGTCGAACTACCAGGAGTGTGACCTGGATTTGTCTGCCATACTTCAGCCTCGAGCCATACTGTGGCCTTCTCTCGGGCGCCGGAAACTCATCAGCGTTTCCGATCCAGACCTTGTTACAGGCACAATTTTCTCGGACTGCCAAAGAACGCGACATGCAACAAGCAGTGCGACAAGTTGCTCAGGCCGGCCCAGGCCTCTGTTTTCACATTTCGCAGCTTTGGTGCATCATCATCAACAACTGTATGTATCGGGTATGGTGCTGCCTAAACGGCTCTTATTGACATGCGCTCTCTAGCATTTGTGATCACGTACGGCAGAATGTCCGAAGATATTCTATGCGGCAACTCGATTACGAAGTCAGTCAAGTCTCTGAGTAATCTCTCTGAGCAGCAATCCCAGCAAAAGTTCTGGGTCCGGTTCGGGGGTAATGTTATGTGGACTTTGCCGGTAAAGGATTGCCAAACATGGTTTGTGAGTGTGGCGATTGTACAAAACAAACCCATCTTTGTTTCCTGGTCGCTGACTATTGGACTTGCTTCAAGGACTTCATTTCCCATTTCTGGGAGTTCTGGCATCTACCTCTGAGCTTCTACCGTAACAAGCGTGTGATCTGCCCGGAGGATTGGCCCAAGATCTGGACATCAGCAAGTCAGAAACACTCACACACGATCTCATTTGACCTCGAGCTTGGGTGCGTTCATCTACTTACTCGCTATTATTACCGACGAAAAAAGAACTGTCACTGACTGAGCAATCACAGACCAACACCTAAGCTTCCCACACCAGGGCGACTCGTGCCAATTCAGTCCCAAGCCAAGCAGACCGAAGGGACCACAGCAGAAGAGCCCAAAGATAGCGAGGGGACCAACGCCAAGCAAGAAACCCAGGATGAGAAGGCACGGAGAGCGAAATACGTACGGCCTCCTACAAAGACAACAACGTCCGGGTCTCCAAAAATCTCGCAGCCACCCCCGAGTTCCTCTTTTGCACTTTTCACGTGCCTCGACGACGTTTCGATGGCCCAAAACGATACGATTGACGAAGCCAAACTCGAAGAGCGCCTCCACGAGATAGAAACAATCCTGTTGCACGAGACAAGCGTCAGCGACCAACGGGCATATAAACGCTGCCCAAGCGCCAGCCGACTCTCAATTTATCATATGCTTAAACAGGAGGAGCTAGAGATCGTCCACCCTGAAAGGAGAATACGCTCATCCAACCCGCAGGACTACGAGATACGAGCCGACATATTCAACTTGACCGACATGATTTTCAAATTCTTTTTTCCCGGCACAACTGAAACCTCAATGGCGGCCAAGTTTTGGGGTGCCGTGAAGGACCAAGTTAAGGTGTGTTTCAAGCTGAAATGGCGCCTGCCGTTTTAGAAGCAATATACTGATGGTAATCGTAGCAGCACGATGACGAGGGCGTGGCCGACGATCGATACCAGCTACGAGCTGTGCTCAAAGAGCTTGCCGTCATGATACTCTACTTTACGGAAACGTTCATGCATGCGCAACATTCGGATCGTGTTCAAATCCGTGTGCCTGACCAACTAATTGATGGCTGGCTCCATCTTCTTCTGGGCCTTTCTTACATGTCAACGGATCCGGAGAGAGCATCCACCTTCCTGGATCTCCATGCAAAACCTCTTATCAGCCAAGGACTCAACGCCATTGTCAAAGACATGGCTAAGAAGCCTCTGCTGGAGAATTCCGTCGTTCTTCCCCAAGAGCTAGTCTCCTTAATAAGCAGGAAGCTTCTCACAGACGTTACCCCCGGTCTGCCGAATATCAGCCAGACATATTCGGCGTATTTGAGTGCCATTGTAAGTGCCAAAAGCAGAACATCCGGTGGTGTACTGGCTTGCAGTAGTGGCTAACTCAGACCACTTCAATACCCAGGAATCAGACATCACCGGCAAGCAGTCTGACCGATCACACGAACAGCGCCTCGACCTTCTTGACCAAGAACTATTGGTAGTACAGAAGACTGTCAGGTCGCAACGCGACATCTTCGAGCGTTTGGAACGATACAGCCAACAGTCTGCCTACAGAATGCCAGCAGCGGCACGTTCGCGGGCGGCACCCATACAAGGCCCATCATACCCGGTATACTACTCAGGAGCACCGAGAGGGGCTCAGTCGGTCCCACATATGCATAGGCAGTACAATCATTACGAACAACCACAAGTGAGGTCGGCGCACGGCTATGGGCAACAGGGACAAGGACAGTACTACGAGCCTCCACCTTTCTACGACGAAGAGGTTACCGGCTCGATGGCAGTGGAATCGAAGCAGCTCTCTGCACGAGATCCAGGTGGCTTCCGTCAACTATTCCTCAACGAGTGTATCCTTCAACTTGACCAGCGCGAGCGGGAGTTTGAGGAGTACGAGCTTCACTCTAAACAGCTGAGGGTTATGGTATGGTTTCTTTCCTTGTCGCTTATAAGTGATGTACTCAGCCCAAGCACTGACAAGCTCTCTTCCAGAATCGTAACAAAGTGGACATCAAAAAGGACCGCCAAGAACGTCTCATATATGCCTTCACGGTAGTCACCATCATCTTTCTGCCTCTCTCGGCCGTCTCAAGCATCTTCGGCATGAACACCAGTGACATCCGCGACATGGAAGTAGGGCAGTGGGCTTACTGGGCCGTTGCCATTCCTGTCACTGCCGCCGTTCTCTTCCTCGGCTTCCTTTTCACCGGCGATCTTGGAGCAGTCTTCCGTTGGGTATCCAGGATTAGTGGAAGTGGCATGTCGTCTTTGCCAGGATCCGGCTTCCAGGGCAAGCTTCCTTCACTGAGGCCTGGTACAGAGAAGTTGTGGATTGATAAGCCAGGTCAGATGGCCTTGGGGGGCGGTCCAGAAGAAATAGATTATGGAGAACCGGAGATAGAGTATGTGATGCCGAGAAGGTCTGAGAATCTGAGGCGAAGGTCACATACTTTCTACGAGAATGGGGATTATTCAGGCGCCTACACAAGGTATGCAAGGGGAGAGGTGACTGGGCCAGGCCAACGGGGAGAGAAATGGGGCTTGCCGTATTGAATGGGGCGGAGTGATTATCAAGGGAGTTGTAAACTATGACCACTTCGGCGGGCGCTGCTGGAGATAGGTACGCTTGGTTGCACTTTCGGACCTTTGACTTGGGGTCTGTTGCAGTGGATGGCGCATAGGCACCGATTCGAAGAGGGTTAGTTGGTTGAGTGTAAGGTTCAAGAGTCAGACAAGTTGTAGCGGTTCAGGGAGGTCTGTCTCATCAGTCACATCGCACATCATACTGCGTCTTGCACGCATCAAGAAGCTGGAATTTCGGGCCCCCAAAAGAGCGGTCAATTCATCCAGTCCCTCCAGTCCCCATGGACTTTTGCCAACCACCTAAAGCCCCAAGACACCTCCGATATGTCTTCGAATCCTCCACTTCTTACATCTACCCATTATCCCCATTCCCCATACATGTACTATTCCTCCCCTTCCTACATGTACCAACTCTCTACCCTGTTGTCCTCACGCCCCTATGCACCCCCCATCCCCTTCTTCCTCCCCCAAACCCATATCCCAACCCTCATCCTCAGCAACACTGGGATGATCCTCCGCTTCCATCCCTCTTCCTGGCAACCAACGACGCCGCGTGGTGCCCACTGCTTCCAGTCAACGCTCAGCGTCCACCCTCTGGAAGCTGGCGGAAGTACTCCGCCGGAATGGTGGCGAAGCGAGGGTTACGGCCCAGGGAATCCCGAACCGGCGAGTTGGGCGGCGGCCGGAGGCCTGGCCTTGGCAGGGGCGCGAGGGAAGCCCGGCGAGCAAGACGACCAGGCGAGCCAGGCGAGCCAGGCGGCGATAGGGCGGGCGGCGACGAGGCAGGCGACGAGGCAGGCGACGAGGCAGGCGATGGGGGAGGGGTAGGCGCAGCGGCCAGACCAACCGGGAAAAGAAGAGGGGCCAGGACCGGGGCCAGAATTGGGACCGTTGGGACCCGCAAAGACCAGGGCGCGAGGACGGCGAGGCGCAGACCCACCTCCCAGGGCACAGCTTGCTAGGCTGGGCGCCTGGCGGAGGGGGCCGCGGGAGCACCAGGAGCGGGAGCGGCAGCGACGGCGGCGGTGGCGTTAGCCGTGGTGGTGGTGATGGTGATGGTGAGGGGCTGAACCCTCTGGGCGATGATGCCCCAAATTTGAGCGGCCAGGCGCCCCAGACGAGTGGCTCCCCCAAGGGTGAGCCGGAGGAACTCTCTGGCGGCGGCGGCAAAAACGGCGACCATGGTGATGGCCGGGAGGTTGGGGCCGGCGGAGAAGGAGAAGAGGCTGGTGATGATGGTAAATGCTGGGATAAGAAAGGTCAGCGCTTCCGGTCTTTCTTTATCGAGTGTCTGGGGGCAATCGATCAAGCTTTGTAAAAGTACAAGTCTGTGAAAACATGATCATGGGATATTGTGGTGGAGGAGTGAGAATATTGTGAGGTGATGGTCAAGATCAGCACATCCATGGAAATCGAAGTTCCATGTGGTCAACATGATCAAAGGTGAATATCAAAAGAAATGACTGTTATAGCCAGAGATATCCCGAGAGAGCCCGTTCTTACCTTTGTTGGCTTTGCTTAGCCGCGGGAAACGAGGTTTGGAGGGTATGATGTTGGTGGTTAGTTGTAGTTTCGAAAGAGACGCGTCAAGACACTTGCGATATTTCAGTCCCTGGAAAAGTTTGAACCAGACGCGAGCAGAAAGGGGGAGGGGACAACGTAGATCGGACGAAACATTGCGGGCAAGGTACCTCTACCTAGTAGGCAAATCTCCCAAGTTTTTCGTTTGCGCTGACTGGACATAAAAAACCGGGCATGCTCTCCTCCTCCAAGAACGGAGAGCGGGCAGCCACCGCATCACGAAGCGAGATTCTGCAAGGGATCAGGTGTTTTTCGCTTGTTTCTGGTGGCTCTCTTGTCTGTTCAATTTCTTGTAAGAAGTCAAACTGGGCATGTAAAAGTCTTCCTCTTATTCAAATACTTCTAGATCGGCACGGGTTTGCGTTCTGCGTCCTGCAACTGGGCAAGACGGAAGTGACGGGTAAGAAGATGACACTAGATGCGAGTGATTCACTCGGGCGCCAGGGCAAAAATACTCGGCTAACTTTCCTCCTCTTCTTGCATAACACTGGGGTATATCAAAAAGGAAGCGGCTTCCACCTTACCGGTATACTTCGAGTCTACGTTCCAATGGCATACAAGGTCCTGGCCGTGTACTCGCATACCACGGGCCTTCTGATCACTGAGATCGCTGTACCTACCTTTGGGAAAAAAATGCTCGAACATCTCGGTATCATGGATCAGAAGGCCGTTCCAACCGAAGCAGCTACATCCAGCCCTTCAACTATACCCATTTATCAGCAATGGGTATCCTCATGGACGGCGATCGTGATAACCTATTATATGTTCGGAATTTCTCGATGTCCTGCCTTTTATTTAAGAAGGAAGAAGGAAGGAGGAAGAAGGAAGAGAACGATCACAGCCAAAGAACAACGGGAAAAAGAAACAAGACAGTAGTACAACATGAGCGCTGGAATACAAAGACTGGGCACTATAGAGGCACGAAACATGTAATTGAAAGGTCTGGTATTTCGGGTGACGAAGTCGAATTGGCCATCTTCTGGTTGTGCTGGGGTATCAGGGATGGAGGCGTATACGTGGTTCAAGTTGTGATATCCGGCAGCGGGAGGGTACCTCTAGTTACTCCGAACCAAAACAGAGCATCCGACTTTAGGTATTTCGCTATTCCGTTTTTAGTCGTTTCGGTACCAGCTAAGATCGGGTTGTTCTTGGGGCTAACCGTGAAGCATGGGAACGGGGATAGGTAGCGTCTGTTTCCGGTTGGCAAAGAATAAAGAGGATTGAGAGGACAAGATGAGCTGTTGCAGATAGGAGAAGACGGGAGAAAGAAGGAGTAACAATAAATGGGAATAGAAAGTAGACTTACAGTGGCCAAAAAAGGCCCGTCCAGCCCTCAGGAGAAGTGAAGGCCCAGTTGGATAGGAAGACTGATAGCCATGTGCAGACAAAACTATGGGCGTACTTCTACCATAGGACCGTAACGAAAGCGGTTGCCATCGTCACTTAGATAACGTTGAATGAACATATTTGAATCGGCTGTATTGGTACCTCCATCTAGGTAGGATTGGTTGTGTTGGTGTTGTTGGTGGTTGTGCCCGTCCATACCTCTGGCATGGAGAGATGAATGCCCCTAGGTAACAAGTCAGACAGGGAGTCTCCCATCCTGGAGAGGTCTTCTTCGACTCACCAATTCAAAGTACATAACTTCCCCTACCCATGACAGCCTACGCTCATTACCTCTTTTGGCGACTACACCTTCCCTTCCATATATCTCCCTTCTCCTATTTTCGTATTCGTCCGTACATACCTCTAGGACTTAGAGGTCTTCTGGTATCAAACAGGTATGGGTCCATGATATTAACAGAAGTAGAAGAAATGGGAACGAAAGGAAAGTTGTGATCCCGGATAGAGGCAAGGTCCACATTGTCAAATGATGATACCTATTATTTGACGAGACACATGTAGGTACTCAATCCATCCACAATATAAGCGCGAAAAAAAGAAAAAAAAAAAAAGAAAGAGATTCATTCTCACTAGCGCAGAAGAAACACAAAAGTGTCTCTGATTCTAAACTCGATCTTCTTTTGGTACCATAAAGGAAGCTCGCAGCTAACATAAAGAGCGAAAGACTTAAAAAAGAGAATGCGGCGACGGTCCGGGAATTGAACCCGTGTCTTCGCTCTTGCCGGGAGTGCCATTCTCAAGCCGGTCTTACGGAGCGATATTCTGGCCATTAAACTAACCGCGCTTTCCAGAGAAATAGAGACAGTGACATAACCCATATACTTTCTGCCGGGGAAGGAGCTACCCAGAGGGAACAGAGCACATAGAACCTCACGAGCAGCCCCCCCACCACGCCGGGACAGCTGGCAAAGACGGGAGCCAAGGGTTTCGACCCGGTATCGGCATGGCACGGGACCTGAACCTGAAGCCCACGACTGGCGCTCGGATACGGAAAGTAGTACTCCGGCCAGTTGCAGTGGAAGGATCTCACGTGAGTGGTCTGGTGGTGCCTACCTCTAGGTGTTCAAGCCCTTATTTTGCGGCTCACCAGACACTCACGAATCTTTCTACCAGGCACCACCAGTCGGCTGACGCCCTTACCCAGCAACAATGCGTTTGTCGTCAACATCTCAGTTTCATTCTCGATTACCCTCTAGACAATCATGAGGTGTCTATATCGGTCCCGGGATGACGGTCTACCGTGGAGCGCCGCGTGTCTGGTTGCATGTCCAATCATCCTCAAGATGCCCACCCGCGAGGACCACAAGAAGGCTCTCCAGCAAATCCATACGGCCTGGTGATCCGTCTCCATTCCCCCGTCGTTGGATCACCTTGACACACAAAATTATACTAGCTGTAGTAAATACCATTTGGTGTAGAACAACAGAACTTGTTGAACCTACTTCCGCTGTTCCTCTTCAGTCGTCGTTCCTCTCCTGGCATGGGCTAACAAGAACGAGTCAGCTCCAGTGCCTATTCTTTGGTTACAACCTTCCGCCATCAACACCACAGCATTCCATACCTCGAAGTTTCTCACGGCAAAACACAGGCCTCTGAGCCTCGTGAGGAGTGAAGGCCATGATCGTGTGTTTGCACATGCCGACTGGAAGATCGTTGTCGTCCACCGACAGCGCCAGCAGTCAAGGTGGCGCGTCCTTCGAGTGAGTTACATTTTTCTGTGTCCAGACAACCCATTACATTTCAGACATCATTAACACAAGCTAACAAATGCAGGGCAGCAATGTCAAGACCTCCCGCGTACTGTCAAAGAGACACCTACGTCCAAGCCGGCCACCGTGGCCTTGCATCATGATTTCCCATCATGTCTCAGCGGAGCAACAACCAGGAGAACAGTACATCTCCGTGTCGTGGTCTTTTCCGCGCCGCCATTCCTGTGGAGTACTTCCGCCAGCTTCCAGAAGGGGGACTCCAGAGATGGCTCAAACGGGTGCTCCAGCACGAACAGCCTCACGAATGCCGGTCCTAGTAGCGATGGGCAGTTTTGGAAGAGCACCTCACACAACGACTGGCAAAAAAAAACAAAAAAAAAAAAAAAATTACCGCACCGAAGGTGCCGCTTATTCCTGATGCGAGATTTCCCGTAGTGAAAGGTGCTACCCAGTGCCACTCTGGCACAGGCTACAACGAAAAGCCCGTCAACTGGGTTAGCAGAGATCTCAACCTATCTCTCTAGGATCATCATCATCATCAAGATAGCTGAATCAATTGAACTACGCGCTACGCTGATTCCACGCATCAATTCCTGTGAGTAAAACTTCAGGAATGGCTCAATTTCTCGACCCATCTTGTCATTAGACGCCGTCCGACAGTGAAGAAAACAGCTCCAGGTGCAGCTTCCACTATCTGCTACGGTGATTCACGGTAGGAGGAGGTTTGGGGATAACTCTAGATTGACACCACCGGACGTGAACGGAGGCAGGAGGGGACATTTATGGGGATTTTGTCAGATTGTTTGTGACATGGAGGTAGCATCAACTTAACAATAAAAAAAAAATTAAAAAGTCGACTACGGGTACATCACGCCTATTGCTGTTTGTGGACAAAGGTTCGGTGAAGCGCGCCACGACCAAACGAACATTTCGTTGCTTCAATCAACAACAATTTCTCACTTCCTGCAATTTGATACCCTTCAAACCGCCCTTAACCAACATCTAAACCTCGATTCTGTATGTATGAGCTCTTGGGTTGTTTCTGCCGGTTCGGTTGTTGAAAATATGAGCGAGTGTCTCGTCCGTGTATTGACCCACTAGTGGGCAGTTTTGTGTCCCATGATCAGAGTCGAGCCAACCTTAATTCTCGCGAGACAACGAGACAACGATCAGGTGTTGGGAGCACTTCTCACGTTGGAGACAAAAGGATGTAGAGGATTCTACCGAAGCAAAGAAACACCGTATGTATTGTAGCTGGCAATATTTCGAAGAAATCACTTGTGGGCGAATGTCATTCACTGGACCAGACAATGGAATATCAAGGTGAGAAGTGTGAGGTTGAAGAATTAAGATGTCGATCAGCGATATTGATCAGCTGTCGTAGTTGGCTGAAGGCGTTCAACGCCGAAATATACTAATGCACAAGAATAACACAAAAGACGAAGCGAAGAATACCTGTAGGCATTATGTTGGGACTCCTTGATCTTGAAGCTACCTCCAATGCATGCAAGATTGGCTCCTCCACGTCCGCCGGCTCTCCCTCTCCCACCGGCCCGACTGGAAACCCAAACCCAAGAACACAATCGTACCAGCAACGATAGCACTGGTGGGCCGCCTTCGTCGTTGTCGTCGTCACCCCGGAGCATGGGACCGCCACGGCCACCACCGCCCACCGCTCACCAGCGACGGCTGTTGCTAGAGCGACGGCTGTTACCAGCGCGCCACGGCGGCGGCGGGACGATATTCTCCTCGTCAAGGGGCTCTCGACCCGAGGTCCCGCGAGGGCCAGGGCGGGGAGGTTGCAGTTGCTGTGGCTGCTGCCACGCCGGCTGTTGATAGCCATAATATCCCATGGGAGGGATATGGGGAGGAGGGCGGTTAGAGAAGGGGGGAGGGGTAGGAACCGCAGTGGTAGTGGTTGTGGTGGTGGTGGTATGCTGGTAGGGCACCACCGAGCCCGAACCAGGACGGTTCTGTTGCTGCTGCTGCTGCTGCTGCTGCTGCTGCTGCTGATGGTGTGGGTGGTGGTGGTGGTGGCGGCCAGTCTGCTGGCGGTGGTTGCCGCCACTTCTTCTTCTCCTCGCCGAGGTGTTGTTGGCGGGGGTGGCCGAACGCCATCCACCCTCTGGTGTGCGTGGCCTCGCAGGGAGGCTTCCCTCGCCAGGGGCAGGGCGGCGCACCGCTGCAGCGGTAGCAGGCGCTGCTCTAGCGGGCAGGTTGGGGCCGGGGCCAGCCGGCGGTGTTGGCTCGTCGTGGCCTCCTTGTCTGAGGAGGACCAGGCCGGCGGCGGCCACCATCTCGCGATGGCTGTAGATACGGCGCTGATGGAAGGTTCCATGTCAGCACAGATTCTTGACTTCCCTCAAGGTTCAGAAATGGATTTTGATCCCTTACCTCCATTCCAGTTTGGTTCATTTTGGCGGCGCTGGATGATGGCGCAACCAAGGACAACTTGGTAATGAAGACCTCTGATCATGAACAGTAACTGTGTTAGATATGTGAAGCGTCACAGTAAACGCGCAGGAAGAAGCCTTACCGACGAAGGTTTGATGGTTGCAGTTGTGCCAAAGAGGCACTGGTGATGGTGGTTGATGTGTTTGATTGTTTTTCGAAGGAAGAGAAATAAATGAGAACGGGGAGAGAACACAAGAGGGGGGGCCTTTTTATAGAAACCAAATTTGTGGGCGGCTCAAGTTGTTCAACTCGTTTGTTGGGTAGGGCCATTCACTTCACTTGTCTTCGTTATCAGGCAGAGACGAGATGAGCAACTCGAGTGCAGTTCTTCAATCTTAAGAGAAAAACGGAAGGAGCCAACTTGCTCAGGTATTGCCAGGCAGCTGGCAGCTTGAGGTACTCGGGTACTTTCTCGGGAACGGGCACGCAAGACTGGGAGCCTGGCATTCACTCTCTGGGCGGCAGGTACCATCCGTGTTTGCAAAATTCTGTTCGAGTCCTTCAAAGCATTATCATCCAGCTCAGGGAGGAATAAGGGAGACCGGATGATATGAGGTTGGTACATGAGCCCAGGACGTGACACATCCAGTTGTATTATCCGACCAAATCAGCCGTCATCTCTATCCCAAGCTTCATCAAACTGTAAGGATTATTGCGATGTCCACGAGATATGTTCCACAAGAAGACAAACAGAAAGCTCGAAGAAATCAATGGAAGACGAGAAAGAAGATTTGTTGTAAAATACCTCTACCTGTCGGTGATCAGTTGAATCAACCTTTCATGACGTAGATGTATGTCTGGGCCGGCCGGTACTTCACCAACACTTGTGACTCGAAATTAAGTGCTCAAAGGTGTTTCCAGCACAAGGTTTCCTATCATGATTTCAACACTGTCAGCCTGGGACTGCCGTCTTATTTTGTGATTAACACCCAACTTAAGTGGTACATAGTACAATAGGAAAGGCATGTTTGTGATGGAAATTCCAGTCCTGGCAGCAAACGAGGGGGCCCCTCTGCAAGATACATAGGACCAAAATGAACTTGGGACCATTGTTCGATTCGGAGAATGTGGTTCTTCCACCAAGAGGTATCTCTTCTGCCCCAGGCATTGTTATCTTATTCACCTACCTCTACAGTAGCATGGTGTTGTGAGTGGTATCCATGTCCAGCAGCTTTTGACGTGCGAAAGAGCACAGTAGCAACTCTTGATTTTTGAGAGACAGAGGGAAATGAGGTACACACCTCTGTGCCAAGGCTTTCCTCTGCCTGGTTACCTACCTCTAGGTTTACACAGCTTCACAAAACGCAACTTGTTTTCAACCTTCAAGCTCAACCTGCTGGTGGCCAAGATGTGCTCCCACCGCCGGTCAACCTCGTAGTGTGAAAGTATCGGCAAGAATCTGACACAGGAGACGGCTGTACCTCGTCATGGTGCACGGTCCTTGACGCAAATATTGATGGCGTGGGAAGGAACTTCAGATATACGCGGTGGAGTCAAGGATCCAGACCGTGAATTCCTCAGCTTTCCTGTCTTCCACTTGACTTCCACTTGCCAGCTCGGAGCGATGCCAAGGTAACTGTCTGGTTCTGTCGTTTGTCCTAGTTCCTCCAGGCAACGCCGTGTAAGCTCCACAGTAATAGCAACCTGAAAGCCAGTTCTCCAAGGTGCCGCACCGTTGAAGCTTCACTGGCATACCTCCAGTAGCTCCCCATCAGCGACAGGTAAGGAGGGACAACTGAAGGCTACCCCTCTACCCACCCAATCTGGTTTTGTCCTTGAAGTTCCCCTGCTCGTCCTCGAAGTTTCCCTGCTCGCCCTCAGAAACAGACTTGCCCACACTCAGCACCAGCGCCTTCACCGTGATCTCCAGTCCTCTCTTCTTGGTTGCTGAACTTGAGATACCGATGATTCCGATCATCCTTTGATACGCCCACTCGTTCTAAGACCGGCTTCAGCATAATCAGCCTCGGCTCCGGCTCCTGCTCCAGATTCCGTTCAAGTTGTAGTACAGGCTGGACTCGGATCCGACTCCAACTCCAGAGACTCCATGCCGCACCTGACCTCTCGCCGTTCACACAGACCAGCAATGCCAGCTCGCGAAGCAGTACTCGGTACGACTTATTGACGAGCATAACAATCCAGTCGTCTTCTGCGACAAGGACTTCGGGGAACATAACCAATCAAACTCGAACTTGTTCTCTCCACTCGTGGCGGCTACTGTCTCGACAACATGCGTGAGCGCTATGCAGGCGAGAAGCTCATTGTAGCCCGCGACAAGCTTGACCTGCTGTGAATCCACAACAAAAGGGTCTTCACCTAGGTAGGTAGGTTTGCATCCCGTGGGGGTAACATGTCTCAAGTGGTCCACCTAACGGGAGTCTGGTAGTTCAGCGGTTGAAATCATCATCGTTGGTAAACGATCTCGCTCCTCCAAAAGAGCGCGCGTCTCTTCCCGTCGAACAAACCGGCCGCCGCACTCCATCCGCCCGATCACAGGTCTCGGTCCCTCCTCAAGCATCACCGGAAGCGGCCTTCGAAGCTCTCTTTCCGCGAAGGGTCATCGACAAGCACAAGCCGTGACCACAAAACAGATCAACAGTAGAACAGTGCCCCACAACCACCTCTCCGAACTTAAAATCACCTACCGACAACAAGGGCATTCTCTTCGTTGGGCGATTTTGTTTGATAACCGATACTGAAAACCTTGCCGTAAATGGATTTAAAGCAAGAAAGGGAAAGGGCGAACTTGTCACATCATAGTCATTCCGGACCCATTTGATCTGGAGATCGAGGATTGGAAGTCCTCTCGATAGCGAGGGAAACGACTGAGCAGGAAAAGGGGGGGAAAGCGCAGCACGCGGAGTGTAGCAAAAGCAGAGATGCAATTCTTTAACAAGCTTGCAATCGGTTCATCAATGCAGAATGCCTGTATGCTTCTCGAACGGTGCTGCATGTCCCCGACCCAACTGTCGAGCAATTCTGCAATGACCAGCCCATATGTGCTGCTGTGAACCTGAATGCCGCGCTCCCCACAACAATACAGGCAGCCCTTTTCTGGACCTTTGACGTCCCATCTCGACCTTGCGACTCGATTCAGTGCACTTCAGTCGAGTTTCTCCGAGTCTTGGTCTTATGCGCCGCATCAGAAACAGAGAGGTCGCTGTTGACGGCGATAAGATTGTTGACGTCACGACCGGCGAGAAGGTAGGTAAGCATTAGCCCTTTTGCGCAGTTTATCCGGCCAGGAGTGGCCGAGCACTGATCCCTTCCATTGTTTCCAAACAGTACCCCAAAGCAGACAGCACGACCACCACCAAAGCATCGTTCATGCCGCAATGCCGATCACATACCGTGCTCCTTGCATCAAAACAAAGCATGTCACTGCGCAGAATGCTTCCTGTCCCTTTCTCCTCGATATTCCTTGCTCAACCTTTGCCCTTTGACGACGCTGGTATCATCATACTACCTCTACCTTAGATACCTAGAGGTGCCTTCAACAAAGTCTCTGGAAATCGTTCCATAACTCGATCGATTTTTACTCTTTGTACCATACCTATACTGGGGCTGTCTTTACATCGTTCAAGGCATTCTGTCATTGATGACATGTACCCTGTCGTTGGATTTGGGTTTGTGAACAAGGGTATCGTGGCTCGGCCTGCCGTACCTGCATCAACAAAGGAACCACACCATCGAGTCACCGACCATCGACCGCCGTTGCTGCTCAACAGCGACACATCCATCGAGAGTCGAATATGCCTTTTTAAGAGCGGCCTGGTCCTTTTCGGCACGTCCATGTTACCTTCTTTGGAAGGCATTACTGGCAGAATCATGCCGCCGTCGTCCTCCATCTTCCAGTGGTCGACCCCTGAACGATGTCAACAAACCACCCCTGTTCCATTCTTGGCAAGCGCCGACACAACCTCAGACTGGACCCCTAATTCTGGTGGCGCCGGAAGCTCCAGTGGGCTTCAGGCCATTGGCCAACCCCCTGCATCGACAATCACAGATCAAAGCAAATTGGTGAGCAATCTGTCTTGGCAAACGTTTTGTTTACAGTGCCAGGGGCATGTTTCTGGTTCACTCTTGACGTGGGTTCGAGAATACAACAAAGGAAGGAAGGATGAGGGCACGGTTTTGGGAGATCTAAGTATTCACTTTGGGCATGGAGACGGAGGTTGGAGGCGAGGGTATCAGGGGTCGGGAGACGAGTGTTTCTGGACGACAAAATCATCGACTAGCATGTCGTGCGTCATGTGTTGAATTAGTGTTTCTGGCATCGGTACCAGTAGTGCCAGAGATTGAAGAGCTAGACAGCCGGCACTAGAGAATCGAGTGATTCTGGTCTCGATTGTACAAACTGTAACAAACGGATTTCCACACTCTCCTTGATTCACATTCATTTCCTGGTTGATACCTAGAGGTACCTACTACCACCACCATGCCGCACCGATAATGACAGTTCGAACGTGAAAGCTTTCTTCGTCCCCTTATCTCGCAAAACCGGTCTCCTCGTTAGTCAACCTTCCAGGTTGTTATGACCATCAGAATATGTCGGCAAAGGGCAAAGCTCTAACCAACAGCCACAATCATGAGTGGGAAACACTTCGATGTGGGAAGCTGGACAGAACAAGAGTGCCTTCATACCTAGGCACCTGTTGGCTACAATGCCATGCCCTGTCATAGCCTATTTGCAAGTTACCCTCCCGTCAGCTCTTCTTCGATAGAGGTACCTTATTTACAGACATAACCGATTAGACTTTCACAGATACTGCTAACTGGGGTATAGTAGAGAGTTTACCATTGATCGGTGTTGTATGTGAAGATACCTATCAAATATTCCGTCCTTCCCTGAAGCCCCAACGTGGCACTACATCCCTTGGGTTGGATGACTCCATTCTAGAAACTTTCCAGTGTCCTCAAATCTGTCTTCTGGTGGCTGGAAGCTGTGTGTCTTTCTCGATGTCCAGACCAAAATCCCATATTCTCTCAGTGGCTACATTTCCCTTGGTTGCACTTCTAGATTTGATTCCATTGATATCCCCTTGTGAGTTTATATACTATCTACACCTTTACTCTACGCCACTGGTTACAGATCTTCTTTATAACCTTGTTTATCGAATGTGGTTGGAGGTAGGTCTCCACGCGTACTCCATTGCAGTCGAGTGCCAGCCCAGTCCAGTCCAAAACACTTCTCTTTCTCTGGTCTTCGATTGCGTTGCTTTTGTATCGGCTCCAGCACCAGCTGAGAGTTCTGATCGTGTTTCTTTCGTATGGAACGCAGAATATGTGATGCTAATTTCTTGTTTTTGAGGTGTTGTGTCTTGTACCAGGCGGCCCTTGTCGCGAGTCCAGGGTGTTTTGTGCTTGATCTTGGAGGTTCGCCCGCCACGGTTGAGGGGATTGTCGAGCTGGTCATTGCTCAAATCAGAGGTAGGATATCGTGGACTTGTAACGCTTTGTTCAGTTTATGAGAAGTCGTGGCAATTCGCGGTTGGAGTGTCAAGTCTTTGCGGTCCTTTGTTAAAGGCGAGTTCTCAGTAGAGTGAACGAGACGTTTGCTAGAGGTCGAAGTATCGACTCGCTGGAGTGTATTCGCCGGTGGAAGTCCTTCAAACAGGTCACGAACAGCCAACACGTTAGTAAACGACGTTCACGTACAAGAAATCAAATGCTGGTTGACAGAAGTCTGGTGTTCTTCTGGAGATGGTAGAAAGAGGTGATAGAAGCTGTCAGCTTACAATGTACTGGACTCGGTTGGTTAAGTTCCAAATGAGCGCGAGTAAGGAAGAGAACCAAGTGTTCGCCATCGCTGCTGGCGTGAATGGCGGGGTCTGAACGCGCCAGCGATCAACCTGCCGTCGGTCGCAAGCCGTTGAAGAGTGTTGTTCATGTTTACAGCGCGAGTCTTTAGATTAGCTCCTTTGGTCATGATTGTAATGTACTATCACCCAAGTGACCGCTGATGATCAAACGAGTCTCGTACTACTGCGGATTTCGGTGTTTGTGATGCTGTTGTGCGTAAAATGGAAGTGAGTGTCGCTCATGATCTAGAGTGTTCCAACTTCTAGTACCTGCTTGAGGTCTATCTTCGACTTAGAATCCGTTGTATCTCTGGGCTCGAAAGATGATCGTGTTGCCGTGCTCCGGGTCTTCTTCCTCGATGTGTCCATGCAATGTCTGTCGCGCCCCGCGCAAGATTGTATCGTAGAACTTGCGTGTCGCGGTGGCCTCTAGTCTCGGTTTATGGTGATAAAAACTCCCCGCCAAAGGTCACTACATGCTTGAAGCAGTGAATCAGTCGCTATAGTGATCTACGAAGTATTGGCATGGTTTGGACCTTTGCGGGTGCCCGTGATGAACCTAGATAGAGCCATTCAGTGACCTCTTCGGAGGTGGCGAGGCTATCAAAGCTTCGCAGTTCACCACGACGTCGGCGTCGACGAGCGCAAGGCACAGGAAGTTGATGTATTCAACATCTGACTACAATTAACTAGAGTATACCTATCTAAGCATCAAGACGATGCCGTCGCCGTCATCCTGGGCAACGGCGCACCTCGTCTACTGAAGCCACCCGGCCATCACAGCTCCCTCACCTTTCCCATCCTGCCCTTCCCTGCCGCCCTGGCTGGCCCTGGCTGGCCCGGGCACGCCCTCGGGGGTCATCTGAACTCGTCAACCTGCCACATTCACCTGCGCTCTCCCGCCTCCGGGCCGTCAACTACGTCTTCGTCAGGTTCAAACGGCCCTTGACAGTCACTCCTGGCTGCTCCACCCCGTTTTCCTGTCGCTCAACCTTCAACAATAGCCTGCTCTCGACCAATAGAAGTTCAGACGAGGAGCTGTGGCCAGCCTCGTCCTCTATTTAAGCCCTCCCTCTGACGGACTTCCTCCTCCTCCTCTCTTCCCTGAACTCTTCCTCGCACAAACCTCCACTTCCTCTTCTTCTCTACTTCCATTTCTCACCTTCCATTCCCCTCCTTCTTCTTCTCTCCTCCTATCTTGTCTTCCATTCTTCATCTTCATCTTCTTCTTGTAATCTCCATCTTCTTCTTCTTGTACTCTCCATCTTCTTCACCCCGCACTTGTCGCGTTTTCTTCTTTTTCCTTCACACACACGCACAATATTTTCTCCTTTTTCTTCTTCCATCACACCTCACCTTCATCATCATCTTCCTCCATCATCATCTTCCTCCATCATCATCTGCCTCCATCATCATCTTCCTCCTTCTTCATCACCTTTTTCCTTTGTCATGATCGTCTTCCTCCTTCTCCATCTTCCTTCATCGTCAACACTGGTAAGTCATCCTTCCTTTGCTTCACTTGCGCATCACCATGTTGCCAATGATGATATAAAAGTCCCTGTCATGTTGTTCCAAGGCCATCGCGCCCGTGACGAACAAAACACAACCTAGCACATATATCTGAGGCTCACATCAACATCACCCATTCATCGTCTTCGATCCATCGTCGCGACCGTCGCTAACCTTGCTGTCTTCAGTCATCCATCATCAACATCGTCTGCTTCATCTTCTCATCTTTCATTCTTCATCATCCTCGCTCACACATGGTAAGTTCATTTCAGTCATCTTGATCGATGAGCTTCCAGTCAGCTAACCATCAACATCAATCAGGACTTCTCACAACACATTCTCATGATGCGCGGCGGGACTCCTTGTGCTTCGGCACTTGGGGGGGGAGCTTGGCGACCTCCTGGGTGGGCATCATCTAACACTAACACATCAACACTCGACATCACCAACACACAACATCTTGAAAACACATTCTGTGGGCGGGCCTTCAGCAGCTTGGCAACCTGCTGGGGGGTACAGGGGAGCTTGCTCCTTGGGCGGGTTTTCAAGACACATCACCGGCGCCAGGTGGCGCTGGCAGTCCAGTCCGGTCGACACAACAGACATATACAGCGGGCAGTGGGCAGTGGGCTTCTGGGGGTCCTCCTCTTGTCATTGTCAATCTGGACGGGACATGACTGAGGGGGGCGGTTCCTCGGTGTTCTTGGTGGCTCTTGAACATCAAGGGGCTGCGGGGAGGTTGTCCGGGTTCACACTTGTGTTTTCCTGGGCACCTCTCCGCGGTCGTCAACGGCTGCGTTTGTGGGGTTGGCAGATCTTCTTTCTTGATCTTCCCGAGTGATGAAAACACAGCGTCTTCATTTTACATGACCTGAAACCTGAAGGATAAAATTGTCATTCTGACGGGAAAGTTTGGAAGGTGGTGGACATCGTTCACTGCGGGGAGGCTGTCTGGGTTCACTTGTGTTCCTGGGCATCTCCCCGTGGTCGGAACTAGGGGATTCTAGGTGTGTGTGTTCGTCTCTTTTTGTCTTTGTCCCTTCAAGTTTATGTTTGTCAGTTTTCGTATCTTGTCTCCTTCTTGTTTGGTCTCATGGTCGCGGCTCATACTTATCTCATGTTTCCTCTTCATTTCATGTCTCTTCTTCCTGTTGTGCCTCCTTCATTTCTGTCTCTTCACCCGATGTTTCATCTTCAACATTCTCTTTTCTGCCCGATGAAGTTTGGTTGCCAGTGCGCCACCATCAAGTGATGGCACAGGTAGTGCCTGTGGCCGAGGGCCTTTGTTCCGAATGATACTTGGTGACAAGTGCACCACCGGCTAGGCCGGTAAACCGAGTGGTCTAGTTGACGGGTTACGATCTTTTCTTGTGTCCTTTTTTTTTTTTTTCCCCGATGATGTCTGGTGTCAAGTGCACCACCGGCTAGGCCGGTAAACCGAGTGGTCTGGCGGAGGGGTTATGGTGTTTTCCTCGTGTTTTCCCCAGTGAAGTTTGGTTAGCGAGTGCGCCACTGAGCTCTGACAAGTGTCATCTCAGCAGAGGCAAGTGCCTCTGGCCGAGGGTTCAGTTACCGGATGATGCTTGGTGACAAGTGCACCACTGCCAAGTGGTGGTAAACCGAGTGGTCTGGCTGACGGGTTCCTGAATGATGCTTGGTGTCAAGTGCACCACTAGCCAAGCGGCTGGTAAACCAAGTGGTCTAGCTGACGGGCGGTTTGACTTTGTCGTCCAAGTGGACAAACATAACCAAGCTGCGGGGGGGTTGTCTGGGTTCGTCCTGGACACCTCTCCGCGGTGACCTGCTGGGGGATGTTCGCAATTGGGGGATACCAATTTCCATTTCGTACCTACTAACTGGGGGATGTCAGTCCGCAACTGGGGGTCTTCGTACATGTGTTCTTCATCTCCTTTGTTTTTTCTGTCTTTTCTTTCTTTTTCTTGTTGTCTTTTCTGTCTCTTCCTTGCTGTCGTTTGTTTCTTTCTCTGCCTGTCTTTTTTCTTCGTTTTCTTGTTGTCTTTTTTCTTCGTTTTCTTGTTGTCTTTTTCTTCGTTTTCTTGTTGTCTTCTCTTGCTTTTCCTTGCTGTCTTCTCTTTTGCTTGTTTGGTAAGCTCTCGCTCCCTTTACCTCATACCTACCTACCTAAAAAACGCTAACATTGCTCACAGTTTGTTTTCCCATTCAACATGGAAGAAGCTAGGATGGATAGTTGGGCTGCCGTGTCCTGACGATGATCCCAGCCTGGCTTTTGCGTTTGCATTTCCAAAGCACCGCCGGGTGACGTGAACATGGCGGATCGCTTTGTCGCCGCATGAATAGGGTAGGAATTGGAACCAGTGCCTCGGTGCGCCTGGGAAACACTCCCTTCCATGTACACGTCCCCGGCACACAGAACTGCTTGCTTCATGTCCCCGTGTTACGATCCTCCGTGGCCGTAACACTTCACGTTTTCTTTTGTTCGCGCTCACCTCCTTTCCTTCCTTTGATTCATAACGACGGGGGGCCGCCGATGATGAGTTCACTAAGACGATCGACGAGGGATTGACCAAGACAACGTATATGAACTGAGGCGGTTACGCGGTACCTCGGTGAAGCAAGCAGTACAGCCTAATGGTCTGAGGGTGGTTCTATGAGGGGACGGATAACACAATCAATGATGAAAGACCACTTGCGTCGTCGACCTGAGATTGTGCGTGGGATGAGATTATTCAGGTGCAGCACCAGGGTTGGTTGCGCTTTTCCTTCGGTGCTGCCACCTGAGGAACACTGGGGGTTGTGATCTTTCGGGGGAAGTAACAGGACGAAGAAGGGTGATGCGACCTGTGATGAAGCCTCCTTGTCTCTGACGTACGATGCAGGTTGCAACACTTGTGTTCTCTTGCGTACTCGAGACGAGATTACCGGTGATCTGAGGTCATTCTAAAATGTTCGGCATGGAAAGCGGGTCGGGTTGAGGGCCAGTGCCACGATTGCTTCTGAGGAACTCTGTCCTTTGAGCATGGCTAATAACCAGGTACAGTGGCTGGTTTTCTTTCGGTTTCGTGGAATTCTTATAGTATGATGATTGAAATCTCTGAACATCCAATGTAGACATGTAACAATGTAACAAAAATCACATCCACCAATCTGAACCACTTGAACTTTCGAGACACTTTTGCTGCCTGTGGTATCAGACGCACTTGTGCTAACATCCTTCAATCCCAGAGAACTAGACTGAAGTCTAAAAGCTGCTCAGGGTTTGAGAGGCGGCCACGATCGAACGGATTGTGGTGATATGGCTGGCAACTGAAGATGGGTTGTTTTGTAATATTGGAGAAAGTCACAGTACAGGTTTCGGGAATGTCAGAACCAGCTACACATCGGAGCCAACGCGCGGAATACCTAAGAATGCCAATGGGAATGTTAATGACAATTGCAAAGGAAATGATTATGGATCACACATTGTCCTAGACCACAAGCTGACAGCCATACATGCATTCATGGGAAGACGAACTGCGGTAGTGCAGGATACTTCTAGACATAAAGAAATCGAGCCAAGCCACAAAAAAAAAAAAAAAAAAAAAAAAAAAAAAAGAGTGTTCTGGTGGCGAAACTGCTCTGCTTGATGACGGCTGCGTGGTTGCTACCATCGCGGGTGAACTACCTGTGTGGCATACAATTTGAAGGCTGAGAACAATGAAGAATATTGATTGACTGTAAATAAATGAGGCTCCCGACCTCCGGCTTGTACCACGGCGTCCGCTTTATGCTTCCCCATACTTATGCGCGACCTCGGAAGCACTATTGGGATTTGTGAAGTTAGGGGAAGACGGGTGTTAGCGTACACCCAAAGCACGCATACCGGGGTCGCACGGATTATGGAAGAGATCGAGCAGTTTATGGAATTGAAGAGGTCGCAGCTCAACACTAGAAAGCCTGATTACCCCAACACTCGAATGAAAAGAGGTATGGGTATCTTGTTCTCTCGACTGGGATAGGTCAAAGAAACGCGTAATGACGCCACTCGGCCGCCGCTTTCGACAACAGGAGCGGATATCATGGCTTCCCATACGATATAAGGCAGGCAGCACAAACAGGCCGCCCAGTATCGTCGAAGTAATGACAGCACCACGCATAAGGCCAGTTGTCCACCAGCCACCAAGCTTCAAATTACAGGAGACTGACTCGGTAAGAACGCAGGAACGAGCTGCGGCAACTCCTTGGCCACGGGACATACTATTGTTACCTGGGTGACGATCTCGCACGATAGACACCCCAGGGTGGTATTTCCAGGGACAGTGATGACGAGAGCGGCTTGCCCATCAGTACCGAACTAGCAAACCCCTAGCGGAACCCTCAAGCGACGGAGAATGTTCGCTGAGGATGGGCAGGAGAGACTCATTGGTCAGACAGTGGTGTTGGACGATGCGAAAGGCAGAGTGCCAAACTGTTCGGTCTCATCTCCCATTATCAACGAGCGGCGGCACATAGGCTGAAACGGCGTGATAGGCCCGGTCGAGCCCCGGTCGAGTTCAGTTCTTTGGGCACATGCTTGTGTCAATGAGCCACTGTGTGCTTGAGACGCGGCTATTACCACCACTCGGCGATAACAGACATGGGAAGCCCAGTTGATAGGAGAAACACAACACCTGTCTGCCACATACGCTCCACATCCACGCCACTGCCCGGTCATCCATCCAGGTCAGGGTCTAGGTTCTTGGTTGGCCAAAGTGCCGAGGGGGCCAACTAGATGTATCCAGTCGCCGCTGCCGTTGAGAGATTGAAGGCCTCGTGATAGGAGTATACGGCTTCGGCTTTACCAATGACGAATAAGGGAAGGCAAGAAGAGCGGCCAAGCGGCCACCGAATAACGGGCCAGAAGGTGTGTCGTTAACAAGAAGTAAGGGACAAGAATATGTTGATGAACGGCTAATTGCAGTGATATCAAACGCTTTGATGGCGTGTGCTCCCGAGCGCAAGGATGGGTGAGTCGAGAACCATTTGCATTTGGTTCCTCAAAATGTCGTTGGCAAGGTGTCGTCGGACACTTGGAGTTCCAGAACTAGGAACGTTTCCGCGGAGGGTGCGTCCGGGGGTGGCTGTGCAGCTTCACTTGCCACACAAGACTTGCACAACGCTCTTGTGTGGCTTGTGCCTAGATCCAGCTCGTCGGATCTGCTGAGTGGAGCCAAGTTCTTTTTGTCGACTTGTCCAGTCGTCACTGCAGTGAGATACAGTGTGTACTGTAGGACTCGGAGTGCAAAGTCAGCGAGCAGTGCGGCAACCCCCACTGTACGATCACGAAGATTAACGACAGACGGACCACTACAGTCGGAGCATTCGTTAACTCGAGCCCCGACGAGAAAAATGGAACGAGTGAGGATTCTCGTATCCAATATACGTTCAGTGTACCTTATTTGACTTGGAATACTTCCAGGTTTCCTGGACTCAGAGGCCGCCCTCCGCCATTGACTCAATCTACAGGCTTCATTGACGACGAGATTTACCTAGTTGGCGAGTCTCGGGGATAGCCCAACCAGACCCGATTCCACACATGGCCATACGAAAAGACCCTTGTACAACACAGCGCCATCTTTGGGATCGGAAATGAAATCTTTCACCAGAACAGCGACTGGATTCTACGGATACTCCGAAGACGAACTTCTCCACAGATTTAGCTTCACATGCGACACGCTTCCCACTAGGATGGCGGAGTTTGAGGAGGCGGTCTTCCAGAACACGTGTAGCCTTTACGCCTTTCGAACCCTGGCCGCCTACAGCGCCCGGTTCGCTTGCTTCCGTCTTTAGCGGTGAACGACGACGACGACGACGGGTAGCATTCGCACAAGCGCCTTCGAACACGATGTCGTCGACTATCCCGTGGGCGCGAACTGGCTACAAGTTGGGCGTCATCCTGACTCCTCCTCCTGTGGATCGGGAAGGGAGCCCATGGTATTGGCACGGCGGCATGGCAGCATTGGCATGGCACCTTGAGGGTGCGACTCCCGAGTTCTGCTTGCACTCCACCGGCATACTGACTCGACCAGCAACCTCCTCACTTGGACGTATGAGACGCTGCCGCGCAAACCCGCTTTCTGGCTTCTTGTTGGGTCCAACACGCACGTGCAGTGCAGCCGAGTCTGCGCTTTTTTTTTTTTTTTTTTTTTTTTTTTGACAGACTGCTTGCAGTTATGTACTATCGCCATGCGACCGCCGTTGGAACTATCGGTGAAGAGACATGACCGAGAAGGATGACTGCAACAACGGACGGACGCCGAAGCCGGTGACGTGGTGAGCAATGCATTGCCATATATAAATCTGCAAAGTTTTTGCATATTCTCGTCCAAGTGAAAAAAAGGTTTCGAGAAAACGGCATGGTGTCGAGGTGTCATCCATCCTCGTTTTTGGCTTAGCCTGCCCTGGCTTCCACTTGTACACTACACTAGTGTAAAGGTCTTGGCAATGAGAATTCCGAATACCTACTGCACTTGTAGTTCGTTTTCTGGGACGACTACCCGTTGAGAAAACCTCACCTCCAATCGGGAGCAGGAACCAACCAGACCTGCATCAAAGACCGGCTCGGGATAGTAAGCTATTGGCTAACAACCCAAGCACCATCGGCGACAGCCCTCTCTCGACATTGGACATCAACGCAGCAAACAATACCTACCCAGGCGCCATCAGTAGGGCAGCAGAGCATACGGCGTACATCATCGACAAACTGCTCAATAACAATGTGGTGTGTGAGTCACCTTGTTGATAGGACGGATGATGGACACTGATGGGAGTCTTCAATTGCCCCATCATCCATTTCGTGCGCAGGACTTTGATCATTTCCTTCAGACTTGGGAATTGGAATGAAGCACACCTCCTCGTAATCAAACTCTGAAAACTTTTTCTGTGACTTTGTCGAAAAAGAAACCAAGTCGCTGGGGTGTGTGGCATGTTGAGCCAGGGTTGATGGGAAAAGCCTCCGGAAAATCACCATGCGGAATTGATGTTCAAAGCACAGGGGAGGGGCGTGTGGTTTCCAAGAGCCGACCACCAGGCCGGGGATAAGGTGAGCATCAGCAAGGTGTGCAGCGGATAGCAAAGCCCATGTGTAACAGGCCGCAGAGAGGTATGTCCACCACGAGAAAATGGCCCTCACCTGTGGTCGCAATGCCGTTGACGTTGAACAGAGCCGACCGTATCAATGCACTGTATGGTGTACAGGCCTGACAGCAAGGCCTTGGTGGAATCATGCCATACCTTGGATGGAAATGAGGGTAGTAATGGATGGACTGGAGGTTGAAAGACATTATGGTGCTCGCCTTGAGGATGCATGCTCTTTCCTGGGAATAGCAGCGTCTTTCTCGTTTACAAGAAGTGCACTCTGTTCGGTGAGTGTGTTGTGACTTGTTCACCGGGAGCTTTGTGAATGGCGTAGGGGTGTTCGATTGTGAAAGTCTGATGTCGAATCGTCACGGCTAGCGTCAACACGACAGCGGGATACGGGGCAAGCTCTGTCATATCCGTGGCTCCAGCGATACACGGGTCCCAAACTGCGCTAGACGAAGATCAAAAAGTCCGGGTTGAGGGCCAACCACATCCGGTCGACAGTGAGGCTCATGTTGTACTTCCAGCTGGGTTACCTAGTGCCGAGCTTCAGGCCCCTGGGTCCTTCAGCTGATCACGGAGTGCAGTCAAGGGGAACACTTCCTATTCGTCGCTCCTCGACGATAGAGCAAAACTCCATCACATTCAAGGTACTCAGGGGAGATCAACACTGGTGCCGTGTAAGTCGCAAGGATTACCTCCCGTGCTTCCCCGTCGTTGGTTATTCGCCACAAGGAGGAGGGCTCCTGGCTAGGAGCGCTCTCTTTTTCACACAAACCCACGGAATGAGATGCGCGCACAGAGGACACGGTAACCGCATTGAAACAGGGAAGAGCTCTTGCGCCGAGATGTCAGCCAACCGCAAAACGGCTTTCAAATTCAAGAGGGAGGCTGGACTAGCGGCGACTGGACCATTGAAGGTTGATCGAGCTACTACCATACCTGTCAATTTCAGCACTGTAGATACGGCATACTACACAGTAAATCGAACAAGCAGGTAGAGTATGGTAGCTTCAATATTTGTTCCATACATTGACCACAAGAGGTTAGCAGGAAATCAGACTGAGCGGTGGGGGGATACACATGCATGTGGTTTTGGGGGCATGCAAGCCAGCCACGTGCAGACGAACACTCGCAAGCACAAGGGCAAACTGGGGAGTCTGGGGCGAGCTTTGGACTTCAGCCTGACTGCGTTGCTACGCGAGGAAAGGCTGACGACCGTTCTCCATGGCCGTACATCTGGCCGCCTCAATCTGGCATTTGTGGTGGAAGAATTGATAGCCTTGGCGAATCCCAGGCGTTGATGCTGCATGAAAGGCTGATGTACACATGATGGCTTCTTTTGGTCCAGGGTCACGGTGGTTGCCGTGATGGTTGCAACCATCTTGAAGAAAGTTGCCCGTGCCCATCCGACAGACTAGAGGTACCTAGTTTCACCTTCATTTTTCGTCAACTCGTTGAATGCTTGGGAATCAACGGTGAGCTCAAGGAAAGTCTTCCATAATCCCGCTGCTCATCTGTCTGCGGCGGGGAACTCCTGCCGTTCCTAAACGATGAACGCGTCAACCGTGGAAGGGGCGACTAACACAAGAGGCGAGAGACACGGAGAAACGTCAGCATCCATGGCAGCTTGCGCTTTCTTGCTATGCTTAGGTAGTGTACATATCTCGAAGAAAGCCCCCGTTCCTGCCGGATTCATCCTCCATCAATTTCCCGGACCTTCTACCTTTTTGTCTCGTCTGGTTAGTGGTTTCCCGGTCGAATGTTGGTCAACCAAAACTCGCACACCTAGCTGTCTTGGCCACAGTGTACAACCTACTGCCAAAAGAATTCTTACCAATCGCGAATCCATATTCAGTTTGCTTTGCATTCAATCAACTACTTCGGCGACTCGGTGCCCAGCATTCCGGGTGTCCGGGCGCCCTCCCTCTCTTCGACATCTTTGATTGCCTACTTTCTATCCGAGCCGGAGTGCAACACCAGACAGCTTCGTAAAGGACGAAGGCGAAAAATTTTCACGGACGTGAATACTGGAAGCAACCAGTTACTCCCTGCGGCGACGTTGAGCATCTTCGCTCAGACCGAGTCTCAATCTCGCTTATACTTCAACGATCGGCGCGCATTGGATGGGATTGGGGGCTGGAAACTGTCCATCATCAGGAATCCGGGGGGCGCTTCAAGGGCAATTTAGCGTTTGTTGTGCAAATTTCAGGGGCCCCCGGGAAAGTCGAAACCCGGTAGATTGGACGGCGATTGTTGAGGGATTCACGCGAGAGATCCAACAGGCTCCATTCCTTCGCACACGACGTTTCGAAGTGCTTCTTTTTTGCACGCTGGAGTTGCCTGTCGATCAACGAATCCAAGTTATCGTCGCCCACACAGTCGGTCTATTTTGGAGACAGCTGAAGGAGGCAACGGCATCATTGAGTCAGAGGCTATCGCCAGACCAGTCCTATCAGCGGCTCTTCTCTCTCCAGGCATTTGGCAGTCTCGGACAGAGAGTGAGTGCTGGTGATGACTGGCTCAAAATCCAGTGCCATCCAGTCACAGTGTGACAGAACGTAGTCGGGGGGTGTGGTTCCTTCTGGCAATGTGCTCATAAGCGTCTTCCCACCACCACGAAAAAAGTGACTAATCCCAAGCAGGCTACTGCAACTGCGTGGCTGGCTACGTACCCTCTCTACAGACACGCCCCCTCCACATTGACCGGGGGCAGAGCTGCAGAGCGCGACAGGGCTCGAAAAATTGAATTGGTTCACATCCCTGGTCTGTGACTCTTGGCGCAAGTCTCCTTGCCAAGTCGTCCCGCCCTCTCCGCGCAAGCAGCCGGAGCTTCTCACCTTGCCCGGTTTGGCTCAGTTCAAGTTTATAAAGTTCGCCAACCACCCGTTTCACACCACTCTTGAGTGACATCTCTGGCTCCTGTCTGCCAATTCACACGCCTTCCCGCCTCAACGGCTTTCCAACCGCGGATTTCCACGACATCCTCCCCAGCTGTCATCCAATCTGGAGCGCAGCCGGATCCACAATTATCCACACGCTTGCAGTCAAGGTCGATCTAGACTTGGTTGCATCATCCCAGGAATTCTGCACCGGGGATCATCGACACACATATCACCATACTCTTGACATGTTGGAAAGCAAAAGACGCTTCTCCTTTCTTCATCTCACTATCGACCGCATACCCAGGTGACGGGTTCCATCTCCTCCGCGTCACGACATCAGGCGCGATTTCTGCTTCGATTCAGGGTTGTCAGGGAAATACATGCAGCAATAAAGAGCAAGGATCTCATTTGAAACAAAGGGAAGAGGAGCTAGCAACTTGTTGCTGTTGAGGTTCAGGAAAAAGATTATTTTATTTGGTTGGAAAGAAAACGACATCATCGACAACATGGCCACTTATTCACCCTACGAGTCTACCCGGTACCGGGACGTCTACGCCCACTACGACGAGGACAGGTTCGCCAGTGCCTCGACAACACCTTCGCCCCGGCAACCGGCATACTTCACCGAGCTTCCTCCCCGACCACAACGACCGGCCACACGGGCTCACTTCCGGTCCGGCAGTGTCAGCGGCTACACCAACGCCTACAGCAGCCCTCGCGGCTCCTTCTCTCCCCGCTACACCAGCGACGGCCACTATGCCACTGCCAATGTGAGTCACTCGCGGTCATCGCGCAAGCAAAGCTTCTCGGTCCCTCGCTCCAACTCCAAGCGTGAGCGGCGAAGTTCCTATTCCTACAATTATCGGGCTTCGGACTCCCATGGAGAATCCGACGAAGACGAGCTGGACCGGCTGGTGATGGACGGCTTCGCCTACATGCAGCCTTTCCAATCGAGATTCGACCGATACAGCACTCGGGATTACTTTACTGTCAATGCTGGTGGACAAGGGACTGATTACCACTACTATGCACAGACCGGTCCGCACCGCGATTACTATGACAGAGAGTCCGCGTTTCCTTCCGCCAAGTACGACTCGGACCGGACGGACCGCAGACCTCTCGCAGGACAACGTCGCAGTTCCACATCACATGCAGTCCCCCAGCGCCCCCAGACAGCCAGGCCAGCCAGCTCCTCCCACAAGAAGCCTCCACCGCCGACACGTGTGGCGACCGAGGAAGATGCCAAGAATTGGAAGATCCCTGCCGGATATTCGTTGAAGAACTGGGACCCCACGGAGGAGCCTATCTTGCTGCTTGGAAGTGTCTTTGATGCCAACTCCCTTGGCAAATGGATCTATGACTGGACTGTCTACCATCATGGTCCTGCTACTCCTATCTCTGAGATGGCCGGAGAGTTGTGGCTGCTCCTGATCCAGCTGGCCGGAAAAATCAAGCGTGCCGATCAATGTATCGACAAGGTCCGTTCCAAGGAGAACAAGGAGATCCTCCAAGAGTTCATGGACGCCGGTGACCGCCTGACCGACAAGCTTCGCAAGCTCCTCAAGGCCTGCGAGGCTCCCATGCTTCGCTCTACTGCCAAGCAACGGAGCTCTTCGCTCGGCAAGGGCGCTGGCGTTGAGTTTGTCGACACGCTTTTTGGATTTGAGCGGGAGCTGGAGAAGACGGAGAAGTTCATGTCCCAGGTCCGCCTGTGGAATCTTCGCTTCGACGCGAACTGCGAGGATATCCTTCGCAACCCGACCGCTTAATCCCCTCTCATATTCACCTCTCAATAATTCGAAGACATACCCTCCGACAAGATTGGTTGTAAGATAATGGGGAGGAGTCCAGCAGCAACGGCAACAACAACAAGGACACCAACAACAACAACAACAACAATAACAACAATAACAACAACAGCGGGGCGGTCATCAGACGCGACACCCATTCCCTATCGATGATACCCAAGACTGCCATTTTTTTGCGGCGCGGCGTGATGATAAAAAAAACCACGGCCCGCCCAAAGTCAACTTTACGCAAAGGAAAGAAATGGAAGGGGAAACGATTTTATAGCAGTCAGTGAGAAGCAGCATTACACGAAACTTAGGTTGTGCAAGGAACTCAAAAGTTTTGGATAAGTTTTATGCGGAGGACGATATTTTACCTCTATCAAGTATCCCCCTATGTAATCACTGTGTTTGTGGTATTCTTTTCTTTTTTTTTTTCACTTCAGTTCACACAGGTTTTGGATGTCAAAAAAATTGGGTTGGCGAGTTTGCTTTTGTTATCTTTCTGTCGCATCACACTGGGCTGTGATGTCATGTTCTCAATCGCTTCTGTGTTACAGGTTGTTCAATGACAATGCTCACACGATTTCACGGAGCCGTCACTGTTCTCTTTTCTTTTTTTTCTCTTTTTTTTTCTCTTCTTTCTCTTGAATAATCAGCTCCAATGGGGATCACAGGATGGATATACCCAACGTTTCACTTTTTCTTTCCTTTTCAAGTCAGGAAGGAACAAATAGAATGTCAATGCGGATGGATAGAGAAGGAATGGCAATGGAGGAGGGTATCAGGGTCGCATCAACCCTCTCCTCCCAACAATGTAGCTAGCTTGTATTAATTCACCACACACACACACACAACTCGACATGATTTTTGTCCAACTTGGTTATGTTCCAAAATCGTCGCCTCACGGTCTGTGAACCCGTGTGAATCAATTCTCATGTCACGCACACCCGGAGATTGGCGTGACGTCTCATCACAGGTCGAGAAATTCCGTTTGTGCTGCCGTGCTGCCGTTCGTAGCAAACCATTGTACGCAGGCATGCCGTGCCCTAGGAAAATCTACAACATGAAAGATGATGCCTCATTTGCCAGACCCATTCCATGGGATTCATGATACCAACAAAGTAGAGGTATCTGTTTGACCACAGCCGTAGAGCGCGCACACAACCTCTGTGATTCCTTGCGCACATACATACATACACCAGGCAAGGGGGCGCTTATGACTGGCACGACAATCTGAGGAAAATTTTGGTGCGCGTGTGTGTTTTGGTTACGAAGCGCGCCTGCTGTTTAGTCACAGACGGGAGAGGAAAATGAGCATGGAATGGCAGAAGCAATTCTGGGGTGTCAGAGTTGGACATTCCAGTTCCCCCCCCCTTTCCTGCCCTTGTTTGTCATCCGTCTTCACCAAAGAAAAAAAAATTAAATTTAGCAAAAACAAAACGACACGGGTGATTTGAAGCTTTCTATTGAAAAATATCTAATAATCCAGCCTTGTCGTATGTAGTAGGTGGTCATGCACTGTGAGTGGAACATTGTATACTTGCGGAAGAATTGATTCAAGTTGTGTTGTGAATGGTGTGAGTGTCAGTCAGACTTGGCTCACTGCTTCACCTGTCAGTGGAATCATCAACCTTCAACACCCTCATTCCTTCCCCTTTTCTTGATCAAGGTAGTGTAGAGGTAGTGCAATCCCGAGGAGGTGGTCGGCGAACTGAGGGGGGGTCGGTCCACCGAGGTGTTTGAGGCTACGAAGGGATCAACATCGGGCTCACACACTTGGCGGCCGCCCTCGGAGGGGGGGCGGTAGGCTACAGACCGCACACTCACACCTCCCTGTTCTCCCTTGTGACAACACGGAAAGCCTTCTTTCGATGTACGTGACGCTTGCTTTTCAATTTTCCATATGTATCGCCATACATGAATTTCAATGGCTGTAAATTTCCACTGCTGGATCGATGTCTTTCATCATCGGCTGCAAGTCGAACGCAAACCTTGGAAGTGCGAATTCAATAATTTCAAGGAGAGAGGTGGAAGCCGGGATGGAAGGAGAAGGTGAGTGGATACCCTCCCGGCAAAGTGGGCAGAGTGGATCTCTGCTTGCACTAGTGTGCACTAGTGCAGAACGTCCTTCCAGTGTCCACAGTCGGGTCCAGTGTGGAAAGAGCTCCGCTGTGGGGTGCGGTCGGTCCTTCCCGGCTGTCAATTCAGACTTCAAGGTTCAATGTTCTCAAGATGGGATGAACACTGTGTGCTGCCCCGCGCTCCAGTCCGTCGTCGCAGGGCTCTTTCCTCTCTTCCTTTCTCCAGGGCCCTTTTGGCGGCTCTTGCGGTTGTTTCTTTTCAGTGGAGTGAACAGGGTCGGGGAATGCGGCGGCGGGAGCTGGCGAGCTGGGCCACAGAAGATGGCCGCAGAAGGTTTTCAGGGCTTTGGGCCTGATCCTGGCGAGGGGCAATTCTGGAGTGCACGGCCAATATCTTCTTTCCCTTTGCGGTTTCCTTATTGGAACATCCACTCACTTCTTGTCATGGAACTTGAACGAAAATTTCCACGGTCTCGTTGTCTCGGTTCCAATTCCTTCTTGTTCCCCAGAGGCGGTTTGATAATCAACACCTTCAACCGGAGGGCGCAAACAGAAACAAACACCCCCGGCCAAGCCTTTCCATCATCGACTGCGCCTCGCTTCCCCCTAGGCCTGTCTAGGCAGAATCGATGACATTCACGTTGCGGTGTGAATGCTGTCATGAAGCCCCCCCTGACTGGACTCGGAATGAAAGGCTTTCCTAGCTACTTCTACGGAAGCATGCAAAGCCACGGGTAGGGGATACAGGTATGCATGCCGTTGTCCGCTCACTACTTTGATATATCAGCTCGGTACGACGTCAAAGCATAGGAAACGAACGAGTCAACGAACGAACCACCCGTGTTTCTACGGGTTCAGACTCAGCCACTCCCTGCTTTAGTTTCCTTCGCCGGGTGTCTGCCGACACTTTGCTGCCGAATCCCGGCCCTGTTGATGACAGCACAGACCGATACGGCTGCGATCCCGCCTGGATAAAAGCCAGAGAACAACAGAGCAAAGGGCCTTCGACCCCTCTGTCCAACGGTTCGATAATCATGCCTCGACATCTCGTTGAGCGAGCACGAAGCAACGTTCAAATCGGTGTATAAACGTTGGGGTCCGGGTGTGGGTACAACAAGGTGTCGTCCCTTCGAAACCCGGTCCGAAGATACGCCAGTTTGACTATACACATGTGCAACGTGGATACAAGTGTGGCGGGCGACCAAAGAGTTTGCTTTCCCCAGTTCATACCTCCCGAGCGCTCTCTCGAGTACCCTTTACGACCCATCTACGTATCCAATCGAGGTGCAAACAATCTCGTTGAAGAGGAGTGCTGCATGCTTGTCAATTCCGCGAGGCTACAAATACACCATCCCAACTGTTTACCGGCTGCATGCGCGGCGCCTTGCAAGTGACCTGGCCATGCTATTGATAGTTCCCGTTGGCGAGTTCAGGCACATCATGTCCCATTATTTCCTGTGACTCGACCATCAATAGTCATTGTATCACGTCGCACGACAACCCCTTCTACTGTGGAGGATACTGTTGATACGCTACAGTTCGACTATGCGGAACTGGTGCGCAACCAATATGCCGCTGGGTAGCATTTTGGAGCCTTCACTTCCTCGGTCTGCTCCTCCAGCCTCCAATCATCGACTACAATAATGTCTCGCCCTCCCACTCAACACTACATCTTGATCATGCCATGGCTTACAACTGTCATCCAAGCATCAGGCAGCCATCCCTAAGAGAAGCATGGCGGACAACATATCGTGCACTTGGTGGTTGCTTCAAGTTGAACACTATCCTGTCATTGTTTTTTAAATCGCTGTCTAGGCGCATAGCACACAGGCATTCAAGCCGAGCAACATCATAATCAGACAATTATCTGACAACTGCCTGCATCCATATTCTACTGAACGTGGCTCAATATCACGGATTACCCTTGTTTGCTCCCTGACGATCTTCGCTTGCGGTCGGCAGTTGGACAAATTTGGAACATGGAAATTGTTCCATGCTTCCATTGTGTTCATTTGCTGTTTCTTTTTCTCTGGACGGGTGCCTGTTGGGGTTAGTGTGGCTCTCGAGGGGCGTAAATTGTTGGAACCAACAATAGCAAACACCTTCCAGGATGCTACCTCGTTACCACCTTCTGTGCATTTCGGTACATCCCACGTACCGTCGAGGGTGCCATGTGGGCGTACTGCATAACCTACAATCATCACTAATTTATAGTATTACTATCAAGCGCCTTACTTACGCCTCCATCACACTTCTTTGGGTAACAGGCAAGCAACACCAAGTCAGGGGCAGAAGATCGTGCAAGCTGCATCGAGCAAAGTACAGTTGACAGGCGGCAAAGATGGTAGTAAATTCACATGAAATGTATTCTACTACGATGGTAATTCATTGTGATTCACGATGGGCCGCTTTCCGGATGTAGCGGTTATATTCTCTGGTACTGCTAGAAACCCAGCTTAAGCACACTCCCCCTCCTACAGGATCTCACAATGGAGTTTACGTCTTGCAAATATGCCGTTGAATTCTACATTCACAACCCCAAGTTTGGGCTTGGAAATTCAGCTATCTCTTGTTTTCACATGGACGGATTACCTTGGCTGCCCGATTTATCGACTCAGGTCGAGCATTGATAGACAGTTTCAAAAAGTAACAACGCTATGCTCTCCATATATTAGCCTTGTCACCGCCAGTCCTTTTCACATTTTCGCTTCTTGGTATTCACATATATCAGAATGCTCCTCATTTCCCTGACGTGCCCTTAGTGTGCGGCCCATTGACACTACCCAGAATAACGGTTACACGGTCACCGCTCAAGTCTTGACTTCAGAACTTGGTTGACAAATGAAATCGAAGAAGCTTACGGTGTATTTCGTGAAGCCCACGCCTCGGAGCGCCCGATACAGAGTGGTATTCGGGCGCATCCACTTCGCCTCTGCGTCGCATGGCATGGCTTACCTGGGCTTCTGCAGCTGCACGATTATTTTGTTTACCTTAATTCCGAAGCTATATGCCAGCAATTCTGGACAGAACGCATCAAACCTTTATTGTTCGCCTCGACAGGAGAAAGGGACAGGGGGTGTGCGCAAAGAGCGAAGGTACCTAGGAACACATGTAGCCGCGCCGGTGATAACAGCAGCCGAGTCACTACATTACCCAAGAACGTCGCGAGCACGGTACAGGAAGTGTCAACGGTCATCTAGCTCACAATCACTCAACTCGTCACCATCGCACCCTCCATGTCCTCCTCCAAATCCTTTTGACAGGGAGTTCACAATTGGGAATAGTAATGTCCAGAGCCAAGAAACATGGTCACAGTTCTACTCGGCGGCTAACTGCGATTACGTGCAGGAAAAGCCGTGCTGAACTTCATTTCAAAGGGAATTGGACCAATGAACGTTGATCTCTTACAAGTTGTATGCATCGGTGATCAATAAAGTTGATCGCTTATGTATTCCTGCAATGTGGGTTGCGTGTGCTGAGATGTGCGCAAGTGTGTCTTACCATCACTGCAACTAGGCGCTAACACTATAACAGGCAAACTTGCCGCACAGCTGTTAGTGACAGGAAAGATCAACACACCATCGTGAATCCAGGAAATAACTGCGGTTTGTGCTACCGACACAGCTTGCATTAGGGGGATAAACTTACTCCCTTTCAAACATCCTTGTCAGTGATCCTAGCTTACCTACTTTCTGACTGATACCGTGGGCGACCACCGGCTGGAGAATCAAAAAGGTGTACACGCATTCTCACTATATCTGTGATCTTTTCGGCGCCAGTCACAGTCCTCTCTTGTATGTTCTCGGACTTAAACAGTGGAGGGTACACAACACGCTGCCTAGTCGCAAATATGGGCAAATAACACCGATATACCCATCGCCTCTTTTGAGGGGTCAATCTAAGACGGGACTGTGGAATGGGGTGTTACGGGTGCGGCGCAGTTCTACCCTCCTGTGCCTCTACCAAACTCAGTATTCTTACTGTAACCTAGAGGTAAACATCATGTCGTGCCGTCCACACAGCAAGCAGTGAGTGCACAGTGTCGACTATTTGAATTGGAAGTGCTTCCGTTCACCCCCATCCTCCTTTAATGATACTAATGAAATTTGATCTAGAAAGTCAAAAAGCAAAGCAACATCCATCGAGAAGGCTGGCTACATTCAAACGAGAGGCATCCTGGGTACGTCTTCAGAAATCCTAGTCATTACGAAATGACAAGCCTCAGGTGACTCGTCCTTCATGAAGACCTCCAAGCTCACTTGGGATAGCTACGACCTACCCCGCCTACAAGCTAAGCTCCCCATCTTACATATTCATCTCGGCGGCTACCATCACGAAGTCAAGCTCGTCATGCGACATGGAAATGCGGGGTTTACCATCCTACAACGGCTATCCAACGATCACCCTTCGGTTCCTTTCAATCCACGTTACAGTCATTAGCGAAGGACAAAACGAACCATAAACCCTTGTTTAGAGGTAAGGTAACGAGTCACCTGGATGTCTGCCCTTCGAAACCTCAAAGGATATTACAGCAGCAATGGATTGTATACCCCCACACTTCTCATATCCCTCATCTGCTGTGCGAGTGTCTCTGCTACCTAGAATTACCTTACTAAACCTAGATACCCTGCGATGAAGGGAGGCAAAGGTAGGCGTGGGGTTTGATTTGGTACCGACTATTGACGAAGTCCTCTGGAGATTTGAGTCATCTTCTTCAAGGAAGCGGCAGTGCTCAATGCAGTAATCACCTACTGTCCCACAGCTGCACATGCAACCGCGCCGCAAGCGAACCGTATTCTGGGACACGGAAGATGGAAGACAGCACGGGGGTAGAACAGGCCGGAGAAGGGACTGGACCCTGCGTCCGCTACATAGGTATACTACTGGTATCATTGGTGACAGCCTAGAAGCCGGCACGGCATGGAGACATGGATAAGACCCCGGCGTCCGCCCTCCGCCTAGTTCCATGTCACGCCGCACGCCTCGAGGCTGCTTCCTCCGTGGTCAACCTGCGTCCCGATAGGCCCTGCCGCCTTTATAACCGATTGACATGTGAACTGGCCTGAATAATATGAATATCAAGAAGATTGGGGTAAAGAAAACAAAATTGAAGACGGAGAGATTCAAGCCCATTGAGCAATGCAGTTTTCTGGCGTGACCAGCTCCCCCAACCATTAGTCCCCCCAACTCCCCTTTCCTTCCAACTTCCATTACACAACGCCCAGAGTCATATTAGCAAACGGGCAGGATACCTACAGGTAAGGGACCTAGTTACCAGTACCTTATGTATGTCTGAAACACGCTGTGCTTGAAACAAGCGGGCTGAGTTGCCGATGATTGCCGGCCTCGCTGTAGGTTCATCGGATCGGCTGGTCTGTTTCGGGCGATCGACTGGTTCAAGTTCAAGACAGGGGCATCAGGAAGGGGGATGGAAGAGAGGGTACGACGGGGCACGACGGGGCAGTTAGGGATATATCCTTACAGCCCTTCCTGCCTTGTGTCTACTATGTCTTTTCTTGTCTGGGACGTTCCAAGATATCTGTACATTCGCATTGCAGTCTGGCGGTGGAATTGGAGGGTTTGTTAAGGTTGGTCGTCGAAGCCTTCTACGCGTCTAGAGGCGAGTACCTGAGCTACCTGTAAAGGTGGTGTCTTATAAAACCCGAATTGCAGTTTGGTGTTCGGCATGAAGCATGCAGCACAACATCCATGGGCGGAACATCCACGAGATATACAAACAGGGTCCAGTCCATGTCGCAAACCACACCTCATCTTGACCGTGCCCTCTCCCCGCAATTTCTACCCATTAGCAGGTACCTATTCATAAGGTACTTGTCAGATCTCGGTACCTACTACTCTATGGCGTCCGTTTACCGATTCGGTTTCGGGTTCCGATGAGACTAGATCTTTTAACCTGTCTTTGCCTGAATGTGGCTTGGATGGCTGGGTTGGGAATTTGTTTCGGTCCAGTCGGGTCGGGTCAGGTTCAAAGCGGCCAGGTTCAGTTCAAGCCATCATCATGCGTTCGTCCAACTTCTGGACCCCATCTCCCAATACGGCGGCCGGCTTTCAGGTCTCAACTTGGGAGCCTTGAACGAGCTTATTTCAAAGGTGGTGGCATGTTCTGCTTTTGGGACATGTAAGCATGTGAAATGGGGGTGGCTTTTGGAACCTTGCAACTCCAGTGCCGCAAGGATCTGAGATGCATGAATATGGGGTCGAGACTGTACTGATGAGTGACGTCGTTGGGGGTGTCGTTAGACCAGAAATGCACAACCCGTTGATCGTCCGTTCGGGTCTGATTCTGATGCCTCTCGTAGGAACTTGTCTTCTGGTTCCTGGCTACAAAGTGAGCATCGAATGTTGCGGAGAGAGAGTAAAGGCGTCTGGAGAGGCATCACGCAGAGAAGGTCCAGTCTGGAATTGTCATTTCTGCCATAAAGTGACATGTGATCTTGCCACTGCCATTTGGATATCTTTTGGAGTCTTTCTCTCCAACGACAAAGATTCGACCTAAACGACTTTTGAGCACTCACAAGATGTGTGGCATCAGACGAAGTACAGTATTCCCATCTTGGAATATGCTTGATCGAACATGAGATCTCACCACATCGATTTTATAGCGTCATGAAAACATGATAAACTAGCGCCTGACGAGATTTCTAGTGCCCTTTTTAATCTAGGTAGGCGATGTCATGCACTGAAATGTGCCGTGATCGCATGGATGGATGGCGCATCGCATGGCGCCGCCGGTCGCGCGCGGTTGGCGCGGTAGGTACCCTGGGGGTTTGGGACGGGAGCCGTGCCCTGGGAGTCGAGACGAACTCCTTGGAGGTTTGTCCAAACTCCAAACTGTTGGAGGGGCTAACATCGGACTAGAGGCTGATATACCCCTCATCGATGCTACGGAGGGGTAGGTGAGACAGACATCAGTTAGTGTCATCGATATGCCCCCTCTGTGGTCTTTCTCGGTGCAGGTGCCCTATCTTTGGGCCCAGTTAGCGCTAAAATCAAGATCTGATTTAGCACTGCCCCAATTGGGCCCGCTTTGATTTTTGGAGCCGAACTTCCCATCGACATCCAGATCTGGACTCCAGTCCGCGATCCGGCGGTTTCCAAGTTCGAAGATTGATGAGGATGACGATGAAGCCGAATCATACATTTTCAAATAATGCAACGATGTCACCGTTGGGCATTCCCGGGTTGGCAGCTGGTTTGTGCCATGAGGGGAACCCTGACAAAAGTCCAGATGTGATAGATAACACCACGTGAGATCTCATCTGCCCGAAAGCGATTCGTGATCTTCCTCAGCGGCGCAAAACCCGCAAATGCACATCACCAAAATTGGTTACAACCACAACCAGGGGTGGGGGGGCGTGTGCAGTTGCTTTCGGGATTTTCTTATGAGATAGTGGAATACACTGTATGGAACCCTCAGCTTTCATAACTGTCATGAGGCTTCTCTCTTTGTGTCAACCTCGGAGGGGCATTGGGCTGGAGGTCACTCGGGTCAGGCGTGAGATTGGGTTGGAAAAGCTATGTCATTGTGCTGGTAGTATGTGCTTCGCCATCATTGGGTCTTGGAGCAAATGCCGAATAGGTACCTTGAGAAGAGCGAGGTGCTCGTGAGATGATACCAACGTTCAAATAATGAAGAAAAAGCGATTGATCATGTGAAGTCAGGTTGTGTTCGGTAATATCGAAAGATCGGGACAGCATTACGAAGTATTGTTCGTGCGTAGCGAATTGTCAGCGATGACGAGAGGAAGTCAGATGCTGCGCGAACAGAACCTTGAGCGATGAAACTGAGTCAAAAACAAAACGCGGGAGAAAATGAAGTAAGCAATGGCTTGGAAATAGGACATCAGCAAAAACGTTGGCTTTTTAGCACATTGTTTGGAGGTAGCATCGTGCACGAAGGCGAAGGAAGAAAAAGGAAGATGGAAAAAGGGGTGAAGAGAAAGTAAACAAAGATCAACGTACCTAGAGGTAGGTACATAAGGTAACAAGAAGAAGAAGAGAATAGTTAAAAGAGCAAAAATAGAAAAGCTTATTAGCTGCAACTCGTTTCGATCGAGTGACCTCCGGGTTATGAGCCCGGCGCGCTTCCGCTGCGCCATGCAGCTTTTGAATTGTTGAACAAGGTAGATGGATTGTGGGCTTATAAGGTGGATAAGAGTGGAGTATAAGGGGTCAGAATCTGAGGATAGGGCGCAGCATGGAAACCAGAATAATGCATTCCCAGCTGGACTTTGACTCACACTATGTAGATAAGTAGTTTGTTGATTGACGCAATCCTGTGTCTGTTTACGGTTTGCTATTGTGTCGGTGCCTTTGTTGGGGATTAACCAGTACGGCTGCGAGCGTGGACGACCATGACGCACATGCAGACAATGGGTCATTTGCGGAAAGTATGAAAAGATGTTGTTATGCATGCGCGGAACAGTTTTCTTCATGTTATATATATTTCAAGCGTTTAAAGCCCTTTTCTCCGCCATGTTCTTCCGTTCTAACGTAGCGAAAATGTACTCATTCATCCCCTTGAGATGATATTACGTGCTGCCTGCTGAATCCTCCTCTTTCTGAGTCTTGCAGGCTGCCTAGGTACGTAACCTTTTATGTTGAGAGCAGCTTATATAGGCCTGTGAGAACCGTGGTGAGCAAAGACGTTTCGTTATATGGGTCGTCGTTCTCGGAAAACAGGCCCATACTATATCTTTCATACAAGTCCAGTCGTGTTTTATAAAGGCGATGAGCACATTGATATAGTGGCCTTGAATTTGGAGATGGGTCCGGTCTGCACTTCGAAGTCTCTCAAATTCTCATGTCAATCTCGAAGTCGTCCCTTCCTACCTAGAGGTACCTTCCCTCCCCAGGCATCCCATGTCCCTTCTATCAACAGAAGGTACCAGCCATCTCTCCCAAAAACATCCAAGGAATACATCGATAAAGTGAGATCGCCAAGTGGTTCTTGACATATAGTCTAGGGGTAGATGTAATTCTTCCTTTTCATGCGTATTTGTGACTTCAGTCCGACTTCATTCGCCACCAACCTTCTGAATGCCCTTCGATAACAGACGGCGGGAATTCAATATTAAACGCTCGACTTCGTTAGATGCTCTCCTTCAACTTATTGGTCTTGAGCTTACATACTTATCACACCCTATACCTACGCCTTTTAATTCCCTGACCGACAAGTTATGTTTACCTCCAGTAAACAAAAGCAGTTATAGTTTTCTGGCATCGCTTCCACTTGTCTGTCTGACTTGGTATATTGCCACTCGCAATTTCCCGCTGCGGAAGGCACCAAGTGCCACTATGATAGTGGAAAAGTCCATCACTCCTCAACAACTGCGCCAAGGAATAGTGCAATCACAAAAAAAGTATACAGGCAAGACTTTGATGCTGTTTAACTGTCACGACAGCGTTTCTCTTCGATATATGTTGTGTTTCGCAACATTCATCTCGTCGTTATCCCTCAGGTTGCTATCGCCTGTCCCTTACTTGCACCTCTAACCCTAACCCGCCAACATGGTTAAGGGGAAGATCTAAGCCATCGCCATATCACTTCCACATCACTTTAGCGTCAACACTCCGAAGATCTGCAAAACGAATTGGGGCTACTTCCATGTCTTACCTGTTTCCAGTTTTTGTCTAGAACAAGGCTTCCACAGAGTTTGTCATATCTTCCCCGGAGGTCACGGATATGTGGTTCATCCGATCCACACCAACGAGTCAAGGTTCTTGTCTCGTTCATGCGCGAACATGTGGAATTCAGGGTTCTCAACTCCAATAACAAATCTAGCCTCATTTCTTCCGTCTTGTCTTTCCTATCCAATTATGTGAATGGAAGTGAAGCCCTTTTACCTCCAATTTTTTGCTGCTCACCAGTTGGTTTTGCCCAACGTGCCCAGCAAAGTCGACAGCTTGCTCGTCGCTTGCTGCTTGCAAACGATCACGGTGGGGATCTTGAGGTGGGTTGGTTTCCTCCATCACGATTATCTGACCCTCCCAAGACAAGCTGCTTGGGAAGCTGAATCACCTCCACGACTCCTCAATTTCGTTTGACCTTTTCCACCGCCCTTCTCCAGCCATCTCAAGGGAGACGGCGACTCATCACTCAACCACCAACTACAACCGTTGGTAATCCCAAAGTGAGCCAACACACCAACACAAAAGTCCAGGAAGATGGATGTAGGCGCTCCAGCTCATCCACCCGAGGGGGGAGAGCGCAGACCATCATACCAATATTACAACAACCAGGAGAGCACTCTCCTGCCCGAGGTACCCCTCCTCACCGGCATCGACAACCTTCGGCTCTGGGAAGTAGCCGTCCTCGCTCACCTGCGCCACTATAATCTAGATGACAATAGTGAGGCCCGCGACCCTTCAACACCACGAAGCGCGCGCAACGGCACCCTCTACCTATCATGGGACCACATGCAGAACAGAATCAAAGTCTACACGATCATCCGTCGCAGCATCTCCGACGTAATGTCGTTTCTTGAGAAAGAGTGTCGGTCAAACCCTTGGATCTCGCTCAATGATCCGACATACGATGCAAAAGGTCTGTACGAGCTTGTCAAGGAAGTGTACAGCCGACCTCCTCCACTCGATCCGCACCAGAGCCAAGACGACCTAATGATTGACCTGCTGATGCTGAAAGCCGTTAACTTCGGCACGCTCTCCGACTATTTGGACAGTTTCTATGCGCTTTGGTCGCGGCTGGACGTTAGTGGCCTCCAGCTCACGGACGATGTCCTCCTTAACTTCTTGATCAGTGGACTTGATGGGCACTACGACGAAGGTTGGACGGAGGACTTGGAGAAGCAGCGGTTGATGAAGAAGATTGATCTTCACGAGGCGTTGAACCTGGTCGGAATGAGGGTCTGCGAGGAGAATATGGTTGTTTTGCCGCCGGTCCCACCCAAGGATGATAAATACTTGGAGAGATCCTCGACTGAGAGCTCAAGTTCGTCGACGATCGAGCAGGAGAACAACATGAATACCTCCATGGACGAGTCGATCAGAGGTTGCTTCGGCCATGAGGATGAACTCGAAGCAGACATCATGCGGAGACAGGAAGAGATGGCCGCTCACTTCAGGAGCCGAACCCTTCAATGGGCCGTCGAAAATGCCTTTCTCACATCCTGGTCCCTCGAGGACCTAGACCCCGTGTCAACCGAGCACGATATCACCACCGAGAACCGTAGAAGCGATGACGGTAGCCGAAATGCCAGTCCCACCGATAAGAAAGAGCGGAGACGCGGCTACCAACCTCTCTCTGATCTCATGGCCCGGTATATTCCTCTTCCTCTGAGCATCACCAGTAGAGGTAGTAGCCCGAGCACGATCGCGGCTAGACTGGATGCCCTTCGGATCGACGACAAGTCTCAAGTGGAACGCAATGACTTCGAACCGAGAGACCTCCCGAGTCCGCTTGCCAGCGACCAATCTGCCGCGCGGAAGGAGCGCCGCCGTCGCTTCCTTACCAGATTCACAGGTACGCCAACGAAGTCTTCGCCTGGTCCAAATCGGGTGATGTCCTACCAAGAGGAGTGGAAGCCCAAGCCTCTGTTCTCGAGTCCGCGAAAGTTCTCGTGGGAGGATGGGGTTAGCAACAGCGAGCACGATTACGAGCCGACAGTGCTACGCAACACGCCCGAGCCGCAGGTGAGGAGGGATCTGCCGGACACTCCTGGCACTGGTGGCTCCGAAAAGCAGCAAAACGAGCAAGACGAGTATCGACTAGAAAAGCGACTTTCGGCCTTTTCGCCCGATGAGGTGGCGCAGAAGGCGGCGACAGCTGTTCGCAACTTTTCGAGGCCGGAGAGGCCGTTGATCAGGACTGCGAGCTTCTGAGCGGAGAAAAGGGACTCGAGAGAATTAGTTGACTGCAGGTGTTCTTGTTCTTCCAACTTACGAAGACATGGACAAGACAGTCGAGAACAGGCCTGGCTCCAGTCTATCATCACCCACCAGACAAGGCCCTAATACAGCAGCAGCCTACCAACATCGGCTGCTTTTTCTCTCCCAGTCCCCAGCTCAGACCAACATTGTAGAACTTTGACATATTGCTCGGGTATTCTTGCTCATTGCACAACACAATAATGAAGGTCAACGAAACAAGCCTCTCGCGAACAAGACGAAACCAACCAGATGTTATACCAGGAGGCACACAGCAAACAGCAACAACAGAGACATGAACGCCCAAACTCGAAACTGGGACAGCTAGGTAGCTCACTTCCAAACACTAGCACTCTCCACCCCGCCTCTTTTCCCCTCTTGGTACGTCTCACTCAACCCATTATACAACCCCTTAACCCTCTCAATCTCCTTTTTCCACTTGTCCGTTTCCTCCGCTGAGAGCGCCGCCTCTTCCAACAACTCGATCAAGCTCCTCCCCACAAAGAACTTATTCCGTCGATTGTACAACGGCCTGGCTTTCAACAACTCCTCGGTATCCCCTGGAGCCTTGACCCGGAACACCTCCTCGAGAATCTCAATGTCGTACGGGATCGCAAACAGGTCGCGCGAGTCCTCGTACGTGAACAGGTAGTAGAACTCGTTGAAGCCAGCCCAGGTGATGCCCGAGAGGCAGAGCGAGCAGGGCTCGTGGGTGGCGAAGAAGATGGTGTCTTTGGTGGGGATGCGGTAGCCTTCTTCTTCTTCCTGTTCTTGTTCTGGAAACGAGGCAGGAGGCAAGGCGAAATATTGCTGGATGCAGTTGATTTCGCCATGAAGCAAAGGGGATTCGCGCTCGTTGTTGGTAGACACGGTTAGAGGCTTCAAAGAGGAGCGAGAAAGGATGGCAGCGCCGAAGAGCTTGGAGCCGGAGGAGACGCCGGCGCGGGTGAGGGGGATTATGCGCTCTTCAGTCAGACGGAGGATCGTGAAGAGGAGGGTTATGGGGTCTTTGGTGCTGGTCATTGCGCGTGCCTCGGGAGAAGGACTTGAAATGCTGGATGCCATTTCGAAGGGCTTCGAAGGTTCCTTTGGAAGTTGAGGACCGAAAGGACGAACAGATCACTTGAACACGGAACCAGTGATTCCTGGAATAACTAGTTAATCATAATGTATGAGTTCAACATGGAAGCTTTGCTTCAGTCCTCTTTATACATGTATCATCTCGTGGGGTGTCTGGGAGGTGTAAGTTTTCAGCTCGCGGCGAGAACCGATTCCCGGCTGTCCTGTCTATCGGATGGCGCCGAGATGCCCGAGGCACATGTAAATTTTCAGGGATAAGCGTCTATCACCCCCCCGGCAAGTTACTGCGGTTTTTGGCAGACCAGCCGCAGACTTGATTTAACGAAACACAACATCAACGTAATGATGAACGGAGGGATTGCGAGTGTCCAGTTGATGTCGTCGTTATCACAGCCCGGACTGCTTATCTTATCAAGGGCCGGGATCGGAAACCTGCCCCAGCACAGGTACCCTAAGGTCGGGTCAGGTCCCTTAACGGCATGAGTGGACCCTAACCCGCTAACTGGTGGGGTTTTTGCGGAGTGTAGCCCGTCGGGCGCCCGTCCCTGCACTCCCGTCGACTCTGCAGTCCGCAGCAGCGCTGGGGCTTCATTGCCGGGAGTTCTCTTGCCGGGACAGGAAATTTCCTTCTAGCCCTGTCTCCCCTGCCTACCCCGTCAGCGACTCCAACATCCACGTCGATATCGAATTTCTCGACGACTCGTATGCCTTCGTTGCGCCATAGCGGACGGACGTCTTCATCATGCACTATATTCGATTTTGTCGACCACCTGTGGTTGAGCAGGGGAGGTCCGGGCTCAAAACACTGAAGCTTGTTCTCACCATAACAACCGACCTGAGCGACAAATTCCTTTGTCCGCATGAGCCGATCCAGTTTTCCATTATCGGAGCCGGCGCTCCAGCAAATCCACAGAATGGTCCGGTGCCCATCAACCTGACGCCAAAGAACCCTCCAACCTGGAGGGCCGGTATGCGGGTCTTGAAGGTCGATGTTCAACTCCCACCACAGCCAATCGAGACGGTCCAAGTCAGGCCAACCAACCGACAATTGGCGGCTCTCACCACCGACGACATCAGTTCTGGCACTGGAGCCGGCTTGATTCTTCCTGTCTTTGCGGATCTCGCACCTGGTCCGACTAGCCATATTTGCTTCCGGAGCTTGCGCTTGCCTGGCGGGACCGCGACACTTCAGGTGGAGGAGGAGATGGGTGAGAGCATGGCCCGTCATGTATGGGATGGCGGCCTCACCACCGCCTCCTTTGTTGCCAGCATGGTCCTTGGCCAAACGGCTGCCAACAGCACCAGTACCATGGCGTCGTTGCCCATTTTGGCAAACATTCTGCAGCAAAACGATGGACCACTGAACATCATGGAGTTAGGCTGCGGTGTGGGCATCTTGGGCCTTGGTGTTGCGCGCATCTTGGGCGTTTCATCGCAAGCAACGGCAGAGAAATCGACCCTTCTCATGACCGATCTCCCCGACGCGGAAGAACGGACGCTGGCCAACATTGCCCGCTCGGCAGACCAGACAGCCTGCACTGTGATGTACGAGAACTTGGACTGGAATGACGGAAAGGATGGGATATTTGGGCCCGAGGTAACATCACGGGCGTGGGACCTGGTGATTCTCAGCGACTGCACGTATAATGACCTGCTGCCTGAGTTGGTCAAGACTCTTTCCGCCGTCCATGCTCATTCTGCTCAGCATTCCGGCCCTTCCAAGACCAAGATCTTGCTTTCCACAAAGCCGAGGCATTCTGACGAGCAGGTGTTCTTTGACCTCATGTCAGAAGATGGATGGTCGATACAGGAGGAGGTCAAGCTGCCGCTCCCTGTGCTGAATGACGAGGCGCAGACTGTAGAGGTCTACTTGTTTTCGAAGAGCTAAAAATTGGCTGCTTGCTGTTTGGGCAATACGCCATCACCATTTCCTGACGGACTTTTGCCATGGCTTCTCCTTTCCATCAGTAGGCGACTTTGTCAAAGAGCATCCGATTCACCCCAGACAAGCGCAGATCCATTGCATACATCTGTGCAAGCCATCTTTGGACGTGTGATTAGTCCGGGGCGGAAAGCATGAGGCAAACGTAACAGATATTTCCAACTGCTTGGCCAAGGAGGTCGCTTCTCACGATGAGCTGGCATCCAGGTGTAGAAGTAGGTAGCTGAGGTGTGCTGGTAGTGGAAAGCCCGACACGCATGGCAAAACTGCAGTCAAACGGAACTGGATGACCAATGTCGACCATGCTGTTTACCAATATCTCGAACCTTCTGGGCCTGCCTGTGATGGCAGTTGTGTCTTTGAGAGAAGCACCAAGCACCAACAGGGGAAACGGATCGTCATCATGGTCATCATTGTGGTGTTGGGAGCCAATGATGTCGAGGCGGTTGTGAGAGCTTGTCACCTGTCGAAAAGTGGGCTGATCAGGGGCTGCAAAACCAGCGATGTGCTGAGAAATATCTATTCTCTGATTCGCCAGTACCGTGCGTCCTCTGCGAAAGCCACCAATGAGAAGCAAGGCAGATCTGAATGACCCTGAAGTGCGGTCCGTCTGCCCCAACTGAGCCCATTGCAGCTCCGACAGGGCCTCCTATTTTGGGTGGTCGATGGGCCCTGACACAGCGGAAACCCCACTGTTGCATCCAGAGTATCGTTGTTGTTCAAACAGTTGCATGTCCAAGACATGTTCGTCTGTGACATCAGCCGACTTTAGGATTTCAGATATAAGACTCGCTTCCTCCGTCTGTAGGGAAGTCTTGCACCTCTTGTCACAAGATCCTCTACACCAACAACAACAATCAGAAGCTCAGCAACGCTCACGCTCATCTTCCACCACTACTCACCAACTTCAATACCACGAGTCAAGGATACCAACAAATTCGGAATACCGATCCGCGCCGTTGCCAAACTACCCAAGCAACTTCCATCATCAAACACCACAACAACAAACATCAACACATACCTCTACTTCCAAACTACCTATTCAAACATGTCTGCTCCTGTTGCGAAGGCCTCTACTTGCTGCGGCAAGAGCGCTGAGTGCATCTGTGGTAAGTCGTTCCCTTCCTTGAGGCTCTCTCAAAGCTCTGGTGGTTCAGTCCCCAGCGCAGTTTCCCCCTGTGCCCCTGATCTCCACTTGACTCCACGACGCGGCTCCATCACACTCCATCTTTCGGCCCATCGATCTTTGCCCTACCGGGCGGATCCCAACGAAAATCCTTTTTTTCCATTCTTGCTTGCTTTTTGGGACGGAGAGAAGGCTCCATCTTTTGGCAAAGAGGTCACCCACGCCGCCAGTATCCGGCGCCGGCCCTTTTTTATCTTTTGCCTTTCTCCACTGCTCCCACTTCTGGTTCCTGCAACCAAGCCCGTGGGACCCGTTTTTGGATGCCATCTCTTGACTTTGCATTACACTCATCCACCTAAACACGAACCGCTCTGTTTTTCTTATCTTTTCCTTGGATAGTCAACTGACGGACCACTACTTCAGCCAAGCAAGCCACTTGCTCTTGCGGCAAGCAGTCTGCTCTGCACTGCACCTGCGACAAGGCCAACTCCGAGAACGCTGTCGAGGGTCCTCGCTGCTCATGCCGTGCTCGCCCTGCCGGACAGTGCACCTGTGATCGTGCCTCGACCGAGAACCAGAAGCCCACGGGTAACGCCTGCGCTTGCGGCACTCGTCCTGCTGGTAAGCACACCTCTTCCCCAGAGATAATGTACACAGAACATTTGTGACTAAACATGCATGTTTTGAATAGACGCATGCACTTGCGAAAAGGCTGCCGATGGAGGCTTCAAGCCGACGGACCTCGAGACCGATTTCACCACCAAGAACTAAACTTTGACGAGAGCGCGCACTACTGGGGACGCTGTAGTCCTGAGGTGATAGACAGAGATCGGCAGCTCAGCGCAAACTTTTCGTTTCTTTTCAACTATCTTTAAAACCATGATAACAGCACCATCCATATCGGCATTGAGCGGGCCAACGATATCAGGGAACGTGGTGGGACTTGGAGGAGCCGGCATTGTCAGCGGATGGACAAGGGACGGAATGGTCGCTGGCCGCGACAACGACATCCACTGGACCGGCCAGACAATACGGGATAACGTGTCGAGACGCTACACCACTGCAACTATTTCGCCTCCGGTGGTCGACCATGCTCTGGGTGCAGGAGAAGCCGACGAGGAACTGCTTGAGGGGAGTGAGCTGGGCAGTCTAATTCCCGTATACAGCACCCCCAGCACGTTTCTTCGGCTTGGAATCCCGACCTTGAGCGCCCGGTACTCTCTCTTTCTCGGTTTCTCACAGCTCCTGTGGCAAGCCACTGCTACTTGGAGCATCTGTCACCGCATTAGGGCGATAGCGTGGCTGGCCGCCAAAGCCCCTTTCATCATCCTTGGGGACTTGTGGATCAACGTGTACGCCTCGATGAACTACGATCCATTCGCGAACCGATGTTTCTCCCATGCTTCTCCAACCGGGGGACTCACCAAGTTTCAAATCTTGTTTTGGAACTGGACAAAATGGCTCAGATGCGATGCGAAGCCGTGGCTGGTGTCAGTGTGGGAGGATTTGAGGGGAATCTCGGTGCAGGGAACATCGTTCTTTAGCCGGAACACCAAAAAGAAGAGGAAGAAGTGGCGGATTCCTGGGCCGACGTTGCAAGGGATCGTGGCAGACACCAAGTCACAGCTCGAGCGGGAAGAGGAGGAAAAGGAATTGGAAAGGCGTAGGAAAGAGCAGGAGACAGCTGCTGACATTGGTAATGGCGGAAGTCGTCGGAAAGGCGGCCGTGGAAACGGTGGTAGAAAGCAAAGGAAATGGTAAATGCATACTCTTGAAAACTGTCCGTTCTCTGTTAAGTGCTCTTGAATGCTGTATGATGAAGTAAAGTTAGGTGAGACATCGATTCTCGTGATATGCCTGACAATGGCAGTGAAACTTCCGCCGCCATCGTTTGCTTCAGAAGTCTGACGAGGAAGCATAGGGCGGTTCCGCATGGAGCTCGGACCACCGGTTGAAGAAAGTCGAGCTGCCAAGAACCATTGTCAAAACGAGGAATCAGCGTGTGGAGGGTCTGAACCACCCAGCAGAGAGGCCGTTTCGAACATGGTTCAGGGGAACACGCAGACCACCAAGCAGCGTCATGTCAGTCCCGTATCTGCAGAAACAGACAGGGACAGCGGTGTGTGGTACATCCTGGGGTACCTGAGCGACTACCGCAGACTGGGCGAAGATGCCTTTGCCTTTTCGTCTGAACATTGGACGACGACCTCATGAATGCCCGCACTGCTATTGTATGGCCTAGTCAAGCGGCTGCAAGTTCATGACCGATGGTCAAGGGGACAAAGAACGCGTCTCGCACAGAAAGGTCTCTTTGTTGTTGTCCTGCTGGTTGCTACTGCAATGCGTCACTTGGCGGGTAGCGGCAGGGGGGAGGGGGGTCGGTACGGATCCGTTATTGTAATTTGTAACCCGGATTCCAAACAGAATTCGAGCATTCGGTTCGCTGCCAGCGAGCCATTGAACAGTGAGGTCAAATCGACTGAGTTGAAAAGCTCTGTTTCTGGTCTGACAGTGATGAGGTGAGAGGTGAATGGTGTGGTACCTTATTGAGAGCCTCACTCCAACTATTGTTCACTGAAGCTTGGGATGGACCCACTTCCCTCACCGCGGCCGACGTCAAAAGGAGAGCGCAGCGTCCCGTCCAGTCGCGTCGATTTTTCTTTGCGACGCAAAGGCCACCACCACACCCCCCCCCCCTTCCCCCGGGCGAGGTGTCAGATGACCCGACCCCATACCCAAAGCTTCCTGACCCAGTGGTCCGTACATTTACATAGAAAATTGGTCCGACCTACCAAAATAAAAAGTTAACACAGTTACTACAAAACGTATTCGTACGGAGTCACTTTAATAGTAATATTAAGTAAGATTATTTCTCTTTATAAAGCTAAAGTATACTATTTACAGTCTCCTTTTATATAATACTTCGGCAATATTATTACGGACGAAATCGAATTCAATACTATTAATACTTCTATTTATATAAGGAATAATATATATATAGAAGTTTCCCTACGGAGAAAGATCCTTAATTACCCGTAGAAGATTTTCCCTATAGAGAAACAATTATCTATAGAAGGACCTAATATTAATAGGGCGCTATAGATATAGCCGGGGATTAAATAACCCAAGGGTAATCTAATTTATCTTTGAACTATCTTTAATTTATTTTAACTATCCCTACTATTACTAATTCCAATACTTTAATTATAATTACTAAATTTAAATTTTAAATAAGGAAATTATAGTCTCTATAGGCTTACCCGTATTACAACAGAATTCGTCCTAAATAATATAGTCCCGGCCTTTACCGTTATTACTATAATAAATAAGGGGAGGGCCTATAATAAATTTATAATTAGTATAAATTCTATAAAATATACTTTAAAAATTTATAATTATATTTAACCGTTTTATATAGTATACAAATAAATAGAATAGAGGAATATATATTATAGCGTTACTTATATATTTTTTTTATTCGTTGAATATTAATTTAAAAATTATTAATAATATATTAGGGATATATTAAAAGTATAATTAAGAGATTTATATTCTTATTCTTCTAAAAGGGTATTTATATTAGACTATTCGCTTTTTTCTCCGCTTTATTATTTTATTAATTCCTTTATACCCCTCCATCTTTAAATTCTAATTATAAATTTATTAAATCCGAATTTTCTTTATCTTCCTATTATTTTTCCTATTATATTTCCTATTTATCCTCCTACTATTTATCTTCCGGCTATTTCTCTTATTTATTTTCCTACTATTTTTCTTATTTATCTTCCTACTATTTATCCTCCGGCTACTTCTCCTATTTATCCTCCTACTATTTTTCCTATTTATTCTCCTATTATTTATCCTCCGGCTATTTTTCTTATTTATCCTCCTACTATTTCTCTTATTTATCCTCCTACTATTTATCTTTTAATTATTTCTCTTATTTATCCTCCTACTATTTCTCTTATTTATCTTCCTATTATTTATCCTTTAACTATTTCTCCTACTTATCCTCCTACTATTTATTTTTTAATTACTTCTCTTACTTATCTTTTTATTATTTCTCCTATTTATCTTCCTATTATTTATCCTCCGGCTATTTCTCTTATTTATCCTTCTATTATTTCTCCTACTTATTCTTCTATTATTTATTCTCCTACTATTTTTCTTACTTATCCTCCTACTACTCATCCTCTAGCTACTTTTCCTACTTATCCTCCTACTATTTCTCCTATTTATTTTCCTACTATTTATCCTCCGATTATTTTTCTTATTTATCCTCCTACTATTTCTCCTACTCATTCTCCTACTACTTATCCTCTAGCTACTTCTCCTATTATATCTCTTACTTATCTTCCTACTATTTGTTTTAGATTAAAGGTGAGTCCGATATATAGGTTTGGAGGGCGTTTCTAGCCTAAATAATTAAATCCAATTCTCCATTGAAACCTATTACCTTACATTTTTTAGGAATAACCGGGTATAAAGTCCTATTAAGGATAGGGATAGTTATAGCCTAACCTAAGGTTATAGAAGTTATTAAATCCTTATACTATTCTAAATTTATTTATAATTAATTTAATTGTATTAAGATTTTGTAGGATTAAGTTATATATTAATAGTAGCTATATAAACCTTAATTTTAATATTTTTAATTAAAATATTTAATAAATATTCCTTAAAGATATTGTAAATACTCTTTAAATATTTAATTAAATTGCTATAGGTTGTAAATACAATTTAATACAATTGAATATTAACTTTTATATTAATTTTAATAATTTTCAAATCTTATTTATATTAAAATTATATTAAATATTTATACTATAACAATCCGGCTTAAACTCCTTCTAATAGTAGAAGATTTTACTAAGGGCGATTATATATACGCCCTACGGAAATTAATAGAAATAATTTAAGGATAAATTAATATTTAATTTTTATATTTATATATTTATCGGCCTTTAAAGGGGGTACTACGGCCTAACGTTTACCCTTATCCTCGGGTTTGGCGGGTTTTTAATTATTATTTAAATATTTTTTATATACGTTAGAGGTTGTGAATTTACGGTAAATAAGCGTTATTTTATAAAATAAATCGTTAATTACCCTCGATAGATCCTATAGTAACAGCAGGGTAACGGTAGTAAAATAATAAATATTTAAATAAATAAAGAATAATTAGACAAAAAAGATTTTTAAAGAAAGGATTGAAGTTATTCTTCTTATATTAATAAATATATATATAATTATATAATTTATATTGTCCTATACCTATTATTTGCAAAAAGGGGTAAAATATTTAATAAAATCCGTTAATTTACTAATTAATTTCGGATAAAACCCTAATAAATCTAAGGAGGTTTAAATTTATTCGCTAATTTATTATATAGTCCAAGTTTTTTTTTTCTATTAATATTATTACACAGACTTTTATATAGACTTATACATCGCTTACATACAAAATTCGGTATTATAGTATAATTAATATTTATATATACTATTTTTTTGAGAGGCTACTAATTCGAATTACCCTTTTTAAATCCTTTTTCTTAGGTTTTTTTTCTCTTCTTTATTTTTATTTCTAAAAGATAAATTTAATATATATAATTTTATATAAACAAGGATACTATATAATTTAATAGAGGGCTATATAATATTTAGTAATAAGTTTTTTATATAAATAGAATTTTATAATTCATATTATAAATAAAATATAACTTCCTTAGTAGAAATATTACCTATTTATTTTCCACCTAAATCCGTATATATAAAACCACTAATAGATGTTTCCTATAACGAAAGTTCCAATAATATTTTTATTTAAGGTATGATTCCCTATAGGAAAATAATAAAAGTATAATTCCCTATAGGAAAATAATAAAGATATAATTCCCTATAGGAAAACAGGGAAGGTATAATTCCCTATAGGAAAATAATAAAGGTATGATTCCCTATAGGAAAATAATAAAAGTATAATTCCCTATAGGAAAACAATAAAGGTATAATTCCCTATAGGAAAATAATAAAGGTATAATTCCCTATAGGAAAACAGGGAAGGTATAATTCCCTATAGGAAAACAATAAAGGTATAATTCCCTATAGGAAAATAATAAAGGTATAAAATAAAAGTATACTTCCTTATATAACAACGGTACGGTAGTAGTAGAAGTAGTATTAGTATAATACGTATACGAGGAAATCTAGTAAAGTTAAAAGGAATTAGAATTAAGAGGGGAATTTAATTAGATTCTATAAATATATAACCCCTAGGGAGGGGGGTATAAAGAAGTTTAGGGAATAGAAATATATAAATATAAGTAAAAAAAAATTGGAAAATAATTAATTCTAATATTTAACCTAGCGGTAAAAAATAGCCTTCAATAAATTAAATACTAGGTAGGTATTTCTAAAACCCTCTAAAGGCTGCCAGCCTACTAAAAATGTATTAGTAATATAACTTAAGGCGTATATAAATAAAAAGGAATATCGACTAGCCTAATTTAATACCTACCCCAACACTAAATATATATATTATTCCCGAGTAAAAATATTAATTCTATCCTCTAATACCTTATTAGAATAGAATTGAACTTAAATCGAATCTACTATTTTAATATCGCTATCCCCTTTATACTTATTATTCTAACCCTTTATATTTTAATCCCTATTCTTATTATTATCCTTATTAATCGTTATTAATTCCCTATTCCTATTTTTACTACTTTTTTTAAATAAATTACTATTATAACTATTATCCTTTCTATCCTCGTTTATATTTATTAAATTAATACTCTCCCTTTTAGATAGCCTCGGAATCTGCCTAACGAATAGGTCTAAGCCCGAACTCTATAAAGATTTATATTATAAATATATTTTATAATTAAATACCGACCCCGTTTAACTTCTATTATACCTATTCCTATTACTTTTCTTAATTACTAACAACCTAATTTTAGAAACCGACCTAGAAAGCGACCTAGAAAACGACCGAGAAAGTGACTTTAATATAAATAAAAATATAGAACCTTTTTTTAAAACTATAATATTAGTAGATTCTAGAGTAATTATATTATTAGAAGGTAAGTACCTCGCCGTTAATAATATTAATTGGATATTAAATAACAAAGTAAAATTTTAGGAACTTCTACGTCCTTTTAATATTAAATTATTTTTAGAATTAAATTTTGAAGGAATTTTTAAATGTTTAAGGTTAGTTAGAATAAAGAAACTTCTATTTAAAAAATTAGAAATTATAGAACCTATAAGCGTAAGG